CTGAGAATCTTTTTCAGCCATGTCTGATGTCTTGAGATTTCAGCAGATGTGGCCGACATGCTTTGAAGCATATTTTTACAGCCATAATTTTTGCAGCAAGAAACTTTCTCCTTTTAAAAATAAAGATGGCAGAGATCCTTCAAAACTGAATTCTCTGCTTTATGCGACATTCTGTGCTGACACTAATTACAGCACATACAGTCCTAGCTATGGCAGGCTCCAGGAGAGTTAGCTGTCAAGTGCTACTTGATGCAACTAAGAAAGCTAGGTGCTAAGTGAAATTTCAGCAAAATAGCACACGCTTTCCTACCCCCCAGCCCTGCCCCACTGTTTGCCTTTTTTGGATTTCTGTGTGTAAGAAAGCCAGTCCTGGAAGTAATATCTATAATTGAAAATGGTAATGAGTAATTTGCTTTTCCTCAAAAATTGCTTGCCTGCTGAGTTATTGTAGGAGCTAACTAAGGGAGTGGTATAAAGGGATGAGAAACACCTGCATTTGGAACAGAGAATGTGTTTGCAGAAGGGTTACCCAGGCCTCTGTTGGCTCCTGACTTGATTATTTATTCCACATGGCCTTGCAAAACTAGTCTCAGGCAAGCCCACATGGGATAAGCCAGGATAATTATGGATCTGGGGTGGCTCTTGCCAGGTTAAACCAGTGGTTCATCTGTTAGGATTTTTTTCTCAGATGCTTTACTGAGTTCCTAAGAGATTCAGCCACATCACCTCCTGCCCTGTTAGGAGTGGGGCGAACAGTTGCACATTCAAGGTACAGACTGACCCTATTTCAGCCCAAGGGCCAGATGCCGCTTTGGAGAATGGGGTTGAATCCCATGGACTGGGCCAAATTCCCAGAATGCCAGCCTGTTTTACCAGTAACTCAGTCACAGGAGTGGCATCTTAACCTTTTAGAATGGGGAAAGGCTGCATAGAAAACTCCAGGAAAACACCAAAAGATTTAATAAGGATTCAGGGAAAAGGACAGAATGGGGAAAAGGTTGGTTGAATTCTGGATACAAAACAGTAAGCAGTTTAAAGGGGGAAATCGATTTCTGAGCATGGCGTAATAAGCACTTCAAAACAGCAGATCAATGCAAAAGGAGAAATTACTGTCTAGCTAGCACAGGCTCTGAGACCCCCCCCCCCGTCTTTGGTAAAATGGGGGGTGGGAACCACACCTGGGTGCCCACACTGGAGGAGACTTGCACATTCTCTGCACAGGCCTGCTTCCCTCTTCCTCGCTTCCAGGGTAAGGGAAGTGACCCCCGTCAGGTCATCTGCATTGGAAAAGGGGCTGGGGGCCGGCTAAGCGGGAATCGGTCTGGCCTGGCTGAGAGGGCCACTCCAGGCTGACCCCAGAGGACTGGGCAGTCTGAACCAGATCCGTCATGGTGCTTCCCAGGTAGTCCTGTTGCTCTTAGACAGTTAAATCTGCCCCACTTCTAATGCTCTTCCCACTGCAGGGCTTGGCATACCGTTTTTCTAACCTCTTTAGCAGCCGGGCTGTTGGCATGAAGTCCTTCTGCTGTCTGGAGTTAATGACCTGGCTTCCCTTAGAGGAAGCAGCCCTCTCCAATCTAATACTTTAATTTCCTTAATGTGTCTTCCCCACAGGTAGTCCATTCAGTGTCTCAGTGGGTTCTTTGGCACCGAAGCTGCAGTGGGAAAATATATCCCTTTCTCATGTGCAGGAAAACCATGCTACTGACAAGGTTTTCTAAGTGGTCTCTTCACATATCTGAAGAAATGGCTTTCTAGAAAGCCAAAAGCTGCTAGAATTCAAAGTTAATCTCGACAAGTTCTTAATCAGTTCTGGCATGATTTTATTTTCTATATTTGTGATCCCTATTATAACCTTCTGTTTTTCTCTTGCAAGGATCTAAGGTGCTTCACATGGTTCTCTTCCTCCCCAATTAGCTTTACAACAACCCTGTGAGGTAGAGCTTAGGCTGAGAGTCCTGACTGGCTCAGAGTCTCTCAATGAGCTCCCTGGCTGAATGGAAACAAGAACCAAGGTCTCCCACTTCCCCTACAGCTCTTTAAGCACAACACTGCCCCACTGTATGTATTTGCATCTGTGATGGCCATGACCACGCCATTATTTTAAAAACATTACATTAAAAGCATTTTGCAGTCCAAGCCAGTTTCTGTATCAAATTTCTTGCGAAATTCCAGTCCCAGAGAAATTGCAGAATGGGAACCAAGGCCGTTCCTCTTTCATAACTCTGAAAAAACTCTGTGTTTTTCTCTTCTCATAGCTCTCCTCGGTTAGTTCTGTCTCCAAGTACAATTCTGTGTGTGAGTCATGAATTTGTGTGTGTGTGTGTGTGCACGGACACCTGAATTTGATGCACTTGCTTTATATTCTGCAGTGTGTGTGTGTGAGGCAATTTCAGCACTTTCATTTTACCTGGAAGGCTGCAGAAATTACCACCTTTTTATGTGAGGGATGTTAAGAGTTGGTGCCTGGTGGTGAGGAAGGCTGCTCATTTGGCCTTCACAGTGTAGCTTCCACTTGCCCAGCTTCCCCTTGCAGATGGCTTCACCAGCAACCGTGCTTCATAAAGCATCGTGAAGATATCCCTTCATCTGTACACCTTCAGCGGCACCTAATGCTAAAGCTGCTCCTGTGTCCTTTCACGATGCAAGAGCCCCTGTGTGCGCATGGGTGCGTGCGTGTGTGCATGTATATGCTTGACTCTCTGCACATAGAAATCTAGCGTGTTGGGGAGAAGACTGGGCTGTTTTCCATTATGCAGAGAGGTGCTTTGTTTTTACATGGGGAGACAGTCAACCCCCTTTCACACACTTGCACCTTAACTGTGACAGTCCAAGAAGAGCTTTACCATTTGGTTTTGGCAGGTGAATAAAATAGCGCTGAGCAGCCAGGTAGAAGTCCAAGGAGGAGGAGGAACATTTGCACTGTTTGAGTTCCAGAACCTAAAAGATGCGTGCACAGAGTTTGCATCTTGATGCATTATTTAAAATCTCCCCGCCGCTGGGATCACTCTCTGGTGGGCAGGCCTCCTTTAGGTGTCTGCCTACAACGAGATGAATTGAAGTGTATTCAGCAAGGTGTACTGATTTAAACGAAGGTGATATTAAATGGGCAATTTAACTTGCCAAAAACACCAGCTGCTTTCTGGAATCATTATTTTAAATTGAGTTTCCCAATTTGGATTTCTTGAGTACATGCATACTAACTTGCTAACCCAACCACGAAAGCATGCTAATTTAAGCTGAATAGAATATTTGCAGAGTAAATACAGTATAACAGTAATGTATGCTCAAGCTAAACAGCTTTCCTCAAGCTGGTATGATCCAGGCTGTGCTGGGCCACAGCCCTTAGCTAGCACGGAGCTCAGCAGCTTGGGAAAAGTCAATCAAAAAAGTTACTTTCTGGCATGGTTGCTTTCTGTTTGCTCCTTTGCTTACATTGCTCAGCTTTCCGTGCCTCATCCCAATCTGCCACCCAGAAGTTCAAGATAACTGAGGGCCCAGATTTTTGCTCACTGCAGCCTCTGCTTCTCCTTTATGGTTTTCTCTGGAGACCATGAAAGACCCTGAGCTTTCCAAATTCTGGCAGAGAGGGTTTTTTTTTCATAATATTGAAAACATCCTTGTTTTCCTAGGGAAGGTAAATATTGTAATTAGTGAAGAAATAGCAGAGCTGAGATACTCAAATTTAGTATGCCATCCTATTTAGGTAGAAAAAGGTCTTTTTTGCCTAAACATGCATTGGGTTGCTTCAGGAATATAGCCAGCCAGCCAGTGGATTCTGTATATTTTGTGGATTTTAAAAAAAATCAAAATAGGTATAGAAACACACACAGTTCCTTGCAGAATTATTCACTCCCCCCCCCCTGCAATTTTTTCCTGGAACTGAAGCAGAGGTAATTAGCATCATTTGGCACCAGCCCTGATGTACACAATGCAGTTACAATGCAAACTGTGTTTTATTGAGGCACAAATGTCATGTAAGCAAAAACAAACGGGCTGGTCGGTTGTGTAAATATCCCCTCACTGAGGAGATGCATTTTGTGGCAATCACAGCTGCGGATCTTCTTGGGTAAGTCTCTGTCAGCTTGGCGCACGTGGGCCCTGCTGCGTTTCCCCGTCCTTCCTGCCAGACCCTCTCCAGGTTTGTCAGGTGGAGCAAACTGAGGTCTGAGCTTGGACTAGGCCGTTCTAAGTCATTCAGGCTGTTGTTTTCAAACCTCTGCAGTGTTCCCCTGGCCGTGTGGAACCTCTCCCCCATCTCGAATTCCGCTGGGTTGGGGGCGGGCTGCCGGAGGTTGCTGCACGTGGGGGTCTCGGCCACCCAGCTGGGACTGCCGCTTTCCTATCACTGTTAGCAGTGTGCGAAGAGAGTTCCAAGCTGTTCGGGGCCGGCTGAGGCTTCCTTCCCTCCCCAGGTACCCATGGCAGCTAGGAAATGGACGCACGTGTGGGGCTGGGTGGGATTCGGCGGCAGCAGGAACCCTCCGGGGCACACATGACCCCAAGCAGTGCAGCCAGTTTCTCAACATGTATATACATTTAAAACCTCAAACATCATTTTTAAAACAATATCATAGATTAAAATTAAAATTCTGAAGCATGTGTTTTGTCCCAAAACGTTTCACATGTTAATGTCTGTTTTATACAATTTTCAGGGGGGGTTATTTTAATTTTAATAATGGGAATTGTACTCCAACATGTCTGGGGGGGGGGGTAGGCTGGGAAAGGTTGGCATAATTTAATTTACGGTGCCCAGCTGGTCTTAAGAAGGCTTTTTAGAAAGAGGCACATTCCCAGTGCAGCTTTGGTCTCCCCAGGTCTGCAACTCCCGGGATGCTTGACCATCCCCTGTGCTGGCGGGGCCGGTAGGAGCTGCAGCCCGAGTGTCTGGGGGGCCCAAGTTGTGTGCCCTTGGCTCCTTGGAGGAAGCCACCCCTACCAGAAAGTGGGGCTTCTCGCCCAGGCATCACCCGGCATGTCTTTCCCCTTCCCCTCGGCAGTTCCTGCGCGTGACAAAGCAGTACCTCCCGCATGTGGCCCACCTCTGCTTGATCAGCACCTTCCTCGAGGACGGCATCCGCATGTGGTTCCAGTGGAGTGAGCAGAGGGACTACATAGACGCCACGTGGAACTGCGGCCACTTCCTGGCCTCCGTCTTCGTGTTCATCAACCTCTTTGGACAGTTAAGTAAGTAGCGCAGGAGGGTCCGTCGCCACCCGTCAGGGCAGCTTTGGAAGGTGGGTAGACAAATCCATGGGAGAGAAGGTCATCAAGGCCACTAGTCCTCATGGCACCGTGCTGCTTCCAGATCAGAGGCAGCACGCCTGGGTACACGAGTTGCTGGGGAACATGGGTGGGAGGGTGCTGCTTTGCATCCTGCTTGTGCACTCCCCATGGGCAGCTGCTTCGCCATGTTGGACTAGCTGGGCCTGGGTCCAATTCATTAATTTAATTTATTTATTTAAAACATTTCTATGCCGCCCCATTCGCCGAAGCCTCGGGGTGGTTCACAACATAAATTAAAATATAATACATTAAAAATATAAAACAAATTAACAATATAAAATAAGTCGCCCTGGCCAGATCAGGGCCCCGCTTATATTTTTAGACCCATTCATGGGAAAAGAAAGCACCCAGGTTTGACTTGAGCCACTCCAGAACCTAAGCCAGGCTGCAGGTGCCCAGCAGCTCATGTTGGGTCATGCTCAGGTATAAGGAACCTGGATTCTGGTGGCCACGGGCTGGCAAGTCTGTCTCAGTATCTTGAAGATTATAGTCCGGGGAGAGACCACATTCTAAAGACCCCTCAAATCAGTGGGTAAGCCTGTGGGGCAGGGCATTTCTAAACTTTGGCTTTGGTCACACAGAGATCATGAGCAAGACTAGCCAGCGGTGAAAGGTAGTTTCACGGCAGTTGGGGAGCAACCGGCGAGCGTGAAGGAAGAGCATCAAGGGGCCGGGAGAAGAGTTTTTGTGGGAAGCATGAGCTTTGGGGAGGGGAGGGAGGGGTGGGTGTTCCACACATGCAGGAAAGCAAGGGGGAGCATTTATTTTTATTTAGTTATTAATTAAAAACTTTTCTATCCCATCCCCTACAGAATGGCTGGGGTGGAGGCTTACAATGAATAAGTAGAATAAAACAAACCCCACATTAATATACTAAAAAAGCCCAGCTAAAATCAATTAAACAACGGGAAACTAAATAAGGAGCGGTGCACATGCAAGAGTGCAGAGGACCTTAAAGCTGCCTGCCCCAGCCTGGTGCCCAGTATCCCAACATTGCTCCTAACCTGGTCTGACCCATTTGGGAAAAGCTGCCTTAAGGGGACCAGTAAAAGCGAAGCTGGAGGAAGCAGCGGGTCCACCCAGGAGCGCCGAGGGTGGGCGGAGAGGAGTCGATGGAACAATGCCAGCCTGCAGGGTAGGGCCTTGGGATCGTCCTGGCCACACGCACCCATGTGCCCCGGCCCCCAGGTTTGTTTATTTATGAAAAGCTTTTTTAGGCCGTCCACTGCAAGCATCTCAGGACGGTTTACAAGAAAAAGAAAAAACCCCACCAGGTTGAAGAGTCCTGTTAACTTGTCCTTTTCCCCTCGGCTTTTTCAGGTGGCTGCATCCTAGTATTGAGTAGGAACTTTGTCCAGTATGCCTGTTTTGGGTTGTTTGGAATTATAGCATTGCAGGTAAGAAATGAGCACGGGTCTGAATTCTTGTAGACGTAAACAGACCGTTTGGAGGAAGGGGCTGCATTCGACTTCTGTGCTTCCTCCAGGAAGTTCCCCACCCCACAAGCAGAAATCATGCTGCTTGCCAGGGCACGACTTGGCTACCAGAGGGAATGGTGGCCGGAGGTGCTGCAGGACAGAACCAGGCCCTTCGTGTCCGGGGTGTAGACTCGTTAGAAGCTTCCAGTCAGTGCTGACTCCACTTGCATGGACAGGATAGGAAAGGCTTGTTTTTCACAGAAGTTCTACTCCTCATCTCTCCCGCAATATGCCTCCTGTGCCTGCTCCTCTGCCCCCAATTTCTATGGGTAACGGAGTGGTGGGGAACGTCTCTTGGTGGAACTCCAGCTTGCAGGGGCTGCTTTCTGGCAGGAGACGGAGCCGAAGGCAAAAGGAGCAGGGACAAAACTGCCAGCCTGTTGGAGCTTCAAGCTCTTACAGCGGGTCGCTGAACCTTCCTGGAGATGTTCTGACTTTTTATATTGGGGGAAACGGCTGAAAAGCCTGAGAACCACTGCATGGTTGGTGGTTGGGCCCAAAGGATGGGGCCTGGCCACCGGAGGAACCCCAGAGGGTGGAATTTGCCACCTGATATAACGCCACTCGCGCAGAGGGATCACGGCATTGTAAAGTTCACGGAATGCCATCAGCAGAACCAGCACCTCTTTCTGCTGACGATCTAAATGGGGAGACGGGAGCAGGGAGGAAAGGGAACAGCACGGCCGATAGTGGATGAAAGGCAGCGTGTGCCGCGAGGAGTTGGCTCAGGCCACCTGGGCCTCGGCAGAAAAGGCACATGTGCGCGAGGACAGAGTGCTGCCTGCGTGTCTCCAGCTTCAAACCTGTTTGGCTGTTTTCCTTCTAGACAATTGCATACAGCATTTTATGGGACCTGAAGTTTTTGATGAGGTATGTCTAATGTTTATCACCCTTTATTCTGGCTTGGGTTTATTATTTCGTTTTAACCATGGCCTTGACTGTGGGAGAGTCAATACAAGCAGCCTCCTGCAGTCAGCCTCTGCAGGGTTGCTTCAAAGGACCCAGCGCAGGTCGCCTTTACTCTCGGGACTGTCATCAGAAAAACCCAGAGGGGCAGCGGCTGTAGTTTTGGAGCGCCCTCTGGCAAGATGTCCTCCATGGCCTGCTCCCTCAGGGCGTCGGCCTCCTCGCTACAAGGCCACCGGAAGCCCTTGCTTCACGGCCTCTTTCCCATCACAGCTCCCGCTTTGCCAGCTTGGCAGGCCCAGGGTCTGGGAAGGCAGTGGCCCTGGCATTCCCTCCTCCTCGCCATTGTCTGCACCGGAGCAAAAGGCACAGGTTGCGGTGCGGAAAAGGAGAAGCAAGTCCAGGGCCTTTCATGCGTGGGCCCCTGCCTGTCCTGCCCACCTGGGCCTGGCCCAGCCATGCCTACCCTGAACGCCAGTCCTGCCCAGAATGCCTTACTAAGCACTTGCATGTTTCGGCACAGCAAAATTGAGCCGCTCCCAGCATGCTCCAGCCAGCATGCAATTGTCGCACTTTGTGTTGTTGACACATGCATAAGGCCATGCCCTTAACCCGGTCGCCCTGGACAGGTGTTTGGGATGGGGCTTTGATTTTGTTTTGCTGCTGGCAGTGGGAAGTAATGTCCGTGTCCCCTTTTGCAGAAACCTTGCTCTCGGGGGTGGTTTGCTGCTGCTGCTGGCCGAATCGCGGTCGGAGGGGAAAAGCATGTTTGCGGGTGTGCCTACCATGCGGGAAAGCTCTCCGAAGCAGTACATGCAGCTGGGTGGACGGGTGCTCCTAGTCCTCATGTTCATGACGTTGCTGCATTTTGATGTTAGCTTCTTTTCGGTAAGTACTCCAAACGTTAAAGGCTTCTAGCTTTAAGAAAACGGATGAAGCTATTTGAACTAGCGAGGGAATAGGAGGCAACAATCGTGGAAGCTGAGCCTGAAGCCATCTAGACCAGTATTGTCAACACTGACTGGCGGCAGCGGCTCTCCAGGATTTCAGGCAGGCGCACATGGCAGTGTGGTGTAGTGGTTAAGAGGGTGGGACTGCGACTCAGGAGGTCTGGGCACTAGTCTCCACGCAGCCATGGAGCCCACTGAGTGGCTTTGGGCCAGTAAGCTACCCTGAGCTCCTCGAAATGGGCAGGGCGGTATATAACACACTGAATATTGGTATTCATTGCAGTGCAGTACAGGAATATTGGAAGGATGGGGGCTGCGTGTTGCTTCCAGCTCAGGTGGAGATAGGTGCACAAACGTGCTTGAATAGGTGTGGTGCGGTGTTCCCCCTCCGCCAGAAGTTCTCTAGGAGGCCTTTGTTTGCTTTTGCCCCGGTTCTGGGGTCTGGCTTCTCGGCAGCTGGCCTGTGCCCTCCCCAGCCATCCTCCTAAGGGTCTCCGGGTGTTGGGGCAGCTGTGGCACCCGTTCCATCTGCCACGTGCCTGCCTAACTGTGCCAGTGCCATGACACCTGAGCCGCAGGTGCTTATCGAAGCAGGCTCCCTTGGTCAAAACGGTGGGCAGGCCAACGAAGCAGCTGTAGCAGTTTTCACTTCCACCACAAGCTGGTGCTTGCTGAAGCCAGAGGGCCTGTACTGCCCATTCTAGCCAAGCCACCCAAACTGTTTTTCCATACATGAAGGAACAGGGCATTACTGCTGGGAAAATTGACTGTCCTCGCCCCAGGCTAGGCTCAGAGGAAGTCTGTGCAGGGTGGCAGATCCCTTCGACATCCCTGCTAACAAAGAAGTGCCAGGATCTGTCCAAGCCAGGCTTGCTGCAGCTCAGCCTGCCACTAATGTGGAGCCTGTGTCCCATCTCCCCCTCTGCCCGTGGCTACAGATCCTCCAGAACATGGTGGGCACGGCCTTGATCATCCTCGTGGCCGTGGGCTTCAAGACCAAGCTGGCCGCCCTGACCTTGGTGATCTGGCTGTTTGCCATCAACATCTATTTCAACGCCTTCTGGACCATCCCGGCCTACAAGCCCATGCACGACTTCCTCAAGTATGACTTCTTCCAAACCACGTCCGTGATCGGAGGCCTCCTCCTGGTGGTAGCGCTCGGCCCCGGTGGCGTCTCCATGGACGAGAAGAAAAAGGAGTGGTAGACGAGGGGAAGGCAGGCGCGGCATCTCAGAATCTGGGGACTCCGTGTGGGTTCGGCAGGGGGCTAAAAACTGTCAACATTTTACGCCTGTGCCTCTGTTCCCTTCTTGAAGGCACTTCGTGGGGGGGAATTGTTTTGGGTTTTTTAGTTGACAGCGGCATCGATAATCTTGGTACCAGATTTTCAGCAAGAAACATTTCTCCAGAGTCAGTGTTGTGCTCTCTTTTGTAATTTCCTAAAATCGGAACCAAGAAGCTGGCTTGCCAAATGCCATACAGGCACCACATCCATCGCCTTTAATTTCCTTGACAGTTTTTTTTTCTTAAAAAAAAAAAAACTTAAACTACTGTGATCCGATATCTGGTTGTGTACTTTCACTGTGATGGTGGTTCCATCTCTTTCATTCTGCTCACATTCTTGTTGCAATTAAACGGTCACCTCCCCGAGCGAGAACGGGTGATCCAAGTGGTAACGTGCAGCCGGTGCTCTTGGAAGGGGCTTAGAGGCCGATATCTAAAATAGCAGGATCTCCATTTAAAATTGTGGCAAGTTTCTGTATAGGCACGACAGATCTTGTGGTGAAAAGAAACCTGGACGGTAGCGGGCAAAATTCACAACGCTCCAAGGCCACCCAAATCCTTTTTCTTCTGTGAGTAGTTGTTATTTTACAATCACAGTTGTTCCTTGATGGAAACATTGCACTCTGTAGTTTCAGGAGCAGCTCCGGCAGCCCCTGGCATGACGTTCTAGGGGTCTGCAGCTGAATCTCTCCCCCCACCACCAATGCCGTTTTGCTTTCCTTGCTCCTGGGAGTGCGAGAGCTGGAAGAGGGACAGCCACACTTCCAGTGACAGTTGAGTCCCCAGCAGTGAACAAAGCCGCTTACCTGGTGCTGGGAAGAATAGCTGATCTTTTGGCTCCGTCTGAGCATCTGCACGCAGAGACACAAACGGCCGCAATCTACAGCAGAGATCTTGCATAGTCTTGTTCTGAGACAATGCAGAGCAAATCGGAGTAAGCCTCCAGTGATTGTTTCGCTAGCACTGGACTGGAGAGACCTTTAAGAAGGTGTCGGGAAGGCGGAGACTGGTTGCTGCTCTCCATAGAAGGTCTCAAGAAGTGAACTGCCTCTGCATATGGAGGTTCCCTTTTAGCTCACTCCACAAACGCCTGGGTTTGTCCAACCTGCTTTTCAAAAAGCAGTTAATCTTGGAGCCTTTGTCAACATTTTGTCAGAGTAAACATAAGAGGTTGGGTGAAGTACTTCCCTCTTCATTTATCTCAGAGGCAGGGAACCTGGAGGCACCCCCCCCCCCATTTCTGGTGCACAAGTCTCAGCCACCGCTGCCAGCAGGTTTGAGGATGGGGACTGTGGCTCCAGCCTCTGGAGGGCAATGTCCCAAGAGCCAAGGCTGATCAAACTGGTTCCAGGGAGTAGTGACACCCCCATTTTAGGGGCAGGCCAACCCCTTTTGAGGGCTCCAAACACCATGAACGGAATATTCCATATGTGCATTTCCCCCACCTGAAGAGGCCGGGGACCCCAGCTTCTCTTCCAAAGTGCTCTTGGTGATGTTGGCTGGGGATGATGTGAGGTGGAGTTCTCACCCCCAGGTTGGGGACAGAGTATCACAGAATGGGCTTTAATGAGCCAACTTTTCTCTGGGAAAGTAGGCTCGCCCACTGCTGACCTTGAGCCACCAGGGCTGATCTGATCTGTAGAGCAATGTGCTACGCTTGGGCACAGATCTGATTTCTGGCTGTCCAGACAGAGAATGGTTAACACTTAGCAGTGCTTAAAAAAAAGTGCCAGGCTTTCTTTAACCAAATATAACCACATTTATTTGGTTTCCCAAAGAGAAAAAACATTTTGCCTAAAGCAGACACAACAACTGGACCAATCCGGTTCCGATCTTCGGTGCCAGTCTTCCTCATGCACAGGGAACTGGGTTTTGCCATGTGGGAAATGCCTACTTCCCACTGACAGCCTTCCCAAAGCTTTTGGGTTTCCTGTTCCAACTTTTGAACTTCTTCTTGAGAGAGCCTGCTTGCTTCTGAAAGAGAAATTCCACGTAAGCAAAGGTAAGTTGCAACTTGTAGGAATGAATGTGGAGAGCTGGGCTGGGATCTCGGTGGGCACAACCTGGCACCTGGGTTTGCGGTTCTACACACCTGGTCTTGCTGTTTGTGCTGTGGCTACCTGAGAAACTACTTGGAGCACTGAGTTCACAATCGTTACATATCCAGGGTAGGGAGCCATATTTGATCCCGTGTCTGGATTATTCCCAACTTCCAAGGAAGGCCAGAGATGCGTGAAGCCAGGTCTGCGCTTGTTCGTCTGCTGCTTGAGGAAGCGGGGAGCAAGCCTTCCATGGGGCTGCAGGCATCCACATTCCCCCAGCGATTAGGGCAGCAGTGAGGTCTCTGCCCTTGGAACAGGGATGCAGAAGGTCCTTCGGCCCAGTAACTGAATTCACTTCCGGTGAAGGACTTGGGCACCGCATCTCAGTGCTAGGTAGGGCTGAGCCAGCACACCAGGCCATAATAGCCAAGAGCTCCTAGTGGCAGTAACAGGTTAGGGGAGGCACCTCAACTTTCCAGAAGGGGGAATAAAATTAGAGAAACCGGCAAATGATTGGCGGTTAGAAAGAAACGGAAGCGGGGGGCTCACCTTTCCCTACTCCTTGCTATCTCTTTGCCTGTATCTGCCCTGCCTGAACCACAAGTCCCATTATTGCCATGCTGCCTACAGAGGATGGAGCTTGTATTCCAGCACATCTGGAGCTCTGGGAAATGCTGCTGGAGTCGTGGGGGTTGGTACTTGATCACAGCAGGAGGGCGATGGAGTGGAGGAGGGGAATCATCGCGCTCGTTTCCGTGTCAGAGCTCAGGGCTGCCTCACCTTTCCCCTTTTAGTGCCCACTTGCGAATCCACTTCCATCGCCCCACTTCCCTCTCCATTCACGCTGCCGTTCTCCACGGCCGGCCTGGCTGCCTCCTCATCACTCTCCGTCATGCCACTTTCCTTCTCTGCCAGATTTTTTTCTGGGAAAAGTTCAGCTGAGCAGAAAAACAGCCAACACAAAAGTGAAATTTGCTGCACAACCTCAAAAGGCGATTCCCCCTCTGTTTCCAAGTGTGTTTTTTTAGATTCTTAAGTAAATACATACAGGCTTGACTGCCCACGGGGTGGATACAGAATCACTTGTAACTTGAATGCTTCTCTAACGACAGCCCATGTGCACACGTGTTTTTGTGTGTGAACCCGGAAAAGTGGGTTGTTCTGCCAGGCTACAGGGGCAGCATGGGGGAGTCACCAGCACCCCCCCCATGTGTCAATACTGCAGCACCACAAAGGCTTTTGGGACAAAGGGAGGGAGCGGGCAAAGGAGAAGGGAAATGAGCAACCCATGGACTGAGAGATGCAGCGATGGTTTGTTCGGTCATCTCTCAGACAAGCCCTGGGTAGGTGAAAGAAATTGTGGGTTTGCCTTGTGTGCGAAGCCTGCCAGAAGGAGCCGGCAAACCTGCGGCAAGACCGGGCAACAGCCTGGCTGCCCCCCAGTCCGACGCCTCCTTACGTGGGTACAGGTCACTCATGCTGTCCTCAGACTCGCTCCCGTCCTCGCTGGACGGAGGCTCCCAGAACGCCTCCCTGCGGCCAGGCTGCCTGCCCTTGCTTGGCAGGTTCTCCTGCTGCTCTTGGCGCCGCCGTCGCTGCTTCTGGAGGAGGCAGGCCGGGATGTACTCCACGCCCTCCTTCTGACACGCTTCATCTGTGAAAGGAAATGCACTCCTCAGAGCACGCTTGTCAGAGCTGGTCATTAACTCGGGAAACGACTGGAATCGTACCTGCCGGTTTTGATGGGCACATGAGAAAATGTGAGAAGGGAATCTTCCACCACCAAACCGTCCTGACTGCCCCAGTTCGTCAGTGCAGGCCACGTCACAAACAGGGCGACCGATACCAAAACGGAACCTCTGTGTTCAGGGGAAGTCTAACCCGAACTCCCAAGGGCTGGGGACAAACCATGGGGGACAGACAGGCTGTTGGCCTCCATCTGGACTCCCAAATCCACCTTTACCCCGAGCGCCCCTAGTTTGATCCCCTGCAGTATGAGGTCGGATTCAGAAAAGATGCCGTTGGAATCACTAAGAGCTGCAGCCAGTCCTTGTCGGCAGCGCTGAGGGGGAGGGCGTGTGTAGGCCCTGCCCTGCCGGCTACGCAAACATTTAAAAACACTCACCCTAGATAACCAGACAGTCATTTCATTGGCATAATTTGACAGTAAAACATTTTTATTCTCCTGTATCTTGTTTTTTATTTCCCACCCTCTTTCCTGCTCAGGAATCTATTTAGGAGAACCAGTAATAAAATTTTGTGAGTGTACGTCGCCCCAGGCTCAGCACGTTAGCGGCTGGCCATCTAGGCAAAGGAACGTATCTGGAGATGAAAAGCATTACGAGGGTGAAATTGCCCACCCTGCCGGGAAGAAAGCATTCTGAGAACCGCACGGACCCCAGAGAAACAGGAGCCAACACGAGGAGAGACTTGGTTAGCTACGTCTCAACCAAGACTTGAGTTAGACTCATTCTGACTTACATCTGTGCAGTGCCTTCTGATAGCGCCGGCCTTGGACGTGGCGGAGGATGTGCTCCGGTATCTTGTTGATGTGCCGGAGGGTGAGCTTGCAGAACAGCTGATGGCTAGAAAAGAAAAGGGGGAAGGAGCGCATGGGACGGCCCCCATTGCAAAGAATTACCGCCTAGGAAAAGGTTATGCCAATGCATTGCATGGTGGCAGCCGGCCTGTTCACCACTTGTGAGGAACCCAAAGCGCCGCACACCACCCCCTACCCCATGTTTTTATCCTCACAACAACGCTGTGAGGGAGATTCGGCTGAAAGTCAGCGACTGAGCTGGTCGCTCAGTGAAAGCTTCATGGCTGAATGGGAGCTCGGGCCCAGCTCTCCTAAGTCCCACTCCAGATCTTGAACCACTTTGCTTCACTGTTTCTAGCCCAGTCTGCCCCTTCTCCATGAATTTCTAAATTCATTACACACACACACGCACACGTTTTCTTCCTCTTGCAAGGAACTTGGGGCAGTTTGTAAAAATACTTTTCCCCTTCCATTTTATCCTCCCGACAACCATGTGAGGTCAGCTGGTCCAACATCTACAAGGTCTCGAGGTGTGAAGAGCATCGGCGCTCGTGCGGGACTGACCCTGACACACACGGACAGATGCAGGAGGGGGGAACACGTACGGGTTCTTGGTACTGGGGACAATGTGTGGCTCAAACTCGCTGTAGTCCAGGACCCCTGGCGCCTTGCTGAGCCGCAGGTACTTCTTGCCACTGGTGTAGGCTTGGAGTTCGGGCAAACGGCAGGGCAGCTCATGCCCTGTCAACGTGCACCGGACCTGGAGGAGCAACACGGGAGAAAATAATACCCTGATGAGAAACCAGAGGAGACGCAGCCATCCAATATTCGGTGGGTGTTCGTTTTGCAGGTATTTGGCAGAAACCAAGCAGACTGCCAGAGGCGGATGTGTGAGCCCATTTGTACATAATTCGTGATCACTTCTAGCCACCAGCCAAGTTGTTAAACACAATTTATTATCTGTACAGCTTGTCTTTTTTGCCACAAGGAATCCAGGGCAGTTCACACAATTCTCTCCATTTCACCCCGTAACACCCTTCAAGGGGAGTCAGACTGAAAGTCAGTGACTGGCTCAAAATCACCCAGTTTTTGGAGTCGCACAGGCCACTAGACCACACTGTCTCTTCCTAAAAACACAAAAGAACATTAAAAACAACGCTTTAAGTATAACTGTTAAAAAGGCCAGTTAATAAAGGTACAAGACTGCTATAAACCACGCAGGTTTTTAAAAAAACCAACTTCTGCGTAACCAAATGCTATCTAACCTAGACCTTTTGCAAAAAGGCACAACTTTTAAACTAGTGTCAACTGTGGGGCAGGGGCCTCTTTAAGGTGGGAAAAATGTTGGGGACAAGCTTCTGAGCAGTCATTTGACATTACAACTCTCAGCACTCATGGCAGCTGGCTGGCCTTGCTAGCTGAAGCTGATGGAAACTGGGACTTCCCAAAATCTAGAGGGTACCAGATTGAGGAGAATTCCTCAACTGCCAGGTAAAAACCAGGAAGAATTCTGTGTCACTTAAAAATGAACTCCTTTCTAGAGGCCAAGGCTCCAGTCAACTGTAGACTCAAAATCTTCTGCCACAACACTCTATCCTTTCCCTAGTGTGGTGTCCTGGTTAAGGGACTGGGACTTCGGTGATCTGGGTTCTAGTCCCTGCCTGGCCGTGGAGCCCACCAGGTGACTTTGCGCCAGTCACAGACAGCCCAACCTACCTCACAAGGTTGTTGTGTGGATAAGTCTGAGAGCAGCAGGAGGGGAATGATGTAAACTACCTTAAAAATTCAAAGGCGATATTTAATTCAGATAAATAGTGGGATGTGAACCAACCAATTCCTAAAGGTAGCGGGGAGTTTCTCTAGGTAGGCTAGCCATTTTTTATTTCTTAAAAAAAGTACGCAATAACATCGTGCACTGCCAAGCTGCTTAATTTCGCCGTACTTCCGGCATAAGAGCCTCCGCCAACCCAGCGTCGTCCGCATGATTTGGACTACAATAACCACCTGGCCTGGATGGCCTAGGTGGGCGGGGGATGATAGACGCTACAGCCCCGAGCCTCCGGAGAAGCCTCACTGGCTGTGCGACGAGGCGCAGCCCTGGCGGCCAGACCCACCTTCCTCCCCGGCGGGATGAGGCGCAAGGCCGGGTGCGACTGCAGGAACCGCTCCAGCTGCCCAGCAGCGGCGCCCGGAGCCCGCTCGCACATGGCGGCGGCGGCGCGCGCGGTCCCAGGCCTTGGGGGCGGGGCCTGGGCGGGGCCAGCGTCGGGGCGGGGCGAGAGGGCGGCCAATCAGGTCGTGCCTCGCGGAGGAGGGCTCGGTCGTAGGGGTAAGGGCCAACAGTATGCCAGCGACCCCTGCCCACTTCTGGCTTTTCCCTGAAGGCCTCCCTTTGCGAGGTGGGAAAGTGCGCGTGCTGAGTCCGCCCCTGGTGGGCTGCTGCTGCTGCTGCTGCTGCTGCTGCTGCTGCTGCGTGATTTCATGCTCAAGACTCTGCCCTTCCGCCACATGGGGCTGTCCAGAAGCGTTAGAATCCCAGGGTTAGACACAGAGCAGAACTCCAGGTGTTTCGGAACCTGCGGCTCCTTGAATTCCTGGCCCTTGGCCATGCAAGGGCTTCTGGAAGTTGCACTGCAGAACAGCACGCGTTCTAGTCTTGTCCCCACTCATGTGTTAGACGACAACTTCCAGATGGCTGGCTGGGGGGATGCTGGGAATTGTACTCTGACACATCTGGAGAGCTCCCGGTTGAGAAAAGCCGCTTTTGTGAAGGCTTGTACTGATGGGGTGTTGTGCTCTTCATGAAAGGCATACTAAAATATATTATCCTTACATAATTATAAATAGTAACAAGAGTCTCTGTTTCTGTCGTTGGCCCCCTTCTCACGTTCAATTGAAAACCGGAACCGTGCAATGATTCCACGTATTCATTGACTTTTTTCCTCTTCCCGCTAGATGAAGTCAAGAAAGTGACGTGTACATCATAGAGTTGTGTGGGTAGAGTGGCAAGCTAAGTTGCCGGCTCCCAGGCCCATATAGAACAGAAGGCAAACCGTCACGGAAGTGACGTCACTCGGTTGGTCACTGGGACGCCTGAGGTTTGCCTGTTGCATGCAATTTCCCAGCGTTCGCCACCCGCTCTCTCAGCCGGAAGCGCCTTTTCCTCATATCCGCTAAGCGGAAGCAAAGGAATTGTAACCCCGGAAAGTGTCGTCAAAGGGAGGGGGAAATGGCTGCCCGGTTGCGGTTGCTAGGCAATGACTGGCTGAGGGGTTTCCTGCGGGGGTTCAGGGCCAAGGGGCAGGTAGGAGTCTTTGGAGGAAGCCGGCCGTTATGGGGAGGGCGGAATAGCCGCTGCCCAGCCAGCCCCAGATAACGGTTCCCGCCGCCCTTCTTTGGGCCCTTTCGGGCAACCTGACAGGCAGCAGCTAAACAGGTGAAGCACTGTTTTATTCTCCTGCCTTGGAGGTGGGGAGGGAGACAGTCTCTCCTTTTTAATTGTGCCTGTCAGGAAGGAATTAAACCCACAAGTTCGGCCAGGGAAAGCAAAGTAAACCTTGGTGTCCGGTCGTGGAGTCCGTTTAACTTGTGAAATGCAATCCTGTACAGCAGGAGTAGGAAGAGCTTAGATTGATGGGAGGGCAGAATGCTCTGCCTCATGTTCCACCACCAAGTGAGGGGAGATGGACAGCTGCCCACTCTCTGTAGAATCCTCCCCTTTTCTGCTTGTTTTTAGGCTGGCTGTTAAAACCTTGGGTTTTTCAGTTATGTATGGATCTTTAGTATTTTGAGGGTGCAGTCATAAACGTGTTCAGACAGAAAATGGCCTACAATTCCCAAGTCTGTTTGGGAAATGCTGGAAGTGTAAGAATATTATCTGCCTAATCAGGAATAGGATTGTGCTTCAAATTTCTCAGCTCCTTTTTAACTGTTGCTCATACTGTCTTTAAAAATAAAGCCTTTAGAGTCTCCTTTTCCCTAAAATATGCCTGAATGTCAGCGTGCTATGAAAGAACAGTAACAACATGTGTTCCTGCTTTTAGTTCTCTTACTATGTGGGCAGAAGAACATTGTTCGGCTTTCCCCGTTTTAACAGCCCCTCTGGTCTGTTACGGCAACATAATGGTAAGAAGATTTAAAGAAAACTAAGTCTTATTGAAATCAGTGAGAATTACTTCTGAGTAAATGGGCATAGGGTTGTGCTCTCAGGGAAATTTTAGTAGTTTAGCTACCAGCCACTTTAGTCAGACATGTTCAAGCCCAAGTCATGTCTTTTGTTTCTCTGCTCCCCTTGGGTATGGGAAGTGGGAAGATTGGAATGTTTTCTGCCTACTATTTTCTCCAGAGATAAAATGCCCTTCAGTGCAGTCTTTGCTCATTTGTCTTCTGCTGTCTCAACACTATTAGCAGCAGCAGCTGTTACTGAGTGAGAGGAGAAGGACAAGTGTGGCCATTCCAGCTTATTTGCTGAAAAACCTACCCTTTTTTCTTTCACGCTCTGTATCCTGTGCGTGTTTAGAATATTGGCTTACAGACGGGGCAATCCTGTTTCACTAGTTACATGCAAGCATTTCTGATAACCCTCTTGGCTGAAGAGAGGGTGTAAAATATTTCAGTTAATAAATAAATGCATTTCTGGCTAGTGTCGATAGTGTGTAACCTGCTGTTTTCAGACTCTTGTGCTGTCACCTTCATCTTCTTGTGTTGTTTTTTCAGAATCTCGCCAGAGGCTTTGTACATCAGTTTCCACGGCTGCTTCTGCCAAATCTGCGGAGGATGCAGCTCTCAAGTGGGGCCTGCTCCTAATCCCTGTGACCAGCTTTTGCCTTGGCACATGGCAGGTAGGTGTGAACAACACATGTGATGCTTGTTCTTTGCAGTTGAAGATTTGTGCAAATGCATGCGGACTGCAGAGGGACTCATTTTTCTTGTGTGTCTTCTGAGACACAAGGCAAGTGGCTATTTCAGCACACCTCAGATGATATGGGAATGATAGCCAGACACTGGTTTCTGCAATAATGACTCAGAAACTCTATGCACAGCATTTTGAGAGCTCATCACTGGCAGATGCGTGGTGTTCCTCTTCTTGCCCATTCTGTTTCGGGGGGATCTGAAGCTCTCTAAAATGAGAGAGCTGCAAATTTGGGGTTGGAGCCAGGACCTGCCTCCCACAGCTAGAAGAATGGGCTCCACTCAAGGATGTTCCCTCAGTTTTGGGGGGCCTGACCCACAACACAGCACACCAGATTTAGCAGGGGTTCCTGCTTTTTCCGTAGGGCATTTTCAGGGGACTGAAGGACTTGCTGTGAAATGGAAGGGATGGAAAATTCCAGTTCTGTCAGCACCCTTGATTCTGGATACAGTCCTCGATTAGTTGACTTGTCTGTTTTGCAAAATTCTTGTCACAGTTTGAAGGAAAGAATGTACATCCAGGAGGCATTTACATGTGAGATACAGGCCATCTTATGTGCTGTGCCTTGTCTATGTATTTTCTTAGCATGTTCCTATGTGTGTGTCCTTTATAGTAAGACCTCTTGAGCCTACTGGGACTCCTGGGTCTGTATATATCGCATTGCAGCCTTAGTGAATTACTGATAGCATTCGTTGGTTCATTGTGTGTCTTGAGTGTCCATCCTTCTGTGCAAGGGAGTTGTATGCTTTAAGTACAGCTTGGATGTTTGATCAGGCAAAAGCATTTTGATCAACTGACCGGTCAAATATTGTCAAATAATGGTTGTGTAGTGCTGAAGTGTTCACAGTAAAAGAATAACAAAGGTTATTAGCTGTCTTGATACTTAAGCTGATTATGAATAAACCTGAAAATCTGTAGTCTTCACTTGAAACTGCTTAACTGATTTTAGATATGTGGTCTGAAAATATTTCTTGAGTTTGGGCAGCCATCGGGGCGGTGGACTTCTGATAGATAAATATGATGTATTTAACTTTATTTCAGATAACTGGTAGCAAAACTATTTGTTTGATGAATGGCAGCAAATGGAACCATGGGGTGGGGAGGGGCTTTGTAGGAACTGGAGCTAAGAAATGCATAACACATTTCTGATAGGACACCTTTTCCATTGTACAAGTACTTCCATACTTGATCAGTGTAATACAATTATGGGAAAGAAACTCTGTACCTGGGAGGTGAATTGTCTTTTTTTCAGGCTTTATTACAGGGCAAAAGATAGCTCTGCAAGGCCCCTCAGAGTGTTTGTACATGTTTCAGATTCGGCGGAGGAAATGGAAGTTGGAGCTGATTGCTGACTTGGAAGGAAGAACTGCAATGGAGCCAGTTCCACTGCCGTCAGAGTAAGTACAGAGAAGTGGTTTATATCCTGTTCAAGTTGGAGTTAGGTCAAGGATGTTGTTTAGTCCAAGGGCCAAATCTGAGAAGTACTTGGGGGCAAAAGGGGAAAGGCCAAGAACTCCAGTGAACTTTAGTGAACTTTAACTTGAATCTCTTATGTCAAGAACTAAAGCTTAGGTATTGCCACCGTTTTGAAGGGGGTAGGGTGGGGGTAGAAATGCTCAACAGTTGGGACGATGCTACTCAATGATTGGTGGCCGGGGGAAGCAGCTGGGACTAGCGGAGGAGGCATGGCCCTCTAGGGATCGCCAGAAGGTTGCTTGAAGATCCCAAGGTGGACTGGGTTCAGCCCAGACGACTGAGGTTATGTGCTTCTAGATGTCACTTAAACATTGCCAACCACCAAAACAGTGGTCGTGCTTTTTGTGCTGCAGAACTTAAATAAGCAGAGCTTTTCTTGACATGGAAAGAAATTGAAAGGAGAAGCTTCACCTGTGCAACTTCTGGGTGCCAGGCAGCTGTGGAAGGCACATGGGGGGGCAATTTTAAAAAAAGGATAGCAGCGCTGTTTCTGTACGTGCTCCCTTGCCTCTTGTATCTGTTTAATGCAGTTCTAAATTCCTCAGGGCAGTTTTGCAGAGCACATCAATATCATCAGAAATAAGGAATAATAAATTTGTGGCCAGAACTGAAGTCGGCTTGCTCAATTTGGAAGATGAGGTCTGCTTTCAGAGCTGAGCTTTCTTACATAGCTAGGCATTTTGGGGTCAAGCTTGGCTGCAGCTCTCTCCTATTTATTTATTAGATTTGTTTCTCGCCTCATTAGCCATAAGGCTCCCTGGGTGGGTTTGGTCCAGATGTGGTTTCTCCAGATGTAGTGGGCTGCAGCTTGCAGTACAGCCCATGCTGGCTGGGGTTGTTGCTGCACATCGCAGCCCAACACATCTGGAGGTGCACCGGCTTGGGAAAGGCACGTTTATTATGTTCTAGCCTCTGCTGCCCTTGTTCATCGCTGTGGTAAACGGCTAGAAATCTGTTCCTGGTACCCATAGCTGTTGCTCGCACTGCGTATTGTGCATCAGCCCTCAGAGGAACATCTTGCTGTTCCTTGGCGTGAGCTTCCCACTTCTGGCTGCAACGTGGCCTCTCATCCCAGTTCTGCTGTTCTTTCCTTCTGTAGCTTCCTGGCACTAAAGGAGTTGGAGTACAGACCAGTCAAAGTGCGAGGGTATTTTGACCACACCAAGGAACTGTTCCTCATGCCACGCTCGCTGGTGGCATCAGAGAAAAAGAACGAGCCTGGGAACGCTGGCTCGCTGATCTCGAGACCGGAGAGCGGTGCCAATGTCATCACGCCCTTCCACTGCACGGACCTTGGGTAGGTGTGTCACCAGGGAGAAGGTGCCAGCTGCCCTCCTGTATCCTCCCCTGTGGGTGAGCCCCACTGGACCCTGTACTTATCTATGGGGCTGTGGTGTTGGAGGGAGCTGGTCCTTCAGTATATGCTACCCACTCTATCATCAGGTGGGTGGGAACGCCCAGCATAATAGGAAAGAGCAGAAGAATAGATCTGAGAAGTTGTGTCCAAGCAGGGTGGGGGCTGTGGATGGATCACAGCACATTATGACTTGGTTCACACCCCACAAGCCAGAGTCGCGGTTGAAGTGCGAGCAGTTGTGGAACGGTGGGCTGTGGCGTTCTGTGAATGCAGGGGCAGGAATCAACGCTGGATTGTTAACCACAAACAATCCACAAGGAGAAGCCGTCATTTCTGGTTGGGCTGTGAACTCTGGGTTGTTCAAGCATGGCAGGGCTCGCGCAATACAACCACCTGCATTTCCATGAGAACCTGCATCCGTCTTGTGCAGTGTGAAGCCAGCTGCAAGCTGCTCAGGTGGACACATCCTTGACTGCCTCTTTTCTCCTACCTCTATCCCTGGGTCACCAACAGGCAAAAGGATTCAGTGCGGTCCTGCCAGCAGGATAGTGTGCCGGCCTATCTGGGTGGTCACTCAATTGACCTCCGCTGTGATCATACCTGAGTGAACTTGCTAAGCTCTTACTACTGGGTGTCCTGCTTCCATTTTTACTGCATTTGTCTTCTCTTTTTTTCCTGCTCCTTCAGAATCACAATTCTTGTCAACAGAGGGTTTGTTTCCAGAAAGAAAGTAAAACCAGAGACAAGGTTGAAAGGACAGGTAAAGCAGTCGTGGGGGGAGGGGTATGTGTGTGGATTTTCCATGGGGTGCATTTGTCAATCAGTCAATATCCCAGAAGCAGCAATTGTCCTATACTCAACGGCACCTTTTTTCTGGGGAGAATGAAGCCTTACCTTATCCATGAGTGTGGCAGTGTATCTTGGGTTGGCTGCACCCTCTTCCTTACCATGGAATGGCTGCTTGTTTAGGGGCTCCGGGCTTTCTAAGTGTTTTAGCTTGTTTTTTAATTCAGGAATTCAAGTTAATTGCCTTCATGACTTTCAGAATTGTTTGAGTTGCAAGGACTGTATCTGCTGATAGTCCTGAAACTGGTGTCTTGGTATTTTGTGGCCTGCACATGTCACAAAGGTTCTTCCTTTCCACTTTGCTGCTGTGGGTCCCTGTCGAACATTCCAAATGCTTTGACACCCTCCATCTTGCCATCCAGATCCAAAATTTGGACAGAATTTGGGAAAGCTGCTTTTAAAATACACATTCATTAGACTATGCCTATTTTCTGCTTCCAAAAATATTCTTTATTCAGGCTGCTCATTGGATAATTAAAATTCTGTCTCATTTATTCTGCAACTGTGAATTTACGTTCAGCTTTTGCTAGCCATTTGAAAAGGGAAGGAACACTGAGCCCTGCTCTCATGTACTAGAAATCTTACCCTTTCTTTGGCTTCTGAGATTTTAACAAGAACTTTGGAAGCAACTGTGAACGTTTTTATTTTTTTTAAAGCCAAGATCCTTGAGAAGCTGGATTTCATGTGTGTTAATACATCTATACTAAGCCACACAATCCAGGTGGTGGTTGTTTTTTCAGAAGGGCCAGGTTCCTTAAGGTCTGTGAAACTTTGTGCATTCTAAAAAGGCAAGAACTGCCATTTCCCTCTTCTTGTCAGATCCAAGAGGAAATTGAACTCACTGGGGTGGTGAGGCTGTCGGAAACGCGTGCGCCCTTTGTGCCGGAGAACAATGTCGAAATGAATCGGTGGCACTACCGGGACTTGGATGCCATGGCGAGAGCAACAGACGCAGAGCCCATTTTTATTGACGCGGACCAGAGTAAGCCCCCAAAGGACTCGGGCAGCCGGAGGGCTTCTGGTTGTTTCATACAGCTTCCTTATTGGCCAGAGAAGGCAGTATTGAGAAAAGTGAATCAGAAGCATTTTCCCTGACTGCTTAAAATTAGTTTACTCCTAGGCCTGCCTTCCCTCTTTTCTAACTAGCAAGAATGTTGGAAACTGGTATTGGCGGCAACATCTAGTTTTCCTCCCCAGTAAATTTCTGGTTACTTTACAGCAGGGTGCAGAACCCCAGGATCAGAGTCCCTCTGGGCTTCTCCAGGGGACCATGGGCTTGACTTCTTTTCAGTCCGTTTTAAGAGTTTGATTTTGCTTAGCTTCCCGCCCTGCCTCCCATTCTGAGAGGTTGGGATGTTTCTTCTGAGGCCTATATACTAGCAGTGAGAGCCTTAAATAAAAACCACCCCGTTTAAATGTTGCCTTCAGCCCCACTCACCTTTGGAATGCAGTCCCTGAAAGCTGCTTTGAAATGGAATCTGGCCTTTGGTCTGGAAAGCGTGCTGCTTTCCTGTTTAGATGCTCTCACTGGCTGGGGGAAGCTAGGAGGAGCGATTGGGCCTGAACATGCTGCCTGCTTATTCTTGCAACTACCCAGAATGCTCAGCAATTCTGGCTTGACCTTCTGTCCAGTGCACTGCAGGAAGTCTGGTACCGCACTTCACTCCAGTTCATTCCTATCTTCTTCCCTCTTGCAGGGAGCACAGTTCCAGGGGGGCCCATTGGGGGCCAGACACGTGTGACCTTACCCAACAATCATACGCAGTATATCATTACTTGGTGAGTGAGCTGGGAGGGTGCTTTGGAGGAGGCCTGCTGAACCCGACCAACGGCCTGTTGAGGCCAGCATTCTCTTCACGCGTCCCTTCTCTTTAGGTATGGCTTGTGCCTGGCCACTTCTTACATGTGGTATCAGAAGTTCATTCGGAAGGTGCCCCTCTAAGCCTTACAGCTCCATTCTACAGAACTCACAGAAGGCTGCAACAGCGGCTCGTCAGTGGAATCCGACTGGCCTTCATGCTGCACTTCCATGATCTGAACCAAGGGCTCTGGATCTGTGTTCTGCTTGAAGTCAGCTCAGGGGACTTCTGGTAACTGGCTTGAAACAGCATTTTAACTGCATTAAGTCTGCCAAATTAGGGGTGAAAAATGGGCCTTTAAATGTTATAATGAAAAATCATGTACGGAAATTGCTAATTTGGAGGGCAAAGGGTTGGTAGAGGTAGTGCAGCATGTTTGACCCAAAAATACAAAAGTGTGTTTCTTGAAATACTGGGTGTTTGTGGTAGAAAATCATGATACCTTTGCAAGGTTTTCTCCTTAGTAATTAAATTGACTGGACCTATTCCACCCTCAACAGCTGAAAGGGTCTTTCTTAGATCCCCCCCCCCCCCAAAATGTACCAAAACCAGTGCGATTTTCTTTCTACAGCAAAATCACAGCCGTTTCCCGTGACGCCTGCAGCCAGCTTTGGCTCGGCCAATGCTAGTGCTTCAGCTCAGCCGTCGCACTGCTCATGCCATTTGTACTCCTAAGAGATATGGAAGGCAGGTTTCTGAACTCCAGCTGCTCTTCTGTTATTTTCCACTTGCTGTGCTTTGTCCATCTGCTGCTGCAGCCTCCAGAGGCAGAATTGTTAACAGTAGCCTGCCAACTTTCAAGCATGGTTTGTAGCTGACTTTAGACAAACCTGTTTGGACTTCTCCCTCTCACATGTAGGGCATCTGTGATTGTACCTGCCCAATATCCTCCAACGAAATAGGAAGCATCCTTGAGACTGAAAGAGTTCCTTACCCCTGGTTCATGCTTTACACTGGCAGTGAGCACACACTGCTTTGAGCCACAGTCATAAGCTCTCCGGTGGGAATGATAAAAAACACTAGTCGAATTATGCTGCAAGAACATTTTTGGGGGTATACTTGAACTCCTGTTAACGCTGGATTTCTAGGACACCAGCATCACCTCCTCTGGGAGGCTACAATCAGAAGGAAGGAATGCTCGGAAGAGCTCAAAGCAAGGGCCGGTGGCACTGCAAGAAGTTAACGTCAAAACAACTGTTAATTCTCCTGAAAAGACTTTGCCATTATCTACGGACTTGTGCAGTGATTCCTGGAAGTTGCTACCATGAACCAATTCTGTTTGGTATAAAGTAGAAAAGGCTTGGAAATGAAAACAGACCCAGCTCAGTTTGATTTTTTTTATGTACAGAAAAACTGGAGGCACGTCTGATCCATCTACCCGAGTTTAGTGGCCAGTTCTTTAGCCTTTGCTTTTTCAAGCTTGGCAATGCGAGCCACTGACTTCGGGCCCAGAACATTACCACCCCAGTGGCGACGGATCTGAGGAGAGAAAGAAAGATGCACTTAACTTCCAGAGTATTACTTCAGATGCTCAGCATCTCTCAAGTGACAGACTGTGCATAAGCTACCCCTAGGAAGCACTAGCAAGTCTGCTTCACTGCATCGTTGCCAAAGGGTCAAACACCGGGGTGGGGGCTAGGCCGAGATGCAATACGGGAAGGCAGAACAGCTCGTCAGTAACAGCACGCACCATGACTCTGCAATAACTTGTAAATATTGAGGAAGAGGGTGCTGGCTCATGAAGTGCAGATGGAAATGCAGCTGCGGCCTGCTCCAACGGCACTACATCAAGTATGAGCATTTCCTCTACCGGGTATTTAGCAATACTGGTGCTATCATGGCTTCCCGAAACACTTGGATGGGTGCAACCCAGTACGGTTCAGTTATGTACTTTCCAGCATGCCATCAAGACACTACAATCTAGTTGGTCGCCCGTGAGCCTGGACTGAACCTTCAGAAGTGACAAGAATTTCACAGACCTCGATTCTTTTGGCTGTGAGAGAAAGTGAATGAGATACTGGTACTTGGGAGGGAGACTCTCTTCCAGGCCCTGAGCTCTGCATCATCTTACCTCATCGTATCTCTCATTATAGTTGGTCTTGACAGCTTCCACCAGTTTAGCCAGGGCTCCCTTGTCTTCCCTGCACAGGAAAGAACGTGCGTACATTGGCAACAGAAAGCTAACTGAAGCAGACCATGCAGGGCACCCTAATCTTTGGGTGTGAGTGGGCACACTTGGATGTCCCCTCCCAAAAACGACCATAAGGCGAAGTGAGGGTGAACCACAAACTGAGGCTCAAAGAAGTCATTTACCCAAAGGACGACGCAGGGGAGAAGGCCTGCTATCCAAATGACAGACCTGCATTTTGAATGGCACTGGTGCTGGAGGGCAGCCCTTTGCGGTTTGCTGGCCTCCCCATTTTAAAATGAATCGCAATCTTAATCAGAATGGGAAAGGAACAGGTATGTGCGTGGGCCCCTGGCAGCCTGCTGCAGGGGCCTAGCAGACTAAACCAGCCGCGGCACCAACAAATACAGGGACTGGGACATACAAATGAAGGCTTCACAGCCTTGGGCCTGGAATCCTGCTGCTTTTGCTAGTGACTGCTGCAACAGCTCACCTGAAATTTGAACCCCTCACCCAAACCACACCTGGCCTTTGTAGGGGGTTTCCAGAAGAACTGCCCTATTCAAAACCTTTTGAAAGGCTACTTACGGATTAACCTGAGTGAAGGCAACACAGGTGCAGGTCTTTCGATGGACAAGGCGGCCTAGCCTGGCCTTGCCTTTGATGATGCAATAGGGGACTCCCATTTTTCTGCACAAAGCAGGCAGGAACACAACCAGCTGGAACAGAAGGGAGAAGACATGCTAACGCTGGGCCTGCAGCAGCAGCTTCACTGCGACAAGCGGACTGGTGTCCGGGCTCTGGCAAGCGCTCAGGGTTAAAAAGCTCGTATATTCTTGCTCTTCAGACGGGGTCAGGTGAAGAAATTCAAACATCACTGCAGTTACCAAGCCCGGACTGATGAACAGTAAAGGGTACATTTCTCGCAGCCTGATGTTTTTGGCACAGGCTGGGACTTCCTATCTGCTGGCTGAGGAATGCTGGAAGTCAGTTACTCAACTGGATGTCCTGGACATCCCGCTGGGAAAGGCTGGACTTTTAATAGCGGTGCTGACCTTTCCCCATCCCACCAGCCAAATCCTATTTTGAAGAAGCTCTTGGAAGCAACATCTAGTGATGGGTGGAAATACAAACAAGAGGGACAGGGCCGAATTAGCAGGCTTATTAGGATATCTGAGCATAAAGCTTGTATAGCCAGTAACTAAGCCTTAGGAAAGGAGGCTGAGGATCCACGGAGGATCCCAGGGAGAGCAGATTTAGCTTTCACAGTGTTACTTTGTGGAGATGGCACATCAAATTCTCTATGGGCCCCCGAAGCACCTCCGTTTTTAAGTTCTGTTGCCAAAACTGAAACCAACCATACCCCAAATAGATCTTTCCAAGTAAGTTCACAACATCTGACAAAGGAAGAAGATAGTGCTACAATGAAAGGAAGTGGCGAGAGAGAAAAGGCTTTCTGTAGTTATGTACGGGAATGCATTAATTACTCCACATAAGTCCCTCAGCTCAGCAGCAGAAACACTGTTTTCTTAGGTCCAGGCTGTGTAGCATCATCTCACCTCAACAGGGTCGACATCGTGTGCAATCACCACCAGCTGGGCCTTCTTGTTCTCCACCAGGGTTGTAACTGTATTGACACCTGCAGAACAGAGCAGCTAACTGAAGCCAGGCAAAAACCACAAAACAGGCCACCTGTAGGAAAGTGGAGCAAACTTGCTCATAACTTTGAAACGGGTTTTATTAAGCCACTGGCTCTTGCTTGGATGCACCAGGGACTGGAAGAACAACCTGCTACAGCTCAGGGTTAAAAAGCTCGTCTGTTTGATCTTCAGTTTGCAATTCAGGTGAAGAAATTCATACATCATCGCAGTAGTTGGTTGCCCAGTCACCAACCCACTTCCACCAAGTTCAACCATATGCAGGTGTAGGTTCCAGAAAGATCACCTGCTCTCAGCACAGGAGGCCGCTTGGTTGGAACATCGCCTTTCCCAGCAGCTTTCTGCTCTGCTCGAGCCAGCAGCCTCTGCTTCTTCTCTTGCTTTGTCTCCGGTCTGTATTTGTGGGCCAGTTTCAGGAGCTGAGTAGCTGTTGAGAAAGAACATTTACTAATCCTAATTCTGTCTCCACTTACCAACCCCACCCTGCAAAGGAGAAGTCTTTGTGCATCAGAGATCTTGGTGGTTGGGAGTCATCAAGAAAGCTCAGATAGCAAATATTTGCTAGCATCATCTGCACATGGACAAAAAAACTTTTTTTAAAAAAATAGTTTTGCTAATTAGAAGATATCCCACAAACATTCAATCTGAAACCTAGCAGAATAGAAAAGTTTGGGACTTTGTTGCCCAAGTTGCTAACTATATATTTGAACTGCCTCCATCTTGGAGAAGGTCTCTGTTGGCAGTCTTCATACCACCACCCACAAACTGCACCCTATGATACACAACTTCTCTCAAGCATGGTCAAAGAAGTGAAGACCTGGAGACAAAAACAGAATTCAAACATTTTTTTCCCCATGGACCAAAAAGTCCCTGGGGGAAAGAGCTCTAGTTCTGTTGTATGTGCATGCTGTTTGTTCCTGGGCCTTCATACCTTTATGCCTGCCTCCTTGCAGGTTCCCAAAGACCTCTGCATTCAAGGGGTCACTGTATGCCACTCCACTCCACTCTGAGGCAAAGCCCAAACAATATGCCAGTAATTACCTGTCTGGCGGTCCAAAGCTTGTGTGAACTGGTTAACTGCTGGGGGTACCTTCAGCCTTTTGTAGAGGATTGCTCTCTGGCGCTGGAGGCGGATGTAACGGGGCCATTTCACAAAGCGAGTCAAGTCCCGTTTGGGTTGGATATCCTGGCCTGAAAAGCACAGCACAACTCTTAAGAACAGCTTCTTCCTTTGGAAAGTCTACCTTGAGTCTTGTGACTCTGCAAGGACACAGTCTTGTCTCTGAGCTATGTAAATTTTAGCTCTCTTGTAGAAAAGCTGCATGAGCATCAGCGATCTTGGTGGGTAGATCTGTCAGCACAATTTCTCAGATAGCAAATATTCATTTGCATCATTTGCTCACAGCCCTCAGTCCATTCCCACTACTTTATTTCCATTCCTGCCCACAATTATGTCAACAGGAACTTATTTTAGATGGATCTGCTTATTTATTGCCAAGTCAAACACTTGTTTTGTGGCTTAAAATTTACCTAAAATCAGGCTAGCAAAAAAGCAGCTGCTGCAAACTAGTTAAGTTTTCAAATAGTAAGAACTCTGCCTAGACTCACCCACCCCACCCATTGCTTTGGTAATCATTCTAAATGATTTATCTATTTAAAATATTTTTACCCATCCTACACAGAAATTGTCCCAGGATGGCTTACAATACTAAGAACAATAAACATATATAATAAACAAAACAAAATGCAACTGCAAATAAATTAAAACCAAGTTAAAGTTCCTCAACCCTTAAAATAATGGGTAAATAAAAAGGTTTTTACCTGGCGCCGAAAAGAATATAAAGCCAGCAGGCGCCAGACAAACCACTCTGGGGAGCACATTCCACAGTTGGGATATTGTTTTAAATTTTTTAAAGGATATTGGCACATCAGTTGGGTAGAAATACTGCCAGAAGAATCTCTGTAGGTTGACAACGAATAATCTGAGAAGTCAATCTAAAAAGCGGGCCTTTACATTTTTAAGTATTTTTTCTCAACTCCTGGATGCCATATATTGCCCCTGAATGTTGCTTTGAACAACAACTCCCAGCATTCCCAACCACTGGCTATGCTGGCATGGACTGATATGAACTACAGTCCCAAAACATCTGGAGAGGCACCAGGCTGGCAAATGCAAAAATAAAGCGATGTCTCTCATACATTCAGATGCCCTGATAGGCAAGGAACAACCAAGCCCCATAATCCCTCCTGACCCACTCAACCCCCCTTCTAACTCACCAATGCCAAAGTTCTTGGGCCTTTTCTCAAAGAGAGGGTTGACAACCTTCTTGGCCTCTTGCTTCTTGACTACAGCAGGGGCCGGGGCCACCTTCTTCCCCTTCGCCTTCTTCCCCTTCGGCTGTAAATGTGAAGGTCGAAAGAGTGAATACAAATGCTTTCCAACATGCCAGGGCTCACTTGACTTCTGAGTTCAACTTTAAAGACCAAAGTATAGCGACTCCCTGCACATTCCCAGTGCTTTAGTCCCCCCAATGCTACTAAGGGCAATGACAGCCAGCTGAAAGACAAGCAAATTTACTAACTTTCCTAAATTATAGCCCAAGACAGCTAATACCAAAATAAATCTATTAATTTTTATGGTGTGACAACATTCAGTAACCCTTTGGAAATTGTTACTAGGGACACAAAAGCTCTGAAAACCCAAGAACCAAACTGTAATCACCCTACTTTTGGATGTAAAACAGTAGTTCCCATATACGAAGCCACAAGAACATACTGGTATTTTTAGTATACAAGACCGCTAGGATACAAGACACACATCCTGCAGAGGACACCACAACCATATTCCAACCAGCAAAGACAGGGAAGCGGCAGTGACTGTACACACAGCCTGTCACATTTCAGTCTTAATTCCAGAGCCAACAGTAGCAAAAAGACTCCCAACATATTCAGTCTATTTTCTCAGATGTGCTTAAGCGTGAAAAGGGAAGCGATTTAACAGCTTTCCTCAACTTGGTATCCTCTGGATGTGTGGAAGTGCAACTCTCAGCCTCCCCTGGCCTGTTATACTGGAAGCTGTGGTCTCTACACACCTGGAGGGAATCAAGTTGGGGAAAACTGTGCCATGGCAAGGAGATGAAATAATGTATCCCTTTCTCTGATCACGATTTAGAACATGGCCACCTGAATTTCTAGCCCCAGCCTCTGCGAATTGTATGTTTTCTGTACTAGCATTAACCTGATTTAAGAATACAGTTGCAGTATCTGAAAAGGAACCAAGACTTCAAACTAAACAATCGCTCAAGGGTTACCAGCATCATATGAAGTCAAGCCCACCCGTTCTAGCTGCTCTAGGAGACTAGAGAGATCTAGGAGACATTAACCAACCCCAGCTATGAACACTGTCCGGGCCTACTTTCTGACTGGCTCTAAAATGGGGAACGTATGGCCCCTCTGATTGTCCCTGGACTGCCGTGTTCATCCACCCTACCAAGTGTGGCCATTGTTGAGGGATGAAGAAAACGGCAATCCAAGAGCACCTCGAGGGCCCACGTTTCCCATCAATGCACGAGGCATCAAATCGTTTTCATCGCACTTCCAGGTCAGAGGTGTCCTCCATCCATTCTGGGATCAGCTTCCCATCAGCATGGCCAGTGCTCAGGAATGCTGGGTGCTGTAGTCCAAAACGTTAGGCTGGCCAAGACAGCGGACTGCCTATCTTTCCTCCAGCTTTTCCCAGCAAGCAGCCTGGATCCCTGCAGCTATGCTTACTCTGCGCACCTGAACTAATTTCCAAGCGGCGGAATCGCCATGGTGTCCCCTCCTGCACTATTTTTAAAAATGCACATCGATGATCTCTAGATCATGCCAGTACTTGGGAATCGCGAACCCCGAATGGGGTTGAAACCCTTTTCTGTGTAGCATTAAGGCATTCTTTAATCCAGATTTTACTGCGTGTTCGCACAAGACATGTAACGCAAGACCCCTTCCATGATAAAGGATCGTGAGCACTCCCCACCGGGGGGCTGAATGAGAGGACCCAAAGCAGAGCAAGGCCTAACCCTGATCGAAGCCCACACCGGGACGCCCTAAACCGGCTTCCAAGCATCCCTCCCTTCCCATACAAACAGTTCCGTACACGACAGGGTTCCGTGCCTCCGCTACGCGGTGGAGTGCGGCCACCACCCCGTTGGCCGCGGGGATGGCGACAGATTGAGCACACCCCCCCCCCCCCAATCACGCAACAACTCACCATCTTGGCTTGTAAAATAAAAAGAAAGAGTGAGGCATGCCGGGTAATATTAAGACTCTCCGGCTCTCGCGAGAGAGCTTCCGCAAGTCCCGCCGGAAATGGCTTTAGCGGCGTATAGACGCGAGAACAGAGAAGCCGAGCCTATAATGTAAAGCCCGAAACCTTTTACCATAGAGAGGCGCTACGCCATAAATATAGAGAAGCCCAACTCATGAAAATAGAGTGCTTGTGGATGGAGCGCCACTGCAGACCAGCAGGGAGGTGTTGCATTTCCGCGCCACTTCCTTTTCTATTTCTACCTTCCGTTAAGGCTTGGGTTCTGTAAGGTTGTACCGCTTTAAGAAACTCGCGGGTGGTTAGAAGGCGGCCGTAGAAGAAAAGACTGGCACCGCAGGCAACCAATTAAATTTCGGGAGTGGGGTTCGGGCGGTCGGACGCAGCCAATCGCAGCCGGCTTATGCAGAGAGGTGTGGAGAGCTGCGAGCGGAGGGGCAGGAGCGGTTGTTGGGGGCAGGTGGTGCGCGAGTAAGAATTTTCCAAGCTAGGAGCGTTTCAAAAAAAAAAAAAAAAAAAAAAAGGCGGGTTTCCCTGGTTGGGTTGGAGCTGTAACTCTTTCCCTTTCTTTGATTCTTTCAGCAGAGGCATCTTTTCCCAGCCCCCAAAATGTCGCAGCAACGAGTCTTACCACAGAGCAAGGAGACCCTCCTTCAGTCCTACAACAAGAGACTGAAAGATGACATCAAATCCATCATGGATAATTTCACAGAGATAATCAAGACCACAAAGGTAAATGGGCGGGAAGGAGGATGCAGAAGGCCTCGCAGGCCTCTTCCCCAGACCTCAGTCTGTCTTTTTGCAGGCCTGACTAGAGCAGAAGTTTCCTTACAGTATCAGCCGTGCTTTGAGCAATTCAGGTGGCTCCAGTAAGCGAGTCAGGCTGCATTTTCTGCAAGAGTGAAAGTAGCCTTGCTAATCAGCTGAGAGGCAGTGGGGAAGGTGGTTTACTTGTGTGGCTCCTTAAAAACATGGAGCATTAGGGAAGAGAGGGAACAAACCTGGGGGCAGGGTAGAGCAAGGGGACACTTTGCTTTGCAGAACAGCATTTAGGAAAAGATGTTGAACCGAAGTTAACTTCACTGCAGACGTGGAGAACTGCAGGTCTTGGGATCCCATTCTGGACTCAGGTTTGTCCCTTGGACTTCCCAAGAAGACTTTGCTCCTTTCCCACAACCATTGTTTGTTTTCTAGCTTTTGTGCAGCTTTCCCCATCCTCAAACATCAAAATGCCTCTCTTAAGGCTTGGTGGCTTGCAGCAAGATCTTTCAGCTGCTGGTGGATTGGGCCCATCCTGTCTGCCTTTGTCCTGCCCCCTTTTGCTTTTGCCCACCTACCTCTGGCCCTCCCCTAGTGTTTCTCCAAAATGGAATTTGGCCCTCAGGACACCCTGCCCTGTTTTGGCTTAAAAACAGAATGAGATATTTTCAAATAAGCCATTCTTTTGTTGTGATTTTCTAATTCCTTTCGTAGATTGAAGATGAAACCCAAGTGTCTCGGGCAACCCAAGGCGAACAGGACAATTATGAGATGCATGTCAGGGCCGCAAACATCGTGAGTAAAGGAAGGCCTTAGAGACCACAATGCTTCGTAGGGGACTTGAAAGATCATTGCCTTTAAATATATTTTTTCCAATCAGTGACTGCAAAAGAAGTTGTGAATGGCAGGGAAACTCCTGGGTCCACACCCTAGCGTAGGGAAAACTCTTCTTCAGCTGGAGAAGGTGAATTAAGAGACTGGTGGGTATAGAAACACTGGACCTGCCTTGTATCAAGTTAAGCCCTCAGTCCAGCTAGCATAGCAGCAGCATTCCAGGGCTTCAGATGGGGTTCTTTCAGAGCCCTGTTGAACCTGGGATATTTTGCATGCAACATATGTGAACAACAGTTCCTTAAAATTAAAGTTTCTAGTCCTCATGGTTCTGATAATGTAATTAAACCAGAACATCTGCCTACTCTGGCTGTTTCAAGCTTGGTACGTGCAGCCTTTCCTTCTTCCTTCATTGTTAGACAATTTAAGGGAGGCTTGCATAGCTGAACCAATAGACTGATGAAGAGCCTGGAAGCTTTAACACATGGGTCCTCCAACTACGGCCCGCGGGATGGATCCGGCCCACCATGGCCATCCATCCGGCCCGTGCCGTGTGCTCACTTGCTGCGCGGGCGGGGAGGTGGTGGTTTTGGACTCACTGGGAGATGTCTGAGTGAGCCACTCCCACGTGTGCTCGATGCCGCCTCACTGGCCCGCGTCACCAGGCACCCCCACCTCCTGCCCACGGCCCTTCAGCTGGCCCCCTATTGAAAAAGCTTGCGGACCGCTGCTTTACCATGTGAACACCTGTCCTGGAGCTTTAAATGGTACATTCAGTGATTCAGGCGACCCCATGGCCCCTAGACAGCTTTCATCTCTCAGTCAAGGGAAGTTCTGACTGGACCATCCTTGAAGATGGGGGAGGCCAGCCGGCCTGTTCGCACCCATTTGGATCCCAGGCGCTCCATGCTGACTGGCACTCTCAGGGATGGAGCCTGAGGCCTGGGCCTGGAAAGTGGGTGCCCGCCCTGGCGCTATGGCCCTGCCCTCTGCCTAGCATCACTGGCCCGTGCAGTGCCAGGTGGCATTTCACAAGATCTGCTCCAAGGATCTTGGAACCATTAAAGGGGAAAACGTGTTGCGTTCAGATAATACAGGGCTGCGGGTTTTAAACGTGTGGCTGTCACAACTAGGTCCGGGCTGGTGAGTCCCTCATGAAGCTCGTCTCTGACCTAAAGCAGTTCCTGATCCTGAATGATTTCCCTTCCGTCAACGAAGCCATCAATCAGCGCAACCAGCAGCTACACAGCCTGCAGCAGGAATGTGACAAGAAGCTCATTGCCCTGCGGGATGAGATCTCTGTTGACCTCTACGAGCTGGAGGAAGAATATTACTCTTCCAGGTACAAATAAGGCGGCAGAGGATACTCTAGTAACCGCAGAAGTGCCTAGTCTGGCCCTGAAAAAAAGCAGTAGTCCTGCAGCGTTCTGGAATATTTTGTTGCTCAGCCCCGACATCCTGGCCTGGGGATCTCTTTTTAGCAGTCACATAACCACTTGTGACTTTCAATGCTTGTTTCATAGCATCCTGCTAAGCCGTGATGTATGTCTGTTGCAATCCGGCCTCCTGTTTGTGTCCAAACCCATCCCCACAGACAAGCCATGGTTTGTGAACCAGCAGTAAACGGACGCCATGGTTTGTGCTTGGCTTACAAAGCCCGGCTTGTACACACCAGGGCTTGCTGTACTGTCTGAACCATGAGCCATGGCTTGTTGTTTGCTAGTTTGCACCACAACTCGCCTTAAAACAGCCACCCAGCAAGAGCCCCCTGAAAATGGCATTGCTCTGATGGCAGGAGAGGAAAAAGCAAAAATTGGGGGTGGGGGGAAGCCACATTTTTTTGCTCATCTGCAGAACAATTTATGGTTAAGGCAACAAAACATGATCATCTTAAACAAGAGGTGCAGAAACGCAGGTCCAGAGACCAAATCCTGCCTGCCTGGTGTCCCAGTTTGCCCACCCAGTTCCCGCTGTGCTCATGCCGTCTCTCCTTTCCCCCAAACGCCTGTTGTTGGAGGGCTCCTTGCTTTTTCCGCAGTCTTTGTCCCAGAAGGCTGAAGCGCGTCTGTTAAGGCTTAGGTGTGGGCAGAAGAGGTGTAAGCCATGATAGGTGGGTGTGTCCGCCCTGTCCCCTCTTGCTTTGGACCCCAAGAGTTTCTCGGACGTGGTATTTGGTCCGTGGGCTGAAGGAGGCTCAAGACACCTCTGCAAATGTGACTTAGTGTGGAAACGCAGCCAAAGAGGACTGAAGCCCTGATCATAGCCCCCCTCAAACTGGAGCAAGGGTTCGACTGGAAGTGCCTGGGAGGTTTGAAGGAGTGCCTCGTTGTTGCTCGTGTTTCAGCTCACACCCCGAAAGTGGCACTTTGGTTGGAGTTCTTTTCCTTTCACAGAGGGGCGGAAGAGGAGGTGCATAACAGAAGCCAAAGTACCTATCCTGGGGCCCTCCAGATGTTTTGGACGACAGCTCCTGGAGCTGATGGGAGTTGATGTCCAAAGCATCTGGAGGGCACCAGGTTGGGAAAGGCTCGTGTTGATAAATATAAAAATATGAACTTATTCTGCTGGCAGCAGCTGCTTCCGTGTGTTCCCCATCCAGGCAGGTGTTCAGAAGACCACAGCCTTGCCTTGCCTTGCCTTGCCTTGCCTTGCCTTGCCTTGCCTGCTGGAGTTTGCACTTCACCCTGACCGGTATTTCTTTCACACCCCCACCCGGCTTCAGGGTTTAATCCAGGCTTTTTCAGCAGCACCAAAGAAATCCGCAAGCCTGCGAATCCATGAGACGTGACCTCTTGTATGCATATTTAGATGGATGATGCATTTATTAGTAGTAGTATTTCGAGAATGGAATCTTAGGGTACGGTATGAGCAAGAGCTTTCCGTGCAGATAAATAGCATCTAGCATGTTCATGTCCTCTTGAGCGGTGCAGTTCTGCACCTTCTCTAGGCCCCATCGTTGCAAACTGCAGCAGCAGCAGCAGCTCCACAGAAGTGAGGTGCCGTCCCCAAAAGGAAGCGCCCTGTGGCCGGTTTTTTGGGATCCCGCTCACAGGTTGCTCCCTTGAGCGGAGTTTCCCGACTTGGTGGCTGCTTCAGGCAGCACAGGAATGAGTTCACGGGGCCTTGGACCGAATCTGTGCTGTGTGCCCCATGGAACAGGTACTCGGTCCGGATCCAGGGCTTGGCCAGGGCAGCAGGCAGCCCAAAAGGGTCCTCCCGCCAGTACCACCTCCAGCCTGAAGAGACCCGCAGTGGTTAGCTGGAGGGCCCAGTGGAATTCAGTGGCCACGGGACCTCCTGCTTTTATTGGCCAAGCATGCAAGGAGGGCCAGATGCTTAGTATCCGTGCCAAGGAGGGCCAGTCCAGAGGCTTCTTGTTGCCAGCCATTTGCAGGTTGTGCTGGTGCTGCAAGCCGCTCCCATTTCCACCAGAAGAGGGTTCTGGGGCCTGGACGAGGGCACGCAGCCTCGCCAAGCTCTCATGAGGAAGGACCACCAAGTACAGCCGTTAATTCATCACACCCTGTGGCTAGCCCAGCCCTTGCCAACTTGCAGGGGTGCTGGGCTACAGACAACTCCCATGATGGGGACACTAGTCCAGCGCATCTGGAGGGCAAAGGCTGGGCAGAACACAGCTGGATACCTGGAGTTCTCCGAACTGGTGGTGTTCAGGTCCATCTTTCACCTTCCAGCCACCTGGAGGTTTCTGTTCAAATATTTTTCTTCTGTGAGAGTTGGAGCATAAGTTTGTAGTGTCAGAAAACTAATATGCATTTAAAAAACTCTTCAAGCATTTCTATTTCTATATAATATTTATTATACTATTTCATCCCTCAATTTTTTCAAGTTTTACTGTAAATAAAATAGCACTGGGGAAAAATGCACACAAGCACCCGCGAGTGTCCGTCTTCGCCTGATTTTCATTTATCCTTTTAAGCAACCTCCAGCTCAATTAATCAGTTCCTTTTATTATTTCCCTCTCTCTGGTGTGTAGCTTTGTTCTCTCTCTTTTCCAAACCGGATCTTCCGGTGCTTCCATCTGCTACCTTTTGTGCCTCTTGTCTGTGTCAGGGCAGGGTCCCTGCGTGGGGCAGAGAGAAGTCTTATAAATATATGCTCTGTGCTTATTTTTATTTTAATGCAGGATGGTGGATAGACTTGGTGGCAATTGAAGGCCCCAAAGCATTTGGAAGGCCAAAATTGCTCATTCCTGATGTGAATGTCATTGGGGGTTGGCAACTGGGCTGCCCAGGGCCAATTGCAGCCTTGCAAGGGATCCCAGTTTCCTTTGCCACCCCCAAGTTCCCATCTCAAAGTCAAAATAGACTTCCCTCTACCTTTGCAGTTTCCCTGCTGGACCGTTTTCACTGAACCAGCCCAAACAGGAGAGCGTTCGTGCAGCTCCCCTCTTCCCCAGGGTTCTTGGCTCTCTCCTTCCTTGACAGAAGGTGCCTCTTAGATGAGGGTTGATGCCTTTTCCAAGTGCGACATGTGTAGGCCAAGCTCTGCTGTGAGGCCGAGTGAAATGACAGTCTCAGGAGGCAGGTGCTGCGGCTGCAGCCATGGCTGCCAGCATGTTCTGCCTCGGTGCCGTCTTCACCTGGCACCAAAGAGTTGACCGCCTTGGGCCCCAGCAGGTGGCAGTAGGAGAGCATTGCATAACCTGGGGGCCACCACCGAGCAGGCCGTTTCCCTTGTCGCCTTCATCTGAGGCTTTCTTGGGGGAAAGCTCAGGTGTTCAGAGAAGAGTCTGGATAGATTCGGGTTACGTGAGACTTCCTGCCGGGTATGATGGTCGCAGACCATGTAAAGCTTTGCAGGTTCTTGACTTCCCTCTAGAGAGAACACGCAGCCCCATCTTAGTTGTTGCTGCCTCCAGAAACATTTTGCTATTTCCTTAACACTTTTGCTTCTGTCTTGCTTTTTTCTCCCTTCTCTTTCGCCTCTCGATTTCCTCCCTGCCTTTTCCTCCGTAAAACGGGTTTCTTGTCCTGGAAAGCTACAGCCTGTGCGAAGCCAACGACCTGCCACTGTGTGAAGCGTACTGGAGACAAGAAGCCTCTGCACCGTCCCCGGAAGGCCTCTCCATGCCCTTGGCTCCCGCCATGATGGAGCAGACCATTCTGGCTCCTCAGGGGTCCACGCCTTCGCACCCGCACATCAACGGGCACGGAGCAGGGCCGGCAGAGCACCCCTGAAAGGGCACCCTGCAGCTCTCCTCAGCCAGGCAGTGCGTTGACGGTCAAAGGTTTCAGCAGTTGCCCTGAGCCTGCACCTTCCTGAAACCGGTTTCCGGGCCGTGTGCCGCCAAACGCTTTGTGAGCAGGGAGACGCTTTGCCCTGGACGCGGTCACAAGAGATGGCCACGCGGTGTGCAGCTCGAAGTGCTGTTTGCGGAGGAACGCTGACCCCACAGCGTCGGCTGTGCGTGTGTGGGGCCTGCTTTTTTTGACTACTGAAGACCTGGACGCAGAACCCCTTGGGGGTAATTTTCTCTTTCTGGATGGAATCGCTTGCTGCAGATAGCTTAGCACTTGATCGTGTGCCCTTTTGATTTCTAAATAGGGATTTTGGAAGGGGATTCATTTAGAAAGGGCTTTTTTTTTTTTTTTGGTACCTGCAGAATTAAGTTCAGAGTTGGAATATTTTCTTCGCAGATGCCTCCAAACAGGTGCCCTCCAGGTGTGTGGCACTACAGCTGCGGGGTCTCCAAAGCTGGCTGGGGAATTCTGGGAGCTGTAGTCCCAACACATTTGACGGGCATCAAGTTTGGAAAGGTCTCTTGCCTGCCCAGGTCAGCCTTGGGAGTTTGCTCAGCTGGGAGTCGTCTTAGTCAAGCAGCACCGGCTCTAACACTTCCTGGCCCCTGGGTCTGGCTCACATGTAATGCCAACCCAGATTATGAGTTGTTGCTGCATGTGGACCCTGCACTGTGGCTTAAGTGTGGGTTATTTATCATCAGCCATCAAGGAAGAGAGCGCGCAGTTCCTTTGAGGTGGAGAATCCCCAGTCAAGCCGCTGTGCCTGGTTCTCGGATAACAGCCACCCGTGTTGTGCTGTTATGCACAAGGCAGGCTTAAAAGTGAAGGAGAGCAGGCATTTTGCGGGGCTTTCCTTTGTCCAGGAAAGCGAAGTGCAGTGGTTAAAGGCAGGACCAATTTTAAAAGTTCTTAATCAGCCATATCCTCAGTGTGGCTGCTGCACACAGTATGGTTCTCCTTAGGGTAGTTATTATGTAGGCAAAGCTGCTGGTCTGAGATGGAAATAAAGGCAGGATTAGCTTTGTTTGCGCAGCTGGCCTCTAAAAGCACAGGAGCAGTCTAGGAGCAAGGGAAGTTGGTCAGTGCGAAACCCTCTTTAAGGAATGTTTTTGGTCCTTTGCTTGTAGACAAAGCCCCTTGCTGGCTTTAGCACAAGCTGAGCAGCTGTTACCTTTCAGTATTCCTTTCTAGATCAGTTGTATAAGCTAATACTCCAGCTGCTATTGTGTAAATACTACTGGCATGTGTTAGAGCCTTTACTGAAGTCCCTAAATCGCTTCTTTCTGGGGAGTCACGATCCCATGAGCCAAACATTATCTCACCGTCAGCATGTTGTGGGCAGGTAGTCAAAGCCACTACTTATTTATCCTGGCTCCAATTTGGATTGGATTCATGGGGAGGGGGGATCTACTTTGCCTCATTTTCCATTAGGGTATTAAAAGAACATCTTGTTGTTCTACCTCTTTTTTTTGGAGGGGGGGTGATTTGGGAACAAAAGCTGGTGGGGAAGAGGCTTAATATTTTTGTTTGGATGGAAACCTGGGCCACACGCGGGGAGAAGGAGCCTAGCCTTTCACTTGCATTGCCCTCATTTGAACTGGAGCTGCGCTAGGCTTGACTCTTTGCCATCACAGATGAGCTGTGAAGGGGGCACATGTCTTCAGTGTTTCAGGGTCGGTTGCAAGCACCTGAAGCAGGTTTGGGGCCATGTGAAACCAATGCAATGCCACTGACACAGGTCAGGTTGCAAACATGGGCCTTGTTTATCTCTGTCAGGAAGAGCATCGTTTGTCTCAAGATGCCTGTCTTTCTGCTTTTTGAGACAGAGGAGCAGTTGAAAGAACTGCCAGCAACCTAGAGGCAAAACAGTGTCAGTATTCCGCTATCGGTTAACCTGCTAGGTGTGCTTTATACAGTGTTGTGGTTTTCTTCCTTCTAGAAGCAGTGCTTTGCACTGTCTTACCTTGAAAAAAAATCTAATTATAACCGGATGGTTCAATAAAGCCAGTTTTTGTTCTCTGGTGTTGAAAATTTGGACATCTCTTTCAATAGACAACTGTTGATGGGATGAATGGTGGATACTGCAAAAATGGCTGGGGAAGCCTAGTAAGGGAAACTGTCCTAAGAAGGTCTCCATCTCTGGTGGAATAACAATGGTACCCAGCTCTTTAGGGTTTTAAAGATAAACCACAGACCCTTTAAGTGCAAGACATGGGGCAGGTGTGACCTGATCCCAAGGGCATGTGGCCACAAATTCAGACCACATCACATGCAGATTGAATCCTTGTTTGTCTCCTTCCTAAACAGCAGCCTGTAAGGTTGCAGTTGGGAAGCTCTGAGTTAGAATAAGCCCTAGGGCAAACAGGTGTTTGTCTTTCCCAGAAACATTGTGTTTAAAACCACAGGATGCCCAACTTAATGTGAAATCTTATCAGGTCCTACTTGAGGCAGGCAATGGGATATTTAACTGCCTTGTGGAAACTATTTCCAAGGAAATCTGATGCAACAGAGCAAACACTGCTGGCCTTTGAATGCTCGGGTTGGAGAAAGAGCTTTACGGTGCTGCGCAGATCTTAAGCCTGGCCTTTGACTCCAGAAAGTGGGGATGGGGAGCTTTGGCTTGGTCAGGAGCCGGACCCTGCTGGGTTTTTGGCAAGCAAGGAGGGGAGACTTGCCTTCTTGGGAATGTGTGCAGAGGCACCAAGTTGAGCAAGGATTCGGAGTAGTGCAAGGGCATCGGTTCACTTTCCTTCTGAGTGTGCCGCATTCTATTCTGGAGTAACTCTTGGGGCCCAAGTTCTGGGCAGGCCCAAAGCAGGGGCAAGTTACAAAAAGGATCGACAAATATCCAGCATAAGGTCTCACTTCCCTCAACTGTGCCTTTGAAGAAGAATTGTGAGTGTTTTACAGGGGAAGGGAAAGAACTGCCCTGAGCTGGGAAACTTGGTATACAGGATCGGGACCCCAGGACTCAGCCCCTTCAACCCTGCAATTAGTGATCTCCAGTCCCTTCCAAAAATCCTGGTTTTACACAGGAGGGCGTTTTCTTTCCCGTGATGAAGTGTGCACAGAGGTAGAGAAGTTGGAAGACCAAGTGCTGAAAACAGATTGAATCCTACATAGAGCAGACCTTCCAAAAGCAACTTTAGCTACACGCAAATTAACAAAGAGTTCCGAGCCCTCTCATTAGAGAGTAATTCTGTCTTGTTTAAGATATTTATACAGTGCCCTTCATGAAAATGAATAATCGGAATTCTGGCCAGTTTACAATATCAGAACAAACACAGGCAGTTTTAAGAAGTGCCAAAGGCTAAAACAAATCGCAAGAAAGGCGCGCAGAAAAACGCCTGCGCGAACGGTTTCGTTTGACTTCGCTTTCAGCTCTGGTTCAGCCTCAAGGGCTTTAGGGCTGCAATCCTAGCCCCGCTTTCCGGGGAGATAATGGGACTCACTCCGAACCAAGCGGGGATATGATTGTGGCATGACGGGAGCCAAGGCACAACCGCATCCAGCCATATTACACCGGGGGGGTGGGGGTCCTACAACTGGCGGCAACTCCCGCCCGGGTTGGAACAAGGCTGCAGTACGAGGATTACGATGCAACGGCCCGGGGCTTGCGTTTATTTCCACTTTATGGACCCCTTTTATGGCGCACGTGTTGCAACGAGAAAACAAATGGCAAAATCCTCCCGCACGGAATTATTTACTCGCGGTGCGCGCAACTCCGCCCTGCAAAACCTTTTTATTCAAACGTTATTTTAATCGTTAACATCATTTTATTCTTTGGCCAGGGCGACTTAAATTTTACTGTTCTACTGCTAAATTATATTGTTTTATGTTATTTATCTACGATTGTGAGCCGCGCCGAGGCTTCGGCGACTGGAGCGCCACGGAAGTCCTCTAAATGAATGAATGAATGAATGAAACGCGGCTCTGGCCTAGCATACGCGCACCGCCCTCTGCCCCGCCCACGGCCTCCTCCCCCGCCCCGGCCCTCCCAGGCGCGCCAACGGAGCGCCGAGTCGTCCACAAAGGGGTGGCTGCTCGGCGCTCGGCTCGTGCGCCTTCTCTACCCCGGGCCCGGGAAGGACCGCGTGGGTCCGCGATTGCGAGCGCTTCGCGTGCGGAGGCCTGCTGGTAAGCGCTCTTTGCAGGGGTGGCGGCCCGGTCCCGGGAGGGGGAAACTCCGCCCTCCCCCTCCCACCACAGTGGGGAAAGGGAGTGGGATCGCTCGGCCCCGTGGATCCAGAGTCGCTCTGGTTTCACCTCTTGTAAACCTTCCCTGCTTTTACCCCGGTTTTATTTATTTTTATTTTATTTAAAATATCCCCCCCCCCGACGTTGCTCCCCCACCACATTGCTTCAGCGGGGCTTCCTCCCTCGTGAGTTGAAATACGAGCCCATTCTTTGAATCCCAAATAGAGATGTCACTGCAGGGCAGCACCTTTGCCTTCCTAGTTGTTTTAAAAAAAGAACTTGGCTGCAAGGCACACTTGCAAGGTTGTGACCTTTAACTTTGCAGCAACAGATTGGCTCTCTTTCAAAGTGGCTTTAGGTCTTTCTGTTTAGAAACAAAAACCCTTTCTTCTGAACCCGCTGAAACTCACCCTTTTTGCCATTTCACTCTTGTTAATCAGGTTTAATTTCTGCGTATGCAGATAATGGAGATCCGTGGACTTTGCTGTTTGGGTTTCATCAGTCTATTTGGATCATCCCAGTGGATGCAGCCTCACACAGCTTTCCATGTGCAAGAGCTGACTGGAGTGTGAACGGAAGAAGCAAGGCTTTTTTTTGATCTCAGCAGCTTTCCTTCTGGGACAACTTCCTGCATTTTCTTAAATTTGTTGTTGTGTTTTCTGGACTTGCATCTTCACGGAAGCCTGATCAAAATGGAAAGTTTAGTCTACAAAGACACTTACTTACAGAAACTGGCTAAGAAAATTTGCACCCAGGAAGTCCACGAGCCGCAAAAAAGGAAATTTGGTACAATGTCTGAGGTTTTAATTTTTACCTTTTCAGGCAGGATTTTGTGGCAGGGTTGAATCTCCAGTTATTGTAAATATTTGGTGGGGTAATGGTAAATTTTGAAGTGCGGGCATTCAGCTTGGCAGTCCCCAGAGCCGTGCCCTGAAAATTCCAACATTTTAGATAGGTTTTCATCTCCACTAGGAGCAAGGCTTTTGTGTTGTAACTGCCCACTCTAAACCAAGCCATCCCCAAATACATTACATTTCAAAAGGAAACAATACTGTTTGTTGGAAAAATTAATCTTGCCTGTCCTTAGTTACTGTTCTCAACTCAGAGCAAACAGAGAAGTGGGAGAGGGGTGGTAGATGGCATTAGTGCCCCTGCTAAGTTGTGGTGCTTTGACCTGTGATCCTTCCATCCTCTGCAATTCTGCTTATAACTGTGGATGCTCTTCTGTACCAGACTCCTCTCCGCCTGATCAAAGAGCACTACCAAACAGATGGATGGGTGCAGACTACACACCCACACTCAACTGTTGTTGAACCATGGGTTCTGGTTGAAAAGTGGGTTATTGTGTTTGCTGGAACCCAGCTGAGATAACAAATCATGGTGAACAACCCATAAACAACAACAACCTGGTTTCTCCTCATGGATTGTTTACAGTTAATGAGCATGACTGCTTAGTGTAGCTGGGTTCAGACAACATGATAACCCATGGTTCAACAGCAACCTGTAGTCAGCCCTTGAGTGTGAGTTATTGCGTTGTCTGAACCCAGTCAGTGCTTTGCCTTAGCTGCTGTTGTCTTTGCCACAGGGAGGCATCATGGTGCCTTCCAGATGTTTGGGACTGCAGCTCTTGTAAGCCCTCAAGGTGGTGTGCCCAGTGGTGAGGGTTTATGGAAGATATAGTCAGAAGCAGCAGGAGGGAAACTCCAGAGTTTCTGGGGGGGGGGGGTCTTTCTCAACACTTGGAGATTCCGGGCTTGAACCTAGTATTTTCAGCATGCAGCGTAGCTACCAAGCCGATGAATAATGACATTATACCACGTCAGGCCATTGGTCTGTAGCCCAGGAGGGAGCTTCCTAAGTTCTCTGCTATAACCTCTTTCTTGTCTCCTGCCCCCTGATCATTTTACCTGGAGGTTGAATGTACAGAGCTGTGGTCCCTTCTTAAAATGAGCACATAGAAGGGCTGGTAACTGAATATATTGCTTCTAAGCACCATTTCCCAATTTTGTGTCCCCTCAGTTCAATGAACTCCAATATCCATCACCCTGACAGTGCTGGCTGGGTGTGATGCGAGCTGTAGTGCCATCCAGAAATACCCAGTGTTGAGAGAGGCTACAAAACAATTAATGCAAGCGGTGGGGAGATGTGTACTTTGTTGCAGAATATTATTCCTTTCTCTTCCATAAACCACATTTTTCTATTTTCAAACCTTCCCAGGAACTGGGTTGAGAGATGATGGCCCCCAGCTGAAGAAGAAGCAGAAGCTACAAAAGAAGTCGAAGAAGCAACATAAGATGATGGGGGGCCCGCCAAACAAGCAGATAGCACCTGTGGCTAGCCAAGCATCCTCAGACAAGCCAACAAAGTCAGATGTGAAGAAATCCAGTGTGACTTTCCCAGCTGCATGTAGTGCTGGCAAATCAGCTACCACTGCAGGAAAGGAGAATGGAGAGCCAAATACAGGTATTCCATTGCTGATCAAAACTGGGAACTGATGCTGAAATTGTTTTAAGTTCCAGTTGGGCCTCAATAAAAGCTGGGTGGATGGTGCTTGGTGAAGTTCCAGAACCCAAGGGCTGAGTTGAGTTGATCTGTCCCCCTTTGTGAGTGGGTGGCACTTGTGGCCCTTGGCTGCTTTCAGTGTGGTCTGCAGAGCCTTGGAGACCCAGCCCAGAGTCCACCTCCTTAGTACTAATGTTTGTGAAGGAAAGTCTGGGATTTCCTTTGCCCACACTAGGGTGAGCAAGGGAAAGTCTGCCCTTATCTCTGCTCTTTTCCAAGAGAAGGAAGACAAGGGAACCATTTCCCTTGTGAGCCCAAGCAAAGGAGTGCCCTCTTTGGGGAAATATGGATGTCTGTGTGTACACAAATGCACATGTGTGGCTCTTAGTACCTCGGCAAACACCCATGTGACCCCCTGCAGCTGAAAACCTGGTGCGCCTCTGTCATCATAGCTGGGTAGCCAGAGCACTGCACTTTTCTCACTAGCTAGAATCCCATTTCAGAATGTCACTAAGCATTTACTACGCAGGCATTTAACAGTAACAAAACAAGACCTCGAGTCTGCTCATGTGCACTGTCACTCACAAATTCCACATAAAACTGCACATTGCAGAACCACGATAGTTACTAAAAGGCATTTCTTCACACTGCTTTCATTCCAGCCAGCAAGAGCGCACCCAGCTCCTTTTCGGCAATGAATCTCTTGCGGCAGAGGCTACACGAGAAGATCCAAGAAATCTCTGGTCAGGTACTATCAACAACCTCCTAATAGAACAATTTTAAAGCTCTGAAGGAAGACAGGAGAACTGAGACTGTGATCCTGGGACCATGTACCTAAGAATTAGCCTCATTGCACTTCTGAAAGGTAGCATTCTATGTCCCGAGTCTTCATTGCCATGGTCGCAATTAATTCCAGAAATTCACCTGTTATCTTGATCTGAACTAGCATGGTCCAAATCCCACCTAGGGCCACATTTTGAAACTGGGTTTGTTTGAGGTATTTTCATTCTGGTTTCCTAACCAGCTACTCCATTGCCTTCCGAGAGTTTCCAAACTGGGGTAGTTTTCCCCCCTGTTTCCAGGAGGTTGAAATACTACTTCTACAGCACAGTTACTAGCAATAAGAGCCTGAGGCTCAATTGTGCCACTGTTTTGACCCTGTTCCCACTGCTAAAATGCATCCCCGGAGAGCTTCTGTGAAAGAGAATTCAGGCCTCAGTTTGCAAGAGGGTCTGCACTCTTGCCTAAACCTTGTCCAGGTCTATTAAGGGAGTCTTCTGTCTTCCCAACTTGATGTTCCTTACAGGGAAACACCAAAGATTTACCCCAAGCTGTGTTGGAGAAGAGGCAGCGAAGGAAATATGAGAGGGAGAGAAAGAAACGCCGAAGAAAAGAGTTGCGGATGAAGGAGAAACTAGAGAAGAAGGAAGCTGAGAAGGCCTCAGTGGCACCCACCTTGAAAAACAAGGTTGAGAAGAACGACAGCAAGACTGAAATCCTCTTCAATAATGTTGAAGTCCATGAAGAGAAGGAGCTGAGCAAAGTAGAGAAGAAGAAAGAAAAGAGGAAGAAAAGAAAGGGAAACATAACTCCCCTGACAGGGAAGAATTATAAGCAGCTGCTGAGCAGATTGGAGTCTCGGAAGAACAGACTGGAAGAGCTGAAGGACAAAGATGAGCAGAAAGCCAAGGAAATGGAGACGAAAATGAAGTGGACTAATGTCCTCTACAAGGCAGAGGGCGTCAAGATCCGGGATGATGAGGAGCGGCTAAAGGTGGCCCTCAAGCGCAAGGAGAAGCGCAAGGCTCAACGCCAGAAGAAGTGGGAGAAGCGGACTGAGCATGTGGTGGAGAAAATGCAGCACCGCCAGGACAAGCGCCGCAAGAACCTCCAGAAGAAGAAGCTTGCCAAAGCAGAGAAGAAGAAGGCCAAGGCCCGTAAGAAGGGACGTATCCTGCCTGAAGATCTGGAGAAAACTGGCATTAAGTGAACTGGAATATGGGCTGGTTTTTAATCCCATGAGAACCCATAAAACTGACTTGAGGAGCTTTTATCTCACTGTCTTTTTGTACCTACATTTCCTTGGCTCTGATCCACTAGAGAAGATGCAGTGCACACGGGTTTGCCAAACTGAGCTTTGACAAAGGAGGAAACTGAATGGATCAGGTATCTTACCAAAGCTGGCAGTAAACTGAAGAAAGCAGAAAATTGTTAAAAGTTAACCTAGCAGTGAATGAGATATAATGACCTTGTTCATGGAACATGATAGGCCAGACTATGGTTGAATATGGATTGGTGCTGAACTGAGGGTTGTTGTGTTCGGCAAACCAAGCTTTGGTAACCACAATCAACCGCCAGTCACATCCCAGTCATGAAATATGGATTCTCTTCGTGGGTTGTTTCTGGTAACAGGCTACGGCTTATTAGAGCAGCTCAGTTTGCCCAGTGTAACAACCCACAGTTCAGCAACCTATACTCTGCTTTGTCATGTGTGAATCCAGCACAGTGTAACTTTTCTTACTGTCCCAGCTCTGTACCGCACCCATACACATGGGGGTCTCTGGGCAGCTTACATTACAACAATAAAAACAAACAGACATTTCCAAAGATTGGGATTCCAAATACATTTCCAAAATAAATATACAACAAAACAAATATGAAAATCTAAGGTACAATGATACAAGAAAATAATAAGTTAAAATACTAAATAACCCCAAAGCAATAACTACAATGTCTAGTAAGTTAATCCCAGAGACAACAGTCCACCAGTCAGAAATCCTAGCCCAGGCTCCAGGTGGGCATCAAATGGGACTGAGGGGCTGCTTCCAAGATGGGTTCCCACTTGCTGTCCCAGTGCCAGTTGGTGCCACCAGTTTGCAATGGGCTGTGGTGGAAGAAGGGTGAGGTCCAGTCTGGGAAGCCCCAAGGCATGATGGAGGGCTTTCATTTTGTATTTTGCAGCTATTAAATTAAACCAAGGGTGCAACAATCTGCACTGGAGGCCAGCCTAAATAGAATAGTTTGGTCTCTCGTGAGGAAATTAAAGGAGGCATGCTAGATCCAACCAAGGATCTGTAATCAGCACTGGTTTCCCACAATGGCCAAGCAGCTGTTCCCAGGAAACCCTCAAGGAGAACCTTTGTGCCCATGTTCCCCAACAACTGGTCATACTGCCTCTGATACTGGAGGTGGCACATGGCCCAGAAATCTGCCCAGCACCTTCTGCAGCCACCCATATTGGTGGCCCTTGTTATAACTTGTGGATGTTTGTATGCTGTTTGATGTACTCCTTTGATCTGAGCAGAACTGCCTGTCATTCTGCCTCATGAGATACTAGTATAAACAGTCCCAGAACTTTCCTCAGGTGAGTTGCTGCAGCTCCTTTATCACTTTAATTCCTTTTTTCTGTAGTATTCCCTGTTCCACAAGTTGTAAGCATTCACATCAAAGTCGGAGGACTTGTGAACCAGTGCGGGGTGACTTGCTCTGAAAGTTACCATCTTGACATTTTTTAAAAACCCTTTTGTAAAGGTGCTGTAACACCATACTTTAGGTGCAGTGACCAGGACCAAAGCAAGAAAAACACTCTGTACATGCTTGAGCTTACAACAGAAGGGGGAGGAAGTTAAAAAAAAGTTACTCTTTGGTAGATTTATTTCCATTCCATTTTGTTTCACTTAAATTTCATTCATTTTTTGAAGCGATGGTCTCGCGCGCTTCCTGCGTCTCCATGACAACCGCAGCCCTCTCGAGGCGCCATGTTGAATCTCGCGGACTCGCGAGAAAAGTAGGGCGGCCTCCATCTCTTTCCCCTCCCAGTCGTTACTATGGAGACCAAGCGACGCCGGGCCTGCGCGCTCTGAGAGCGCTCGGGAGGATTTGGCTTGCCCGGCGGTGCTCAGGTAGGACTCGCTGAGAAGGCGGCCGAGACAGTGGCGGGCCGCGTGAAGGGACGTGCTCAGCAACGACGCTCATTACACGCCTCAGTGATGAGCCTTCCCCCCATTTGACTGGGGGGGGGGGCAGAGAAAGCAATCTCCCGCGCTAAGCATGTTGGGAAAGCAGCCGCAGAACTTTCGCTAAAAAGTGCATTTTTCCTGCCGGCGCGGGGATAGAGCCTTAAAGAATGGGCTTCCGTCTCCTGTTTTCCCCCTTGGGCTTGGGGTCCAGGGCCCAACACCTGACTATGCGTATATTAATTTGCAGAAATGAATGCAAAGGCGAAATTGCGCCGGCGCTCAGAAGTGGGCGACAGGGATCTAGAATTGCAAAGCAGGCTGCAAGTCCCCTATACTTTTGTATAGTATTTATAAAGTATATAGTATTTAAAAAGTATGCAAGCCGCATACTTTTGTTTGAAGTATATTTTTCGTGCGGTTCAGTCCAAAAGGCGCCTGGGGTGGTTCATGTAAATCAAAATAGCCCATATTTCCTGCAGGCTTTGCAATCTAAAGAGGCGGCACAGAAGGAAAAAGGGATGCGGAGGGAAGAGAAAAATAGTGTTTGAGTCGGAGTGGCCTGAATTCTCATTTCCTTCTTCTACACCTTGCTGGTATGGCAGTGGTTGAGGGGCAAGGAGCCTTTCAGCAGGGCTGGTGGAATGGCTGACCTTCCCCTTTTCTCACTCCCTCTTATTTATTTTATTTATTTATTAAAACGTTTCTATGCCGCCCCTTGCCAAGGCCTCGGGGCGGCTTACAACATCGAATCTTACTGGAAGCAAAGTCCTGTTGAATGCCATGAGAACATAAACCTTAGATCTTAATACACATTCATGTATGTTAATCCATACTGATTCTGCTTAGCCAGTATTGATGGTGAGTTTTCCTCACTAGAGGCTGTTAGAGATATCTCCATCCAAATTGCATTCTGCTCCTTCATATTGTGTCCAGCTGGAACGGAGGCGTCATTGCCATTTTTATCACAATGCTGCTCTTGGCCTTTGGCTTTCCTCTTCCTCTGGCTTGGTGTATGCTGTACTTGTTCCTCTGAAAATCATTGGCAGCCATGCTTGGCTGAGTATAGGAGGCAAAACCCATCCTAAATATGCAAACATGTGCAAGGTGCTCAGTGATTTTGTTTTGCTTGCCTTTTTAAAGCTAATTTGCTGTGGCGCAAAACCAGTTGGCAGCACAAAGGGATCAGCAACATGCCCTTGGTGGGTGTTTCACGTGTTGTTCCCAGTAGGAAAATCTACAGACAGATCTTTGATGATGAGGTAAGGAAACGGGGGCATCCTGGGGTTAGGAAAGAGCAGTGGTACTCTGAACACCCCCCGCCCCCATAGGATTGCACTGCAGATCTTGTTGGTTTCAGTGGGAAAGATTTAGGTGCAATGTTGCACTTGTTCAGACAGAACAGAGAGCCCTACAACTCCCCAGCTTGGCTGGCTGGGAGTTTTGAGGGGGGGGGGGTCTGTCTGGATATGCATAGGGTTGAGTCCTTAAGTATTTGCTTCACTTTCTCCCTGAGTTCATTGCCTTTTGAATTACAATGCCGTAACTTTTGAAGGTGGAGGCCAAACCGCAGAAGGGAAGCACTCAGGGCCAGCCTAACATGGAGGGAAAGATGGTGCAGCTGAGATGTCAGCATTCCTTGGGTGCTTGCCTCTGGCTTTGTGAATGTCTCAAAGAGGCAGAGCCTGTGCTTTGCCGTTTTTATCCACTTTTTAAAGTTACGCTTATTCAGCAAGAGAGGATTCTAATCAAATTCCCTAAAGGTGTCCAAGAAGCCATGGGTTGTATTTGTTCTGGATTAACTTGTGGAAAAAAAGTAATGTGATAATTAACTTACTGTTAAGAATGAAAATAAGAATTTTATCTCAGCCTACTTTGCATTTCTGAATGCGGCTGCAAACATCAGGGTCTTATTGTTATTGTGACACTTAACTGCATGTTTTGTTTTAATATTGTTGCTTTTAACATTGTATGCTGCATTTTTTGGGGCGTGTGTGAAATTACGTCGAAAAGTCGCTTGGCAGTATAGGAAAGAAATACATAAGCGCCTGCTAACGAAGACAGGGCAATGGTAGTATATTAATTTGTCCAGGCCATAGTGATTGATCTTGTCCTTTAAACCAGCCCTGGGGGAGGCAAGGGGGGCATTTGTCAGCAAAGATACTTCCAGTGATTACTCCTCACCCTAACCTATCTGTAAGAACACATTTTCTAGTTTTCATTGTTTTCAGCTGGAGTGATCTGAGGACTCGACAACCTTTTGAAGGGTTCAGACTAACCTGCTTCATTAAGATAAGAAAAAGGGAAATGTAAAGTTGCCGCTTTGAAGTATGGCCAGGCACTTGGTTGGTCCCATAGCACTGGTGGTAACTCCATCGACATGAGTTCTGGAGAGATTTTGGTTTGTTGGGGAGGTGGGGAAACCATTTGCTCTTTTCTAAGTATGTAGAGGTAGAAAAGAACCCAATCAATCAAAATAAATTAAAAATAGAACTGGAAATAACTGGAGAGAAGTGACAGTTACAGATTGTATCCTCTTTGTTAGGCAAGATCTGGGAGTAATGGGGAAATTTTGTATAAGAAATTAAAGTAAATGCTGGATATTAAGACTCTCCACGTGCCTGTTTCCATACAGACAATTCTAAGAAACCTCTGATGTTAAAATTGTAATGTGTAATTATTTCAATCATGAATAAGATTTATCTAAAATGTTTCGTACCAAGGAAACATGATAAAATATTTTTAAGAATAAATTACTGGGACTTAGAAAAGAATAGTATTGGGTGGCTTGTTACCTCTCCCTTTAGTGAGTTTAAGTGCACCCTCTTTCTTCTTTACATTTTATTCCACGGAGGAAATGCCTAACTTCTTTGTTTTGGCTCTGGAAAGATAAACCTAGTCCGTACCCTTGGGGAGGTGAGAAGCAAGATCGCTAAGCACACAGTCCCACAGCTTCCAGGAAGGATCCCATTGGTGAAGGACTTGGAAACATGTTCAGGCAATGGGTTTTTATCGCATCGCCAGCGGACATGGGTGGAGGGAATGCCCAACGACGACCACACTGAAAATCCAGTGCAATACAAGTAAGAAACACGTGTTATTACTTTGCCTTGTGTCTCTAGACCAGGGTAGAGAATTAGAGTGAACAAATCTGGGGTCCTAGTCTGGCCACACTGATGCTTCATCTCTTCTCTAGCACTCCTTCCACTTGATAGAAAGCAAATACTGCTGTTTTTGTGTTAGCTGTGCTAGGCTAGTAACCTGCATTCCCATGTTAACTGAAGGGGGTGGGGGACACTAGTAATTTCTGTGGGCTCATCTCTGTGGTTAGATTTGATAGACCCTTGGCCTGATTTGGAAGGTGAGGGCAGCACATATGATATTATTAGGAAATGCCTGTGATTCCTCAAGACTTGCACCTCTGCTTCTGCTTCAGGGAGGCTATGACCCAGGCCCTCCTAAAGGCCCAGGAAAGCACCAGCGTGGTCGCAGCACGGGAAGTCAGAGGCCTGGCCGAAGTCATCAGTAAATATTGCCAGTTTAATTTGGGGCATTGGAATTATTTTCTCAGCATGTATAGTAATTAATCTTGTTCTGGAACAAAGTTAGTTACTGATTTCTAATTTCTAATCCACCCAACATTTCTAATTTTCCCAACAGCAAATGTTCTTTGGGCTGTGTCCTGGCTTTTCTGCATTTGCTCATGGTTCTAGAATATTTAAATACCTCTCCTTCCTACTGGCAATAACAGCGTTTAGCTAAAATAGGCTGGCATTTTGGTGCCTCGGCCCCACCCCGTTTGCCCTCAGCTCCATCGATTGCTGGAATGCAGCCCCCAAAAGCTTCTCCAAAATGGAGCTTGGTCCTGGGAAATTCTCTGCTCCCGAAGCAGCGCTTCCACCTAGCAAGCTGTGCAGAAGCTTGAGCAGGAGCAATTTTGTGTATGCAGAGAGGACATCGCCTCGGATAACTCTCCTCTTTATTCCAACATGACACGAGTCCCACAGCCTGGTTTTCCTTCCTTCCAGTTCCCGAGAAGAAAAACAGCAACATCACTGACCGTATCTCAGAGAGGAGAAAGTTCCGTTATGAAGAAACAGTGCTGGCGCTAAGGCAGGAGCTGGCCCGAGTCGGAAGGGTGAGGGCGTCCCTTTCCTTCCTCCGCGTCCTTGTAGGAGGTTAGGGCGATCCGATTGTGGTTCGTCGCACTCACTAGGCATGGCTGCTCTCCTTTCGCAGGAGATGGAGTTGAGCTTTCTGGAGCCTGGGAAGGCATTTTTGGCCAGGCTCTCAGAATCTGATCGAACCATTGAGTGTCTTTTTCAATCAGCTGAACGCAGCTCCAGTCCTGAGACTCACACCATACAGGTGAGGCAGTGCGTTACACCTTCGCTCGTGTGGTCACCTGCCTAAGGGGCCATGCCACATGTAAAGTTCACTATACGTCTTTGACACAGCCTGTGGCGCTGACAGGGTTGGACCCTGGGGCTGAAGCACTGTGCCCCACAACCTGAGGGAGGGCCGCAAATGAGAGCAGAAGAAATGGCAGGCGATGGGGCAGCAGGAAGGAACTCCATTTTGTATCTGAGATTATGGTGCTGTTAAAGGGCACAGTTTTGCATGCTCAGATCAGATTTTAAAAGCAGGGGGCTACTAGAGCAACTAGGAACGGTAATGATTTTCCCTGGCCATGCTGTCTGCAGGCGGAAGGCAGCCCTGGTGACCTTTCTCATATTGTAGGATGTCTCTTGGTAGAGGCCAAGTTTCTTCTGTTTAGGTGCCTACTTCGTTTTCCTTGCTCCTGTGGCTGATGCTCGCAGTGACTCTGAATGCCAAGCCTCAGAGCTGATCAGAAGGAAACATGGCAATGGGCCCTGGGGACTCGCAACCAATGAGCGTCAAACATCGTGGTGATGGAAGGCAGGGGATGACACGGCCACCTGGAGCACTAAGGCACAGTGCTTCAGCCCCGGGGTCCTACCAGGGTCCAACCTGGGTCATAGGCACTCCTGGAAAAAGTATTCCTATGCCGTCCCTGCAAGCCCAGAAAGAGCAGATCGGAGTGATTGTGCGGGATTTCGAATGGTACGGGGCTCCGGCACTGCCACTGCTTAATGGGGCCGTTCTTATCACCATGATCATTTTTGTTGCTTGCAGTTACGTGTTGCCTCCCACGACGAAAAGCGAGTGCAAAATGATTTACTCACACAGTACAGAAGTCTCTCCCTGATCAGTGTAATAGGAAGGATAAGAAAAACTTCTCTGCAAAACAGTAGAAACTATCATCAGCAAATAATACAAATAAAAATAAATTCCACAGAAAGCGTTTAAAAACAATATAGTATGAAAAACGTTCGCCCACAGTTGCACAGACGTTCCCCCTGTTCACAGCCCAGGACGAACATCCAAAAAGTATTTAGGCTATAATGAAACTTGCACTTCTTGCCAGCAGCACTTTGAAGACATGTGGGAGTTTGTCTCCCAGGAGACCTTAAAAAGGAGGCAGTGGATCAGAGACCTGGATGAAGCCTTACGTAAGGCAGAGGCAGATCGAACTGAACGGGTGAGTCACAGGTGGCAACTGAGCAATGGCTGAAACCCAAGGCAGGTAGCTTGGTGGGTCGGGCCCCCCACATTGCCTCCTCACCAGGACCTTCTGCGAGCTGTGCTGCTCCTCCGTCGCCAGAACCGGCCGTGTTGGCTGGATCCTCAGTGCTCCTTGTTTCGCAGCAAAACTACTCCCGGCTAGCCCGCTGGAGCAGAGCAGGATCCTTCTGGGAAGTGTGCTGCGCGTTCCCTACATGCCCTGAGTCCCTGTGGGATCACTGTTTCTCTAGGAAATCTCACCTCCACGTGCCCCCAGGCCAGCCAGCAAAGAGTTGCCTGGCATGGAGACTTCCTCCCAATAGCTTCACAGAGAAGGCGAGTTGTGGGAAGGCCTCGAGGAAAAGTGGTTTCGTAGAAATTATTCTCAGAGGTGCTGCCGGACTTAAAGAGAGAAGAGGAGTCGGGAAGCCAAGGCGATTGGCCCATCCGCTCTGTGCCAGAGGAACGGGTTGTTCACACTGAATTGCCCCAGTCATCTGCCAGATTTGCACAACCCCGGTGGCCCCCTGTGTCCCCTGGCTTCTGTGGTGCTACCAGCTGCAGTAGCACCCTGCAGCCATCTCCAGGGGCAGCACTGGAGTTCAGTGCCATGGTGACAGAAAGGATAAGATGCTGGGCTCCCTGGGGCAGGGCCCCTCATGCCTCACAGCTGACAGCTCTTCAGAAATGCCACAGCAAAGGGTGTGCATGCTGCTTTCCCGCTGAGGAGGGGGGCTGTGCTTCCCCACACTCTGCAAAGCACTGCATCTCAGCCGAGAGGAGCCATCAGAGTTATCCGCATCGTATCCTCTCTCTCACTTGCTTTCCAGATCAAAGCCGTGCTTAGCAAATACACCAAGATTCTGGAAGACATTGCCTACTTCTTATCTGCTGATGTCCATCGGTTCATGCACAAAGAAGCCATGGTAAAACTAGCAGAAGTTTCTTCTTGCTGTCTGGAATTTTGCACAAAGATAATTCCAGCCTTTGTAACTAGAAAACAGTTTTGTGTATTTTGAGGGAGGGGTATGCCTGAAATTGTGAACTTTTGCACACATTCTAGTAGAAAAATGGGGCATTTTTAAAGGATGGGCTTGACAGTGTTCATGCATGAGTGGAACTGAGTGGACAGGAATGATTATCGATGGGCTCCGCGGGGCAGGCATCGCAGGGAAAAGGTGCAGGCAGGACTGACGCCTAGGCCAAGCTAGACCCGCACCAGGCTGGTGTTCCGCAGATTTATTGGACTGCAACTCCCACGATCTCCAGCCAGCAGGGCGAATTGACAGGGATTATGGGGGCTGTAGCCGTTAATGATTTAGGGACTGGCCTAGCACCCCTGCAGGGCTGCATCTGGAAGGCCTCTGAACTGGCCCTGACGCAGAGTGGGAGGGGGTGCTGCAGTGCGCATCCCCTGTGAGCAGCTGGTTGGCCACTGTGTCAACAAAATGCTGGGCCTGATGGAGCCCGGCTCCTCTTGGAGGGAGAGGCTGCTGGGAAGGCTGCAGGAGTGGGAGCTCAGTGAGAATACTTGGGATGACCAAGGAGGCCCTGCCAAAAGCACAGGAATGCTGGCGTCTAGCAAAGGGGAAGAGGCGGCAGCAGGAATCGGGGGTTTAAGAGAGGCCTCAAGCAAAGAGAGAGATGCAGCGCCGTGTGGACTGGTGGTCCAAAGGATTGGCAGCCAGGGCACCAGCGTGTGGAAGGGCCTGCTTGGGAGCCTGTTGGGCTTGAATGGGGAGGGTTGTCATTCTCCAGACCAATTTCGCATCGAGTTTTATTTATGAGGCTGTAACCTGGAAAACCCACGAGGGCCCAGCAGGCAAGCTTTAAGCTACATCGCCTTTGACCCTTGGTCTACTGTGTCGCTGTGGGAATTCTAGTCTGCACCCTGGGACAATGCATGCCTGTCTGTCTAGCACAAGCTAATTGACTGGAACCGGAGCTAAGCAGCCTGTCTCCCCAAGCGGCAGGGGGCTGCGCCTGACATACAGAATGTTCCCTGTTACGAAGTTGTCTCCTTTTGTTTGAGAAAAGACCATCTTAAACCAGCCTGCTCCAAAATTGAGTTAACCCATCCTTCCCCAGTCTGGTGTTCTTAGATGCCCTGGCTGGAACCGGATTGGAGAAGGCTGGTTTGATCTTATTCACATAGATATTTGGACTTGAGAGTGATGGAGATGGTTTTCCACAGAGATGTGCCTTTCAGGTTCGTAACATGGTGGCTCCTGAAGAGAGAAGAAAAGAGTCTGGACTGAAGCGTGGGATGCCATGAAACCTCCTTTCCTGGACTACCCAGGGGACTTAAACTCTCTTTAAAGTGATCTTTGGGCATTTGTATGCTTTCATAAGAAATATTTATGTTTAGCATTGATCAGTGCTTTAATTTTTTTTAATACGGTGGTAGATCAGCTGCAGCATCAGTGGAGGGACAGCCAAGCCAGTGCCTGATCCACCGGTCTATGTGCCCTGCAATAGCGAAGCCAGGATCAGCCCCGCTGTACCTCATTCTTGCTACATTACACCTCTCTTCACCCCTTATTTCAGTTTCCAGAACCCTTTGTCGAATACTAATACTACTGAAGGCTATCAAGAAGCCTGCCTTTCTTCCTCATTTTTACGAAGGGCAAAGAGTTTTATCCAGTTTAATTAGATTAGTCACCTTAATTTTAGATCCTGAAGGAAGAGTTTGGGTCTTGACCAGCCATTCTCATTTACCCAATACACTGGGTAAATCTCTCAGTCTTCTCTTATTAGCTTCCAGTCTGCCAGCCAGTGTGTTCTGTCCCACAATCTGTGCCCGCGCCCACATTGCTTCCAGCTTAGCTTGGTGTTTTCACATCTTCCAATCCTAGATGATAAACCAGGCCTTGCTGGCCAATCGGAGAGCCATAGCCAGGTTGTTTATCAATCTGATGGAGATGGACATGAAGAGGAACGTCTTCCATCGGTGCAAACTTGAGGAGAGAATAAAGAACTGGAAAGCTTTGCAGAAGGAGTACATTATTTCCAGTTTCAGGTAAGGAAATAATATACAGGTTGCCCCGTTTGCATGGCTGCTTTTAGTCTGTCTGCCATTGGAACTCGTGGCTTGTCCTCCCATTCTCCTTGAAGCGCCATGCATGTCCTCTCTCAGCCTGAGCGATGCCATCCATCAGTTGCTTTCCAAGTCCAGGTGTCCAGCCCTTGTGGCACCTTGCTCCTGCTGAGCTGGCAGCTGATCGTCGGCCATCTGCACATGCTCTGCCAGCACAGCTGGAAGCAGCACCCCCTGAGGGGCCGCCTCGCTGGTGCAGAGTGAAATGCCAGCTGGAGCTGCCCCCCCGAGCTCCATATGAAGCCTCTTGCATCCAAATCACCAGGGACCCCATGCAAAATGCTCCCCTGATGTTCACTCATGCTCTGCAGAGAGTTCATGGAAAGTGAAAGGATACAGAAGCCGAGCACTGTGAAGGCAGAACTGGAGGACATGCTGGAAGGCCAGTTGTTGCTCACCCAGAAGAGGACAGCGCTTCTGTATTCCTTGGGGTATGTGGGCAGTGGAAGCAGCGCCTCAGGCATATGGGAACCAAATGCCAGTAGGTGGGGGAAGCTGCCAGGCCTGGTAGCAACAGATCCCGTCACAGCAGTCCTCTCTCGCCCTCAGGGCCCGTTTGAGTACCAGTCAACCACCAAGGTTGCAACTTTCATTGGAATATCCTGCCCCATTTTCCTTCCATCCCCAAGGTTCTCAAGTGTCTTCCCAGCCAGGCGCTGACCCGCTGCCTTAGCGTCAGCAAGTCGGCATCGTTTGCGCCGGGACCAACATGACGAGGCAGTTGCCATAGTTAGTCTAGGCAGGATGAGCAGGGCCTGCAAAGGAAATCCCTCTGCAAAGGACCAGATGGAGCGGAGTCAGGCCAGGGCAAGAGGCGTGATCCTTCCTGGCCCCGCACAGCCACTGACCTGGCGGAGCTGGTGGGCCCGGCGTGGCCCCCTGCTCACCCGCTGCTGGGGCACTGTAAAGCCCACCGCTTGTTTCGCGCACGTGAGCAGCTGGACCAGCCGTTGCCGTGGTGCTTGGAACTGGCACTTGTGCAAAGCGGCTGCTGCTGATTTCATGCCTGAGCTGGAACCGGCCCTCCAAATGGACTGCATAGATGTGTAACACGTAAGGCTTAAGGTGGTTCACAGCGGAGGGAACATGGAAAAGTCAGCCCTCCACCCCATCCCGTCATTCCCGACCAAGCCGCCTCGCAACTCCTTTTGCAGCTCAGTGTATCCTCCCTCCTCTTCTGCTCAGGAAAAACATCGCCACTTCGCCACCATCCTCTCTGCCCTTTGGTCAAATCGCCTCCACACACCACACACGTGACCCCCTTTTTGCATCAAAGGCCACATTCTCTGTTAGGAGCTGCCGTCACTAGTTAGTGTCCTTTCAACCTCCAGTTATACTCCTCCTCCAGTTTCTTCCCTATCAACTCCACTTCACTCCCCATTTTCAGGCGAAGGTTTAGTCACCCCCCTCCCTTGCCAATTCCCGGATTCCTTTTCAACTTCTCCAGTCAGAACACCGCAGTACCCTCCTGGTTAAATACCCCAGAATTTCCCTTGAGGGTTTCTCTCTCTGTGGCGATCCCTGTTGCCTTCCCCTTCTTCCACCCTCATTTAGCGCTCCCTTCGGCGACCTGTCCGGTTGCAACACAAATACTGTTGAGATGTGCAGGGTGGCTCTCCAGAGCTTTGTAGACTAACAAGTTTTTTCTTGTCCTAGCTCTTTGTTGCCTTTGACACATTCTAAGGCCGAGGTAAATGAATGGTACGAATCCGTTGTGACATTAAATAAACGTATAGGTAAGGGATGATGCTTTTGTTGCTATTCAGAACGGGCTGGTAACCTTTCTACCTTCAGGGCCACTCTGATTTTTCCAAGCCGTCAAAATGGGCCCACTGACCTCAGAAGGCTGGGGACCCTGGTCTGGGGTGAGACAGAATCATGAGCAGGAGGGGCAGCCAAGGTGAATTCCAGAAGGCACACGGATGAACGAGGCAGGAGCAGGACGACTGGGTGGTGGTGGAAATCTAGGCACAGCCTGACCTCGGTGAAGGAGTGGGGTGCCTTGCCATTCCCACAGTGCTTTGGAGAATTCTGTGCCATTCATACACGCCCCCAGGCTACAAGAAGTTGTGTTCATTTCAGAGCTGTTTTATCTCTTGCTGCTTTCCCCCCCCAAGATACCCACAATGTGCAATACATGATGAGAATTCGTATCCAGTATGAGAAAGTTTGCCAGGAGTGTCTGTCAAAAGTACAAGAGTTCAAGGTTAGTGGGTGAAGCAAGATTTATTTATTTATTGATAATATGCATTTCCTGCCTTTTGGGCTGACAACACGACTCCTCCTTAGCCAACAATAAGTGACAATCAATGCTAATGAAACAGTTTCAGTTCAGTTTGTTACTCATAGCCAACCAGCTTTCATTAACAAGCAAGGCATTTAAATCTATTTAAATTAATACATGGGAATTTAAAGCGTGGAATTCTTGCTTCTGCGGGGCCCAGGACCCCGTAAAGCAAGCGCACTCTCCATTAGTGCAATAAGTTGGGGCAGGACTTTCCTGAGCTTTAGGAACAGAATAGTGTTTCAGATTAATGATATTGAATTGTCAAGTCTTGGTTGGAAAAATCTGCTTGCGCTGCTCTCGTGGCCCTTGCTGGATGAGGTATTCAGCCGCCCAGGCCATCAGAGTTTGATCTCCTTGTCAAGTGTCCCAGCAGCATCGGGCAGGAGCAAGGGTGTGAGATCAGCTGGTGTGAAGGAATAGCAATGCTGACTTTACTGCCTGGATGTAAGATGTGCCCCAGTAACACAAGACTTTCCTTCCCTCTGTAGCAAAGATTGTTGGATATGAAAATCTGTACAGAAAAAGAAGCAGAGAACATGGTGAATCCCAATTTATTTCAGTTGGTTGGGAAGCTGCAGAGTCGGTTTGAGCACGAGATGGAGAAGATGGATGTAAGTCTGCCTCCCAACCTGCTTCCTGCAGTCTGTGCAAGCAGTGCAGTCACAGAGTGCCAGGTTCCAAAATGAATCCACCGGAGGCAAACTGAGCTTCCTGTCCTGTTCAGGGAGGGGCCTTGGTGGGGAATCCTCAGAGGGGATCCCCGTGAGATGATGAAGGGCAGATCCAGGACAGGCAAAGCAAGTTTTTACGCAGCAACACAGAACTGAGAGGATTTCTGGTTTACATGTCTCAGTTCCTGTAGATTAATGAGCGGAGGTGGGAGAAAGGGGTCCATCTTCCTGAGATATCCCCAAGTCCTAGAACCAGCCCCTCTTTTCTTGTTTGATTATTTGTGGATCACAAACAAGGGGTGCAAAGAGTTTGCAGATCATCTGGGCCAAACTTTTTCATTCTTAATTGCAGCAACCCGCTGATATTAGCGGAGCCAATTAGGAGGGACAGAGCCGACTCCCAGTGTACATAAGGCTCTTGCTGAGACAACATCCTCCTGTTGGCCTAATAATAGAGAGTTTTAGCCAGCAGAACGCAATGGGAGCTATCTGGGGTCCTGTTTTCCTCTAGCCATGTACTGCTTTTGCACCTTGAATTTCCTACTGTAGTGGCTTCCACTGTCAGCTGCAGAGTTCTCCAGAAGAGGACAGTATCACTGAATAAAATCTGCCTTCTCTGATTTAAAGCCACCCCCACCTAGCCATCAATTAAATGGATTGCTGGATTTACCTGATTAATTCTGGCATTCTAATTACTGGCTCTTTTCGTTGGTTTCTTTAGAAAGAGTTGGAGCAGCTGGCCAAACACACAGAAATCAACTGCAGGCACCTGTGCCAGTACTTCCAGGATGCTCTTGTCCTCTTGGACACTCACCAGCAAGGCCTCTCTCATCAGGAAAATGACCTTCAGAATAAATTGAATGATTGCCGGAACAAACACGAGCACCTGAACAAGGTGAGCACCAGCTTGGCAGGCTGGGAGGGAATAAGGAAGGAGGTGCCATGGAGTGGGTGCTGGACGCGGAGTGAGGAGCAGGGTGTTTGCAGGGCTGCGGGAGCTTGGTGTCTTGCATAAGTCATGCTCGTTTGCAGCGTTTCTCTTGTTTTGTATAATTCTGCAGGGTTGTGTGTGTGAGGGGGTGTTTCCACTTTGCTTTTGTTCTGTTATTTCATGTCACTGCAGCTCGGCCTGTGTAGAAAGCCAAGGTGCTCTCCAAAAGGGGTGGGGAACTTGCATCAGCCGCGCTGGTTTCTGAAGTAGCCCCTTCCGATCTCTGGCCAAAGTGATTTGTGGCTTCCTTAGCAACCTGCTGGGTGAAAGGAAGGAAAAGAGAGCAAAAGGAGTGGCAGAGAGAGAAGGGGATGGCAGAGGCAAGGATGGGATAGCAAAGAGTGAGAGACAAAAGGGATGGCCCTGCCCAGTGTTGGCTCTGCCCCCCCCCCCCCCGCTAAATAGGGAACTGAGGCAAACTCATGCAGATTCAGTGGCACTTTGATGTTAAAACGGCTCCTGCTCCTGAGAGCTCAGCAGGCGTGGCTCACCCTCATCTTCACAGCCATAAGGGCGAGGAAATGGCCTTTCAGAGCAAAGTGAAGCTGCACTCTTGCCCCGATGATCTGTACTTCCGTAAACTCCCGACTCATGCCCAGCCAGAGCTCTTGGTGAGGGTGCTTCATGCTCAGGGTCCTGATTAAGCACCGGCGGTGAAATCGCTTCCTTTTGAAGGGGCAGGTCTGTTTAGATGGCGGGGTGGGGAAGCAGCATGTTTATCCTCCCCTAGCCATGCTGCCTGTTTGCCCTGGGCCCCTGAAGCAGCCGCACGTGTGCAGAGCGGGAGGTGTGAGCCTTGGAAGGAATGAAGCCAGGCTGGATCTCTGGGCAAAGATCCCAGGAAGCAGGTCCGCATCGGAGCAGAGGTTAAAGCAGATGCGGCGCTGGCTGCACGCCAGCAAGAGTGACCAAAAACGGGGGGGGGGGTGAGATGCTCAGCTTTGGATTGCCTTCCACTGGTGGGAGTGGTCAAAGGCGACGTGAGCACAGCCAGGTGCACTTACCACTAATTTCAAGCCCACTCAGGAATACGCAGGACGGAATCCATCAGTTGCACTTCCAGATAGCATCTCAAGTGCCAAACGTCTGCTCTGAAATAAGCAGGGGCGGCACCTCTACTCACAAGTAAGTGGGACTGAATCGACCTGCCTCTTCCTTCCCAGGCCCTGCCCCTCCCCCTGCAGGGAAAGAGCCGCTCTCTGCCCTGCAACCGAAGTCCTGCACCCCTGTCTTAGCCGGCCAGTGTAGCGATTCATGCCATGAAACTTTGCAGACTGGATGTTTGTAATGCTAAAGGTTTTCTTCTGTGTGGCAACAGTTAAGGGAAGTTCACCTGGATATATCCATTGACAAGCTGAGGGTCCAAAGCACTGATGAGAAGCTGAAATCCCAGTTGGAGAAGGTTTATGCTGCTCTGGACTTCATCCGAGCCGGGTACGTGTGTGGTGGTGGGCACACTAATAGGTTGGGCTGAAAATAATCCAAATCCTATGCAGTAATAAATCATATGCTGGCTGGGGCTAATGGCAGTTGGAGCCCAACAAAAGCAGAGGGCCAGTAGTTTCTGTCCCCTCTTTTCCTTTAAAGTGGTTTTAAGCACAACACACTGTTCTTATTATTTCCATTTTTAAACCAACACGACAGCTCTGCAGCATTTCAAAATTCGGTGCTTTTCAAATTGTGAAATTTGGATTGGGATATCAAGACTTGCCATCCATTCATGTTGATGATGTGAAGTAATTGACTGTAGTTGGCTCAATGCTTTTGTTAGCTGTCTCTTTAGTCATGGTTGATTTTGTACAAGCAGGGAAGGAAAGTCACCACAGCCTCTTTTCCCCACCCTGCACATGCTGGTCACACTGTTATAAGTATCCTTGCCAGGTACAGTTTGCCTGAACCCAGTAAGGGAAAGGGTAGCTTCCAAACCCCCCATAAGCCGTGACCTAGTCTAGGCTTTGGCGGTGAGCTGGATGGTACCCACACTGCTGGATCTGAACTGCACACAACCTGCCCTCAGCAAGGTGGTGCATGGCCAGCGCACACACGGTGGAGAAAAAAAGCCACTGCAGCGTTTTTCCTTCCTTGGTCATGCAGACTCAGTCATTGCCAAATATTTACTGAAGCCTCTTAAAAACAGGCACATTTCCGTGGCCATTGCGTGCCAGGTGCCGTACAGTCAAGGGCTGCCACCACGAGATCATGTCAGTCGCTGGGTGTCGACAGCGTGCATTTGCACCCCTGAGAATATTTCTTGGCAGAACTGGTAGGAGAGACCTTGGGAGGGGAGGAATTCATTTCAGCCCAGGCAACTGTTGTGCTTCTTAACAGGTATGCTGTCTTCTATCAAGACCTCTTGTCTAAAGTAACAGCTTACCCAGACTATATTTTGCGTGAACTGATTTCCTACAGTACCTCCCTCAGCCGCTATTTTTATGTGAAGGACATCTATAAAGGTGTACGTACAAAATAACTCTATTTAGTGCCCTTGTAATTAAATAGGTGTATGGCAGCCTTTCCCAACTTGGTGCCCTCCAGATGTTCTGGATTTTAACTCCCATCAGCCCAAAATAAGATGGCCAGTGATCAGGGGTGATGCAGTTTGACAGCATCTGGAGGAGCCAGTGGTGAAGCTGGGGAATTTCAGGCCCTGGAATGGAATATTCTAGGGGATGGTGCCTTTAGACTGCCATGTGTGCAACTCAAGTTATGAAGCTCACAGTGAATATTTTTTCCTCCTCCTGCCACCACTGTCCCAGGCTTGAGCACTGCTTCTGCATTCCTGCGTTGTTACAACGCTGGGCGGCTTGCACAAAGGAAGCGCTCGGGGTGTTCTTGTTGACCGCTTGCTCTGTCTGTCCAACTGATGCAAGTTCCATGCTCAGGGACCCACGTTTTCTTATCCCTGCCTTGATGCTTAATCCCAACCTAACACTCATCCTTATACATTCAGACAACATGCATGAAAGCAGCTCTCGGGCTTGTTCTTGCTGTTGGTTCACTTAGTGAGAAAGTTTAGATTGCTTCCAGGCCCTGGACTTGTACAAAGGCCTAGCGGTGCCCAAACCTGAAGCAGAATCATAGCCGTAATACCCCAGAGTACATTCAGGCAACTTGCGCAAAGGCAGCACTTGAGGTGTTCTTGTTGACCACCTTCCTTGTTTGCCCACCCCGCCCTGTTTGCCTTAAGCCCCACTCTTCCCTGGAATGCAGCCCCCAAGGCCTACTCTGAAACCCAAATTCGGCCCTCTGGCTGGAAGAACATCAAACACTTCTGGTCACTCTCAGTCCTTTTCTTTCTCTCCGGCTTCTCTCTTCCTGAAGTTAAGACCTGATATCGCAGGGTGGTTTTCAAGGCTGGGTTGGGACAAGAGTTGGGAGCAGCTCAGGAGCCAGAACCAGGAGTCAGGGCCAAGGAGCACTCAGAACCACAAGGCAGGAGTGGAGAACCCGCCAGGAGGCAGCACGTGAGAGCCCGGCCAGCAGCTCCCCAGAGATCAAGTAGAGCTTGTTGCTTGAACCAGACCGAGGCAAAATGAAAGGCCCTCCTCCCCAGAATCTAATGATGGCCATGGGTGGATGGAGTCAGCCTGGGTCCAGAAACTAGCGCAGCTGTGGGTTTGCGCTTGGTGGTGGGTGCAGTGCTGAGCATCGCTATTCCAGCCTCACCCGCGTTGCTGTAAATTCTGGAATAAGACACTGCATGTGAAGCACTTAGAAGACTCTGCAGTACTGCACAAATGACTGTATTAAATAGTACTGTTCATTCAGAAAAGGCTAATCACGCTTATCTATTACCCATCTCAATGCCTGACATCTTCTGCTTTTTAAAATGTTTGTTTAGAGTCCATTAAAAACGGCTGAGGACTCAGTTGAAGAGGAAGGTAATTTCTGTTTCCCATTGTGTGTGTGTGTGTTTTTTTTTTTTTAAATGCTTGCCTTTTCAGTTAGAGGGTACACTGTTCTATATGATTCCCCTTGTTCTCCCTTCTGCTTGCAACTGGCACTGCGGCTTTTCCATGTGTCACCATCCTCCCTCGGCATCCTCTTGCAAAACCCTGCATTCAAGGCAGCATTCAAGGTGTTCCAGGGCTGCAGGCATCCTGAAGGAAGGGGTGTCATGGGATCTGCCTCTCATGACCTCCAGCATCTCCTCTCAGGCAGCCCGGGAAGAACTGAGGCCTCGGCAAGGCTTTTCCCATCTCAGGATGTTGACAGCCCCCTGGCCGCATGCGAAGTCTTTTGCTCAGGGCTGGGCTCCTCGTCGCATTTGACAACCTGCCGCAACACCACGGAGAGAGGGCTGCCAGGGGAAGCGCGGCCACGTGCCAAGGACAAGCCACTTGCACAAAAGCCTTCCCGCAAGGCGGTGGCAGTGCCCGAGCTTCAGCTCTTGAAGCAGCCCCTGTAGCCCTCGGCACGGGGAGCTCACTTCCCTTCGTTATCTTGGTTGGCCAGGCAGTGGGACAGGTTGGCTTGCAGCCCCTGGCCGCCTTTAGGTCCTAAGAATGCCTCTTAGCTCTGCCTCACGGGAGGCAGTGGCAGCAGGAGGCCCTCCCTTGGCTTTCTAGGCATCCGAGCTGCTGCCTGTCGATCTGTTTTTCTAACTGCAGCATGGGATAGGTGGCGTGCGCGGGTGGGCACCCAGAAGAGTGTCCAGGGGCAGGCTGGTGCCCACAGGCTGCACCTCGCCTGCACCCTGTGTTAACTGCACCTCTTGGTCCTCTTCCCCAACTAAAGCAAAACCATGGTCGTCATTTTTGCATCGTCAGCACTCTTCCCCACAAGCCCAGGTGTTGCTGGACTTTTTGCATGTTCCCACCCCACATTCCTAAGGCTGGATTGCTGGCAGGTAAGAGCTTTAAGCTAAAACATGCTGGTACTTTGGGGATTTGGCCGTCCCCCTTTTGACTTTGGTCCCACCCACCACCGGAATGCAGCCCCCACAGCTTCTCTTGCAAGGAAGGAACTCGGCCCTTGGCCAAAAGAGCTTGCTAGCTCCTGCACTGCAGTGTCGCCTGCACATTTTCAGTTTTAGCCCTGTTGGCTCACAGTTACCTCTTGGTCTACTTGCTTCCTCCTCCTCTCTACTCCATCTCCTGTCTGTCTTCCTGCTGGTGGTATTTAGATTGTAAGCTGCTCGGGGCAGGGGGCTGCCCCTTTAATGCTGTTCCCTGGGGCATCCTCTCGGATGCTGCGCTCATATTCCCCTGTTCTATGCATTTGCACAGAAACGACTGAGGAGGCAGAAGACATCACAGAAATGGAGGAGACCTTGCAGGATTCACCCGAACATGTGCATGAAGAAGAAACAGAGCATCCAGAAGAGGAGGAGGAGGAGAAGGTTGAAGAAGAAAATGCAGGGGAGTCTGAGAAACTGGGGAAAACCGAAAGTTCTGCTCCTGACAGTGACGGATTGGGCATCCCGGAAGGCAGGGCCAGTTTCTTCCTAGAAAGTGATGATGTAGAGAAATCCGAGGATGGGAGCATTCCCATGCAGGAAGGCAGAGACATTCATGAAGCTGAAGATGCCACAGAACCAGCATTGGTGAGCTGGGCTCCTGTTTCCTAAGTAGCAAAGTGACATGAGAAGCACTTCCTTCCTTCTGGGCAAGAATAGAAGGGCTTTGAGACTTCCCCCGCCTGAGCAGTACCTCTGAAGGAATGGCCCCACTGGAGCAGAAGCATCTATGGCAGCCTTCCCCAGCCTCATGCTTTCTCAGCGGTTCTGGGCTCCAGCCTGCAGCTTGCTGCAGCACCCGGCTGCAGCAGGCTGACTCGGGGAGCTGCTTGCCACGCTGGCTTGAGAAGTAGCCCAGATGGTGCAGCCATCCCTCCTTCCCTGCATAGTCTCCTCTCTGTCTTCGTGCTGAAGCTAGAGGCTGGCATGGCATGCGATGGGTGGTTTCTGAAGAACAATATTTTGATTAGAACTGAATGTCATGGTTGGTTCTTTGCACTCCTGCAGGTGACGGTCTCTGCCTCACACTTAAAGCCAAAAGCGGTGGCACTGGAGTTCTTCACCACTTCCAGTGGCAATACTTACAGGGTGGCTCAGCGTTCAAAAAAGTCCAAGGTCAAACCCTCGGAGAAATACTACATTGGAAGACTGAAACTCAAGGCCCTGCCTCCCTACTTGGAGCAGGTGTACCTCTCAGAAAATTTCCTTACGGATGCAAGAAGACAGTAAGAAGGACACCCCCTTCCCCACCTCTTTCCACATTCCTTTCTAACCCGAACCTCTCTGCTCCTCTGAGTCAGGATAGTCGGAGGGGAGGGGCGGGGAGGGGAGGGGAGGGGAGGGAGGTTCTGCTCCTCTGAGTCAGATTCTGCCACAATCTTGAGTGTAGACTTGAAGCAAAGCACACTTCTGATATTAATTCTGTGGGTACATATCCCATGATGCAACAGAGTTCCCAGAGGAAGCAGGGGGCGCCAAGCCTAGGATGTTCAGGCCTGTAAGCAGGCAGCTTCCCGTTTTCCTTCCCTCTTTCCCAATCACAGAATTCGCCTGCAGTTCTTCGAGCACCTGGAGAATTGGTTTGCGCAGTCGCTGTCCAACGCCTCGGCCATTGTGGCAGCCAAGAAGGAAGAGCTCAGCTCAGAGCTGCAGCTGCGCATTCACCTGCACGAGCCGAGGCGAGAGCGCATTGAGAAGGACGTTTACCACGTCCGAATGGGTACCGGTGCCCTTTCTCCATATAAATGCACGTCCCCTGCGAACCATTTTGTCATACTGAACTCCACAGCATAATTGGTGATTTAGTGGGGAGAACACCGTGGTGGAGGCCAGAACTCACATCCCAACCGCTCACTGAGGTCTGAGCCGGGTCAAGCAGAAAACTAAATGAGGGTGGTGTGAAAATGGAGAACTGGGCAGTGGAGTGGAAGAAGGTCTCCCCACCGCAACTCTTTGCAGCAGTTCATAATCATTATTCTTAATTTCTTACCAACAGGGGAGGGTGTAGCTAGCAAGAGGTTTAGCTGCTCCCAGCAACCAAACCAAACCAAACCAAACCAAACCAAACCAAACCAAACCAAACCAAACCATCCCATCCCATCCCATCCCATCCCATCCCAAGGAGAGATGCTGATGGCAGGGCTATTTCCTGTCTCTGTCCATTGCGAAATCCGGGTCGAGTGTGTGTGCCACTCAGTAAGGGGTACTGTCAGTGGCATCTGTCTCAGGGGTGACCGGGGGAAATGTTCCTTCATGCCACCAGGCAGTCAGCTTTTTGAGTGGACTTCCACAAGAAGGAGCAGTAGCCACGACTGGCAGTAGCTAGCTGTTCACTCAGCAGAAGATCTGAAAAAGGGCCAGGATGCTGTAAGCTGCTCCTTGCCAGGTCAGGCCCTTGGCTAGTGGGTCCACATGGGCAGGCTTCAGCAGCACTCCGGGGTCTCCAGTGGGAATCTACCCAGCCATACCTGGCGTTGCTGGGGATCCCACCTGGAAGCTTCGGTATGCCAAGCTCTACCGCTGAACGGCAGCCCCTTCCCACAGGGGCTTGGCTGACAGGTGACTGTTTGCTCAGCACGATGCCTGACCCCAGGATCAGCAATAGGGGAAGGCTGGTCTTTTTGTGCCCCTGCTTGGGAGGCTTCCAAAGCCTCTGTTGGGAAAAGAAAGTGAACCGAGACCAGCCTCAGCAGGATCCAGCTGTGCTCCCTACTTCAACCCATTGCCTTGCAGATTTGTGGGACTACGCTTCCCATCCCCACCACTCAGTATGTGCTGTGGCTGAACTGTCTGGGGGCAATGGGGGTTGTTGTAGTCTAATGCCTTTGGGGAGGCCACCAGGTTTCAGAGTTTTCCGGGTCAACCTTCTCTTGACCATGCTAATACAAAACATTTTTTCTCCCTCTCCTTTTCTTGCTCAGCGGAACTGCGGCTTCATAACGAGCGCTTGGCACGGCACTGCGCTGGCCTGGTGGAAGCTCTGAATGCAGAGAAAGCTGCCTTCTTCAAGCTTCGGCATGACCAGAACAAAGTCAGCAAGACCTTCCGTCACAAAATCCAAGACATGGAGAACATGTTCCTGGTGGAGGGCAGGGCAGAAAAGTCAGTTTGCTGCCCCAAAGATGCCTCACAACTCTTTGGGGCTCGGGAGCCGTCCTGTCCCAGCCTTGGAACTTTGAGCTGTAGGAGTCCTTAGGGAAAGGAAAGGAGGTTTTGCCCCTCGCAAGCCAGATTCAGATCAAGGTCACATTGGAACCTGAGAAAATGGCACTGGCCACAGAAATTGGCTCCTGCGGAATCTCAGATTTCATTTCAAAGCTTGAAGCTCACTGGGGGCTGTGGGAGCTGCAGTGCAGCCCTTCTGCAAGGCATCCAGTCAGCTTTTTGTCCCTTAGAAATGTGAAGATAGCCTTGGAACTCCCTGGGCCATGTCTCCTGAACTCTTGGTTGCCCAGAGGGGGCTGGAACGGATCGTGGTAGTTAAGAACCAGCTTTGGTTGTCTTGCCCTCAGCCTACACTCACAGAAGCACTCCTGCCAAATAAGGATCCTTCTCCTGGCTTCCTTTATTTGCATATTCTATTCGGGTTACAAAATTCTACTGTTTTCCTCATCCTTAGGTTGGTGACGCTCAGCAACAATCTGCACTCGGAGCTGATCAATCACATGGAAGTGCTGCAGGTTTCCCTAAGGAGTTACCGGCAGTACCTGGAAGAAATGCTAGGAAAGCTGCGGGAAGCGAACACGGACTTTCTAAAATCGTGCAAGTATGTCACAGTTTAGTTCAACTCTCTTGCTGGTTAATGGCTTGTGTTTCACATGTTGATTCACTAGAATTAAATTATGTTCCCTATTCTGGTGTGGAGATTCAGGAGCCCTGAAGGTAGGTCATGCAAAAGAATAGAACCCTACCTTAGAAGCAAGACTGGTCATGCCAGATCTATGAAGCTGGTGAGATCAGGGAAGCCTGAGATAAACGTCTTTTCAAAAGGCAGAACGAGCCATGCCACACGGGGGTCTGCCTGGCCTCCAGAGGCAGGGAGTTCCCCAGAAAGGGGCACCGCACTGAAGCCTCTTCTCCAGGGGGGTTGCGGTCAGGCCCGAGAGCCATATGAAGCAAGAACATCACTGGGAACACCACTAGGAGCACATGCCCGGCTGCTCCTCACAGCAAACGAAATGCCGGGTTACGTGCCAATCGCACTTTCTGGACCAGCTTCCGGGGGAGCCTCAAACGGGGTGCACTGCAGTGAAGTTGACCAGTGAGCGCGACTCGCTCCGCTCTCAGTAGCCTTGGGACTGGGCCAGCCAGCGCCTGGAGGCCACTGCTGGAGCGCCAAGCAGTCGTGGGATAGAGGAGATTCGTGCTACCCAAGCCGAAGGGCAGCACGGGGGACAGAGGCATGGGGATGAATAGAAATGGACCACCAGGGAGCCATCAACCAATCTGGACCATTATCTCTTTTCAGATTATTTGCGAATGGAGGCAACTTTTCTCCGGAGGAACTGGATGTCTTCCTGAAGCGTCTGCAGAAGGAGAGCGGGCGCATTGACTTTGTGGAAGGCTTGATCATGATCGACATGGAAAAAATGGAGTCCAGTTATTTGGAGCAGGTGAGCAGGCATTGCCCTGTGTGTGAGAAAGAGAATTGTGCTAGGAACAGCAGGAGGAGTAAGAAATAAGTTTATCTGCTGTCATGGTTTTTTTTTTTTTTTTACTCCCTGAGGCTACAGAGGTTATCAACAAGTTTGAAAATAGGTTCCGTTTCCTGGCAATGGATCGGGTCTTCATGGAGAAAATCCAGCGGTTTTTGACGAATATTCAAGTGAAAATCAAGTCAGAGGTACAAATGGAAAGAGTTTGGATGGATGGATGGATGGATAGATGGAACATATTGCAATGGAAATACAGGATTTCCAGTCCCACTTTTTGTCTCTGAGCACTAGTGTGTGTGAATTTTACAGGGAGAATTGATGGATAGAAAGGGATCCTTAATTCTTCCTCACTGGCTGATTCTCCTTGTAAATGCCCCCCTTCTCTAGACCAGGGGTGGGGAACACAGACCTTGGCCAGTCTGGGGTTCTGCAGGTGGCCCCCTGCCTTTCTCTGTCTTCTTTTGCCCTAACTGCTTGCCACAGTGCTTTCTCCAGTTTTGTGGATGTTTGTTGAAATTGAAATGCCTCTCCTAAGATTTCAGTATTGGCAGCAAGAGCTTTATGGTGCAATATGTTGCTGTTTGCATTTTGACTGCATGGCTTTTTCCTTTGGCCCTTCTCACAGCCACCAGGAACATTGCTGAAGGTCAAGGGTTTGGTTTGGCTTTCCATTTTAAACTGTTCTTTTCCCGCTGGGCCCAGAGACCAGAAATAGTTTGCTTGCAGGGGAAAAGCAGCTCAAAGGGCATGGACTTTCCCCCTGCATCTCCCCCCGCCCCACCCCACACACTGAGCCAAAGAAACTTTTCTCCATGCACACTTCAGCTTGCCTTTGTTTGCACCCCGTCCTGTCCAGGTGGCAAAATCAAATTTACAGACCCAGACGTTAAACTCCCAGCTCGAGAAGCTCACTGGGAAGATCGATGCTTGTGCCCATCCCAACGTGGATAAGGAAGTGAGTTCTAGTCTCAAGTCCAACAGAAGAAAGGGTTTGCGTTCCTGTTGCAGATGGGTGCGGGTTCAAATGTCCCGGTTTTCATATTCTCTTCTGGGGAAACAGGGGCTCCCTAGCTTCTCAGTGAGAGGATCAGAAATGCCCAAGGACCCCTCACCCGCCACCACGGATCTTCCTGGAGGGGTGGGCCCCAGGACAGTAGAGCCATCAGGGCAGCACACTGGGGCAGATGTCCATAGCCCCTCTCAGAGGGTGGGCCCCCAGCAAAGCACATTGCTATCTAAAGGGGGAGGGCACAAGACCATCTAGAGGTGGGGGCCAAGGAGGCAACATGATGTGCGAGAGCCAGGGACCACCAAATGATCAGGGAACAGGGAGCGGGGACGACCAGGGAACTGCAACATTTGGCTTGGAGGCCCAAGGTTCACCCCTGGTTTGGGAGACTTATTTGGCCTGTGCTTTATGTTAATTTTACTTCTTTGCTCAGTCCATTACTCCAGAGTTGCTCTACAAGTTTGCCCAGTTCCTGACGGAAGAATTGAAGAAGAGGAGCAAGTATCTCAATTGCCTGTTGGTGAATCTGGTAAACAGTTTTCTGCTACCGTGATCCCAGTAATGGGCCCTATTCGCCAAAAGGCTTTCTTGCTCAGACACAGAGCTCCAAGAGAGCACTGGGCAATACAGAAATTAAATCAATGAAGATAATGAATAATAGCATGTGCTTGGGTGTGCAGCTTCAGGCAAGCAGTACAACTAGAAGGAATCCTTTGATATTGAGTGTTGAGCCCCAGAACTTAGCATCTTAAGGGTTCGGGTTAGAATTAGGGGTAGGCACAATCCTATGCATGTTTAGACAGGAAGCAATGGTGTACAACTCCCAGCATGCTGTAGCCAACTCCCATGCTGTCTGGGGCATGCTGGGAGCTTCAGGACTTCTTTCTGTCTAGACACATGTAGGATCATGGCTTAAAGCAATTTAGAGGTGGATGAAACCTTGCTTAACCCAGGAGTAATTTATTGAAAAGAATTAAAACATAAATTCAAAAGAGCACCTGTCTCTCTGCATGGCATTACCTAGAATAACGCCAATAAAGACTGGACTCAAGGGGGTCTGTGGGGAACTATGTGATTCTCATGGGGAAGCCACAGGTCAAGAAAGCGTAAAGCCCAGAATCCAGCCTTGCTTCCTGGGCTTCCCACAAGCACCTGGCTGGTCACTGCAAGAAATAGGAACACATTGGCCTGGATTCTTATCCTCTTCCACCTCGCTTCCTGGCAGGAGGTAAATTCCTCTGTGCATGACCATACCGCCCAGGGCTCCCTCACAGCTTCCATCCAGTCCGACAGCATGATGGAGAGCAAGACAGTTGTGATGGGTGTGGAGTGCACCCCTCTGATGAATCCGTGCAGGATGGGGAAGCCCTTCGCTGACGATGCAGCAGTCAGCATGATCAAGCAGCTTGCTGGGTAAGTGTCCGGCTGGGGCTTGTGGTCACTTCAGGGGGACATTGCTGGGCTAGGCTTGCCACCAGGAGGTACTGACACAGAGGGTTGCTGAAGCCACCTGAAACTTTACATCGGCTGGCAAGGCTGGGGCTGCGTTTGGCCCCCCTCCTTGGAGGAGCTGGCTGTGCCTGTTTGAAGGACCCCTGCCCGGTTCTGCTCCTGTTGGTGTCTATGAGGAGGAGGAGAGCGGATGCTACCAGAAATGTGTTCTCTGAGTCTGAGGAAGGCAGAAGGCTGGGGGGCCGTCCTGCAGGTTACTCCTTGAGTGGGTCAGTGGGTCCTCCTTGGAGCAGTGTGGGGGTCTGGGTTCAAGAGTTGGAAAACTTGTGCCTGTTGAATTGGTTTAGGATTCAGCGCGTCAGAAGGATGACAGAGGCACAGATTGAAAGAGGACGCCTGATGTCAGGCACAGGAGAAGTTGGAGGTGAGCAGCAGGATTTTGCTTGGACAGTTTTGCATCCAGAACAATTTCACTGCTTGGCACCAGGCAGTTGGATCTATATCCCATTTCACACACAAAGTTAATCCACTGGTTAACAGTACTGGAAGAGCTTCTGGTGACCCTCAGCTTTGCACATCCCCCACTCCTTTCTCCTGGTGAGGAACAGACTAGAAGCAACTAGTTTTAAGCTAACCAGAGCTCACCATTATGTCCAAACTTGAGGAAACACGATTAGCTTAAATGAGGATGTGTTGATAAGCCAGGATCATAAACCACTGTTTGATCATGGCTTGTTCAAACACTCCCTAATGTAACTAACTGCAGAAAACCCAGAAGACCAAACAACTGGTGGATGGACAAACAGAGGAAGAGAAGGGGGAGGAGCCTGGTGGGGCCTGCTGGGGAGCCCAGTGGGCCAGGTTTATTCCCCAGGCCTGAGGCTCCCCATGCATACTGCAACCCAATGAAACCCCCTGCTTAGAGAAGAGCATGTATTTCCTTCCAAGCATGGGATCTCAATCGGCAGTGCTGACATCAGGCTTTGAGAGGGCTGCCAAACAAGTGCACCCCTGACTTGGCAGGCATGGGGTGCAGAAAACACGATCTCTACTTGCCATATGAAAGGCGGGGCCCTTGGGTTCCTCCCTCTGGGGGCCACAGTAAGCCCCTCATGCCTACAGCGAGTGTCCGGAGCTGCCCCTGCCTGCAACTAAAGGCCTGTCCTTCTTTCCTCTCTCAAAAGCGCCTAATCCAGTTCAGACATCCCCCGGTGGGCGTGTCCATGCTGACAGCAGCCCTGGCAGTCCAAACGTCAATGTCTTACCTGTGAAAAAAACTAGTTCCATTAGCAAACGAGTGTCAGGAAGGTAAGGAAAAGAAAAATCCCCTTCTCCCACTTGTGCTTCAGAGGTGCCTCCTCGTCCTTCCACACTTCTCTCCCGCTTACTTTAAGTCCACAATGAAAGGACATTTCTGGAGGAAAACATGCTTTCTAGTCACCAAAATTAATTAGGTTTTAACATATGTCAGATTCGAGATGGGCCTTTGACCAGATTCAAAATGGCACTTCCTTATGTCCCTCAAGTTTCCTTGTCAATCTTTATTTTAATTGCCAACACTGATCTGGTTCGGGTATTGGAAAAATAAACCATCTCTGGAAGGGACAAAGACACAAAACAGCCCTTTAGATGTTTATTGCTTTTGCATGCAGTGTGACCTCAATCCAGAAATATACCAGGCAGACGCGGGTGGACAGGAAGGTGCTGATCTTTGGGGAGAGGCCAAAAGAAAACAGGTAAGTCCCCAGGCAAGCTTTGGAGACGTGCAGAGTTGAGCTCGTTCAGAGCTAATGTATGTTCGTTCGTTTGTTTATATAATGTATTTCTATGCCACTACAGCAGCCCATAACCAGGCCCTCTGTCTGGCTCATGATGTAAAGCAACATAACATTCCAAAATCAGAGACATTAAATCAACATCCTTAAAACGTATTAACAATGTAATCTGAATATAAAGATAATATAGCAAATTAAATTATAATATGAAACATTAAATAAAGCAATTTAAACTAAAATTGAGAAAGACCAACATGGGGTTAATTTTAAAACCAGATAGCCATTAAAATCCATAGTTAAAATAACTGGAGAAAGGGAGAGAACTTGCCCTGCACTGAAATGCTGGCAGCATCGGCACCAAGCGCACCTCTCTGGGAAGCCCATTCCACTCTCTCTGGGGAGTCTGTTCTAGAGCAGAACTAACTACTTTAAAGGGGGTCATTATCATGATGGATGTTTTTTGTGAATGATACTTATATTGTGCATTCTGTATCACAAAGCCAGCTCTGGCTGGCCAGTTTCAATGCCACAAGGGAAGGTGGTTAGAAGCTGGGGAGGGTCAAGGAGAGAAATTGCTGCCTGGGGAAAGAGCTGCACTCTCAACCTGATCGTGCATCGCTCAGATTCGTCACGAGCTGCACTCCGCTAGTGACTCAGAGCCTTCAGGGGAGGAGCCAATGGTGCCGTCTGGTCCACAACTGATGGATGAATTTCAGTTATTGCGGCCTGATGATGTGGACAAGGTGCTTGGACAAGTACGTTCCACCACCTGCTTATTGGACCCTTGCCCATCTTGGCTACTCAAGACAGCCAAGGACGGGATAGGGACCTGGATCCTGGAGGTTGTCAACGCCTCTCTAAGGGATGGCCAGGTACCTGCCCCTTTAAAGGAGGCGGTAGTCTGGCCTGTCCTAAAGAAGGCATCCCTGAATCCAGAGGTGACCACCAATTATAGACCGGTGGCCAACATCCCATTTCTGGGCAAGGTGCTAGAGCAGGTGGTGGTGGGACAACTCCAAGCACTCTTGGAGGAAACTGATTATCTGGACCCATTTCAGTCCGGCTTCAGACCCGGGTATGGTACTGAATCTACCTTGGTCACCCTGTACGATGACCTGTGCAGGGAGAAAGACGGGGAGTGTGTCCCTGTTGGTTCTCCTGGACCTCTCAGCGGTTTTCGATACCATCGACCATGGTATCCTTCTGGATAGGCTAGTGGGATTGGGAGTTGGGGGCACTGCTTTGCAGTGGTTCCGCTCCTATCTCAATGGCCAATTCCAGAAGGTGGTGCTGGGGGACTGTGGCTCTGCGCCATGGCAGCTATGCCATAGAGTTCCGCAGGGTTCCATCTTGTCCCCCATGCTATTTAACATCTACATGAAACTGCTGGGAGAGGTCATCAGGAGGTGTGGGCTGTGGAATTATCAGTACGCTGATGATACCCAGCTCTACCTCTCGTTTTCCACCAATCCAGGTGAGGCAGTAGCTGTACTGAACCAGTGCCCGGCCGAGGTAATGGGCTAGATGAGGGCCAATAAACTGAAGCTCAGTCCAGACAAGACGGAGGTTCTGTTGGTAGGTGGATTGGGCTTTGAGATGGGGGACTTTGACCTTGTCCTGAATGGGGTTGCACTCCCTCTTAAGGACAGGGTCCACAACTTGGGAGTGCTCCTCGACCCAGAGTTATCATTGGAAGCTCAAGTGACAGCGGTGGCGAGGAACTCTTTCTTTCAGCTTCGGCTGATCCATCAGCTGCATCCCTACCTGGAGAACGACTGCCTGGCAACAGTGACACATGCATTGGTCACTTCCCGATTAGACTTCTGTAATGCACTCTACGTGGGGCTGCCCTTGAAGACGGTCCGGATACTTCAACTGGAGCAAAATAGAACTGCCAGGCTGCTGACGGGGACTGGGCATTGTTCTCATATAACCCCAGTCCTCCGTCAGCTCCACTGGCTTCCCATTGAAGTCCGGGCCCAATTCAAGGTGCTGGTTATCACCTACAAAGCCCTGAACGGCTTAGGCCCTGGTTACCTAAAGGAGCGCCTGCATCCATATATGCCCTCCCGCCCCCTGAGATCAGCGACAGAGGCCCTTCTCTGGGAACCCTCCGTGAAAGAAATTAGGAGGGTAGGTACTCGGAGGAGGGCTTTCTCTGTGGTGGTGCCTAGCCTATGGAATGCGCTCCCCAGAGAGGTCCACCTGCCGCCATCCTTATTTGTTTTTCGGCGCCAGGCCAAGACCTTTTTATTAAATGCTATTTTAACTGTTAATGGTTTATTTGTTGGTTGAAATTGACCAGGCTGGATCCACTATTTTATTTTATTTTATTTTATTTATTTATTTGATGAATATTTTGTATTTTATATGGGATTTTAATGATTGTAAGCCGCCCCGAGGCTCATGCAATGGGGTAGCATATAAGTTGTTTAAATACATACATACATACATACATACATACATACATACATACATACATACATAAATGCATTTGGACAACACTGGGCGGGCTGTGTCTCTGCAGGATGGTCCATTCCCTTGCATTCTCTTTTTGCTCATCTGCACCCCCAGCTGCATGATGGACTGACCCAAAGCCTGCTGCTGGGGAACAAGCAACGGGAGGGTGGGCAAGGGTGGCCTCTCCTGGAAAGGGTGCTTACCTTGCCTGGGAAGGGCCTTTCTCTGCATGGACATCGCTGTGCCAGATTCCTCCTGATTTACTCAGGACCACCCTTGCTTTAATCTTTACTAGGGTACAGGAAATAGGAAGAGGAAGGGGAGACAAGTGGTGGGACCACTAAACAAGGAGGGAGGAGATCCAGTGACTGATATGAGGGAACAGGCACAGATGCTAAATGACGATTTTGCCTCTGTGTTCTCCCCAAAGCAGGACGGGGGAGATCCACATAGGAGATTCAATGAGGCTGGGGACTTAGGGGCACAGATTAGAGTCACCCCCCCCTTGAAGTCAAGGGGCTCCTCAGGGCATTGGACATTACAAAGGCACCAGGCCCTGACGGGTTACACCCGAGAGTACTTGGAGAGTTGGCAGGGGTTCTCTCACGCCCGCTGGCCTCCATTTTTGAGGCCTCGTGGAGAACGGATGAAGTTCCAGAGGACTGGAGAGTGGCGTCAGTGGTCCCAATTTTCAAAAAGGGTGGTAGAAGGGACATGGGGAATTACAGACCTGTTAGCCTTAACGTCCATTGTAGGAAAAACAATGGAAAGGCTCATAATAGCGAGAGATCTAGCAATGCTAGATAGGGAAGGGAGGCTGACAGCCACACAACACGGCTTCCGCAAAAACAGGTCCTGCCAGACAGACCTTGTGGGATTCTATGACAAGGTTTCGAGGTGGCTAGATGGAGGGGATGCAGTGGATGTGGTTTACCTGGATTTCAGCAAGGCCTTTGACAAAGTGCCCCATGACATCCTGGTGGAGAAACTGAGGAGTTTTGGGATACACCAAAGCAATGTCCGGTGGATTAGGGCATGGTTGACTGACCGAAAGCAGAAGGTAACTATTAGCGGGAAATCATCGGGATGGAGGCCAGTGACAAGCAGGGTCCCCCAGGGCTCTGTCCTGGGGCCGATCCTGTTTAATCTTTTCATTAACGACATGGAAGAAGGGGTGAACAGTCTGCTGATCAAATTCACAGACGTCACTAAAACTGGAGCAGTGGCCACAACTGAGGAGCAGGTACTCCCGATCCAAAAGGATCTGGACAGACTATGGAAGTGGGCAGGAGACAACAGGATGGTGTTCAGTGTGGATAAGTGCAAGGTCTTGCACTTGGGGCATAGGAATAGCTGTCATAAGCACAGGTTAGGTGACAAGTGGCTGGAGAGCAGCACTTGTGAAAGGGACCTCGGGGTGCTGGTTGACTGCAGGCTAAACATGAGTCAGCCATGTGATGTGGTGGTCAAGGGGGCGAACGCCACTCTTGGTTGCATAGCCAGAAGTGTGGCTTCTAGATCAAGAGAGGGATTACTACCACTCTACACGACTCTGGTGCACCCGCAACTGGAGTATTGTGCTCAGTTTTGGGCCCCTCATTACAGAAAGGATATAGCCAGGTTGGAGTCAGTGCAGCGTAGGGCCACAAGGTTGGTGGTCGGTTTGCAGGGGATGCTGTATGAGGTGAGACTGAGGGAACTGGGTCTCTTCAGCCTGGAGAAGAGGAGACTCAGAGGGGATCTGTTGGCGACATACAGGTATGTGAGGGGGTGCCACATGGAGTTGGGTAGAGACCTGTTCTCCCCTGCAGAGGAAGGCAGAACGCGCTCCAATGGAGCAAAGGTCAGGGAGCCAAGGTTCCATTTAGATACCAGGAAGCACTTTCTGTGAGTTAGGACCTTGAGGGTGTGGAATGGGCTTCCATGAGAGGTCATTGAGGCCCCATTGGTGCGAGTGTTCAAGGATAGGCTGGACGTCCACATGGTGGGCATGTCGTGAGTGGAGCCGGCTGGTGCCAGAGGTCAGATTAGATGGTCCAGGAGGCCCCTTCTGACTCGCTCTGTTTCTATGTACAGTTCTTCATGTGTCAACAGGCAAATCTGGCGTGTGGCTGGCTGGGCCATGCTGGGAATTGTAGGGCTTCTTCCGTGTAAATAGGCACAGGATTTGGCAACATTATTTTTTTCTTTTTAATACTGTGAATACTGTTAAATACTCACATGACTAAGAGTCCCCTGTTTCCATTGTTTTTCTTTAGTAATGAGCATTTTAAAGGGATTATCTTCAGTATCGTGTGGGACAACTTTGATAATCTAATGGGCACTGCAGAGGTAAGAGCTTTCAGATTCAGGGAAGAGCTACCTGTTAGGGCTGGGTATTGGACGTCTTTGAGCCCGACAACCAGATTTCATTTTGGAGAAACTCTTGGGCCTCATGGTCCTTTGGTGGGCATAGTCCAAAGGCAAAAGTGGTGGGGCCAACATACCAAAATTGTCAGCCTATTTTTGGTTAAAACTCTTCTGTTCATGCTACGCAGGACTGAGTGGAGTCTTCTCCATTCTTCTCCTTTGCGGTTGTGGCCACAGTGCCCTGGATTTTATTCCTAGTTCTTTATCTCCTCCCCCCCCCTCCCCGCCTTCCATCTTCCTGAAGGAGTTTTACAAAAAGGATAAGCATCAGATCACTAGGCCAGAATTCCTGCAAGATACCTACGACCAGTGCCTTGACGTGATGGGCCAGAAGCTCACGTCCTACCTGCTCCAAGCAGATGAGTACCACATCGCCTGCATCTCTGGTAAACCTTGACTGGAAACCTTTTCTTGTGGATCTAGGAGTGCTCAGTGAGACTTGCTTCTGAGTAGTCCTGTATAGGGTTGTGTTCTCAGTTACATATCGTTGCTCAAGGGTGAATTCAGGGAAATTCAGGACTGTCAATTCTAAGGTAAATTTTGGGCTTCACCACCACAAGATGTAAGGATGGCCACAAATTTGGATGTCTCAAAAAGGGGGCTGGGCAGATTCATGGATGAGAAGGTCCTCTGCGGCTACAGGGCCTGCTTGGGAGTTTCCTGCTGGCACCTGGCTGGCACTGTGTGAACAAAATGCTGGAAATGACTGACCATCCTAGCGTGGTGCTTCCTGCACCTGTACCTTTTCGCAGTTTAAAGGAGCCCATTGACACCTCCTCTGAGCTCAGTTACACAGATTTTCCCTGCTGCTGCCAAAATAGACAAGCCCTTGAAAACATAACGTTGGTGATAAACTGTAAACGTGGTCCGGCTAATGGTTGTTGCGGTTGACTCTCACCAAAACCAGTGGACCGACATCATGGCCTCTTTGAGGCTTGCAGCTCACATCCAGGCTTAGTCATGACTCAGTTTAACTGGATCGGGGCCAACAAACATACAAATGTGTGCCCTTGTGGAAAAGCTGGATGTTCTGGGCTGGGCACGAGATTGTTGTTGTTAGTCGCAAAGTCATGCCCGGCCCATCGCGACCCCATGGACAACATTCCCCCAGGCCTTCCTGTCCTCCACCATCCCCCAGAGTCCACCTAAGCTCATACCGACTGCCCCAGTGACCCCATCCAGCCACCTCATCCTCTGCCGTCCCCTTCTTCTTTTGCCGTCCATCATTCCCAGCATCAGGCTCTTCTCCACGGAGTCCTTCCTTCTCATTAGGTGGCCAAAGTATTTGAGCTTCATCTTCAGGATCTGGCCTTCTAAAGAGCAATCAGGGCTGATCTCCTCTTGGACTGACCGTTTTGATTGCCTTGCGGTCCAAGGGACTCACATGAGTCTCCTCCAGCACCACAATTCAAAGACCGCAATCCTTTGGCGCTCAGCCTTCCTTATGGTCCAGCTTTCACAGCCATACATTGCAAGGGCACTAGATAGAGAAATGTTATTACAAGTATAGATAAGCACATGAAGTGGACCATGCATTTTGTAGAATTTTGACAACTTAATCTCAGGATTATGCCATCTGATGATCAACAACACTGTGTTTGTGAACCTAATTGTAAGAATACATTTTAGTGAGCCTTGCAATTCTTTACTGTGCAAAAACGATTGCATACAATGATTTTGACAATAAATCAGCACAAAAATACTTCCAGCATTTCTGCTTTCATGAAGTAACATGAGCCTTCCTTCCTGAATTCTAACAGAGTTCCGGGATCAACTGAAGATATTTGAGGAGCAGCTTCCACACATCACCCAGCTGGTTATTGACACACATCTGAAAGATCACGAGCAGCTTCTCAGGGAGTCTACAGATCAGATCCGGCACCATCTACAAGACCAGCTGCAAAAATGGGACATTGCAAAGGTTGGGCATCCGAGCACTCTGTGCTCCTTTCCTTTCAGCAGCGTACCAGGCCTTCACAGGCTAGGAAAGCTCCTTGGATAGCCCTTGCAAGGGAGGGTAGGACCTACTCCCCTCCCAGGGCCAGAGATTGGCTGTCATCTGGGGCCCGGCCTGGCCTGGAAGCCAGGCCAGGAGGCACCTCTGGGCTGGCACCTGGAAGGGTGACTGGCACTTGTGCTCCGATCATGAGACTTGGGAGCGGCTGGGCTGATCTCGACCCCTGTTGAGTGGGGTCTGCTTTCCCTTGCCTCACCGGTTGCCCTGCCAAAACACAACAGTGGCATCTCCCTGAATGTACTCAGCTGGAGCCACAGTGCTGCAGTCTTGTCTGGCCGGCTGTCCCTGTCAGCCCAGGTGGGCACTTCCTGTGGCTCTGGCTGCTCTGGCCTGACCCCGCACCTGCTCTTGGAGGCTGGCTTTGCCAGCAGCAGAATCCTCACCGGGCCCGTGGACGTCTCCATTCCCCTTGCGGGCAGACACGCGCCCACACACACAGCCCGCCAGTGCTTTGGGAGGTGGGTGGTGCTGTGGTCCTGCTGTGTGCCTTCCCCCCCCCCCCAGTTTAGAAGCTTCTGGGGAGTTTGTTCTCTCACGCCAGGGTGCTCACAGACACCCCTGACCTGTGGCAGGACGACGTGCTAGTGCCACCTTTCTAGTGCCACCTTTATTTCGATTCGAAAGAACGGCTGGGTGTTACCACTGCTCTGGGCCTCGCTTCCCTGTTTCTAATGCGGCGGAAGGCTGTCTGTTGTCCACGGGCGTAACCTGGCCCACAGAAGGGCGGGGACTCTCCACATGCCTGGGCCCTGGCCCCCTCCCCCTCCAAGCTTCGCCTTACCCAGGAGGAGCTCTTACATCATTTCCATTCAGAGACTGGATGTAAGATGAGGCTTTCCCACTCCAGTGGGTTGGGGTCTGTAGGAGGCAGCTTCTGCATGTGCCAAATGAGTCTCTTCCCACACTGCTTGTACCCCAGTCAAGGCATGTGTGGGGTGGGAAGGAGCTGCTCGCATGGGTGTCAGCGGGGTGGCTCTCCGTGCAGAGAGGGACTCGGTGCCTCTCGCTGCATGGCGGCAGGCCTCTCTCTGCGTGGGGGATTGCTTCGGGGTGGTGCCAGCGACATCACAGGAAACGTGCGACCTCGCATGGGAGCCCACCCCATTGATACCATCCTGCCAGCTGAGATTGGTCCAGGAGGGCAGTCTTGCTTCTCGGCACACCTCCACCCCCACACGGTCCAGTGCACGCTGATGCTCTCCTGCTGCCTGCTTAATTCCAGGACCAGAACAAGGCGAAGCTGTGCCCAAGCTTGGGCCACCCTCACAACCTGCCTCAGCTGGAGGCCTTGTGCCAGGAGGAGGTGAAAAGACAGAGTGAACAAGCAGAGGGGATTCATCTCTGCACCAAGGAACTGGAGGTACGCTTTTAAATCAATCAGTCAATCAATCAATCAATCAATCTCTTGTGGCAGAGGCCCCTCACCATATCTCTTGGCATTCCCCACAGAGCTGTGTCATCGAGTGCGCCCAGGGGTTTGTCTCCACTCTGGCTGACGCCACTGAAAAGATCCTTGTGGGGCTGGACAACTGCCTCACTGTTGACGACGTGCAACAAGGAAGTAGGTCCAGGGAGTGTGCAGCCTGCTCTGGCTTTCTGTCACCTCTGGGTCTAGCTGGGTAACACACAAGTGTATTTATTTTATTTATTAAAACATTTCTATGCCGCCCCATTTGCCGAAGCCTCGGGGCGGCTCACAACATAAATTAAAATACAAGAAATAACAATATAAAATAAGTCGCCCTGGCCAGATAGGAGGTGGGATGGATCCCGATCCTGCGGACTGAATGGGGGGAAGGCCCGCTCGAGTGCTTCCTCATGTTCAGCATGAAGAGCATCCCTGCAAGCAGACGTCTCGCATGTCAGTGGCAGGCAGCAGCTTCTGGGCACATTCGGCCCACTCCTGCTGGGACAAGGAAGAACTTAAGAATGTGTGACCCGGACTTGCTGATTGTGTGGCTTGTGTCTCGACCGTTCGCCTCTGGGCTCGCTTGCAGAGGGACAGGCCCTCGTGCTACCAGTCAGACGACCCTCTGCAGGCTCATTCTCTCCTCCTCTTTTCTGCGGAAAGGGAAAAAATGAACAGAGATGGTAAATTCTCAAGGGGATTTCACAGCCTTTGCCAAGCAGCTCCACAGTGAGTTCACATTACCCATGATGGTTCCAGGTTCAGAGATCATGTTCACCCATCATGGGTGAAGTAGACAACGGCCTGTTCACATGGCTTAGGAGCCACAATTAAGCCACCCTGACTAGGCCATCGTAGGTTCACATCTCACCCTAGATCACAGTGATGTATAAGCCCTTGTGACTGAATGCATTGCATGCACCCAGTCAGCCTCTCCCCCCACCCCCCGGGGGGCGGGGGGGGCAGGACAGAGCTGCTTCTGTTATTACAGGAGGTGTGGCTCTGTACTCCTTCTTGTGTTGACATATAACATGGCCACTGAAGCAAAGTATGCCAGCCAGATTGATAGCCAGAGCAAACAAAGCTGTTGCCTCTTTCCATTACCTTTAAGAAAGCAAATTGAAATAGCTATGAATTTGTAGCCCCTTAAATGCTAAAGATTTTGTCCGGTCCGTGGCTTTTACGAACTAGAATCTGTTGTATCAGCTGCAGAGCCAAGTGTCTTGCCTGTTGTAGCAAACTGGAGCAGTAAGCCACCTTTGGAAGGGTAGCAGCTTTGTGGCATCACCCCTGCATTGTAGGCAAAGGGTCTCAGGTTTGATCCCCAGCATCTCGAGGTGGGCTGAGTCAAAATCCTGTCTGATACCCTGGGAAACTGTAGCTGCCAGTCAGTGTCTGCCAGCAGAACAGTGTCTGCCAGATTCACAAAGCCTCTGACTGCACATAAGGTAGGTCTGAATATCCCTGTGCTCTTGACGAAAGCAGACCAACTAGCTAACTCAAGAAACACTCCATCTCCTTGGAACAGCCACTCCCCTGATCTAAGGGAATCCTTGCAGACCTTGGAAATGCTGAACACCCAAACTCTTAGATGATACAGGAAGCAGAGAATGGGTAAAAGAGGAAGAATGAGAAAGGGACCAGAAACTGAAGGCCTGCGTTTAGACCCAGTCTCAAGGTGGAGCACTGAAACATTCATGTCAGGAATAGTGTGGGGAAAGCATGTGGGAAGGGGGCAGGAGACACACAGTCACTCCTCAGAGTGGACAGTTCCATGTTGCACGTAGGGCGATTGGCTTTTTCCTGACTGAACAAGGATGCATCCAGGGGAAGGAGCATTTCTGCAATGGCAGAGAACAGAAGGCCACAGAAAGCGTCCTTGCACAGCCAGCAAGTCCCTCTGGCCTTCAGCACCTGAGCTGCTTCAAGCACCCTGCCCTGCAGGGAGTGGTTGTGGGTGAAAGTACATCCGATTCCATCTTGGGGATGGTCTGATTTTTATCCTGTTCCAGAAATTGAGCATCCCAGAGAGAAGGTCAGCACTCTGATCCGTCGTAAAAAAGCCGGCCTGTCCTTAGAAGCAGAGGAATGCAAGCTGGTGGCAGAGCGGGGAAGCAGGTAAGATGCCAAGGCCTCTGATGGGGTTTTGTGTGCCCACTGGAGTTGTCCCTGGAAGGAGCCAGTGCCAGAACTCGGAGGCAGGACACTTGCTTTGTGAGTCAAAGATCCCTGATTCACCAAACAGTATTTCCATTTAGAGCAGGGGTCTCAAACTCAACTGACCTGGGGGCCGCTGGAAGTAGAGTCTGGGTGAGGCTGGGCCGCATCAAGTATTCCACCCCCGCGGTGGTGGTGGGCCGCTCATCTCCTGGCTGGCCCGGGCGCTGCCAGCACTTTGAAGGCCGCAGGGCCTCTCCCCCGTGCCCCACCCGTCCCGGCAATTGGCCCACAGGCCGCGAGTTTGAGACCCCTGTTTTAGAGAGTGTTTCCAGACTGTTGATTCCTGTTTTTTGTTTAGTTGCAAAGTCATGCCTGACCCATCCCACCCCATGGACAACATTTCTCCAGGCTCTCCTGTCCTCCACCATCCCTCAGAGTCCACCCAAGCTCACACCCATTGCCCCTGTGACCCCATCCAGCCACCTCATCCTCTGCCATCCCCTTCTTTTACCGTCAGTTGTTCCCAGCATCAGGGTCTTCTCCAATGAGTTGTTCCTTCTCATTAGATGGCCAAAGTATTTGAGTTTCATCTTCAGTATCTGGCCTTCTAAACAGCAGTCAGGGTTGATTTCCTTTAAAATTGACTGGTTTGATCTCCTTGCAGTCCAAGGGACTCTCAGGATTCTTCTTCAGCACCAGAGTTCAAAGGCCTCAATTCTTCGGTGCTCAGCCTTCCTTATGGTCCAGCTTTCACAGCCATACATTGCAGCTGGGGAAACCATCGCCTTGACTATACTCACTTTTGTTGGCAGGGTGATGTCTCTGCTTTTTAGTATGCTGTCTAGATTTGCCATAGCTTTCCTCCCAAGGAGCAAGCATCTTTTGATTTCTTGGCTGCATTCACCGTCTGCAGTTATCTTGGAGCCCAAGAAAATATAGTCTGTCACTATCTCCTTTTCTTCCCCATCTGTTTGCCAGGAAGTGATAGGGCTGGATGCCATGATCTTAGTTTTCTTAATGTTGAGTTGCAAGCCAACTTTTGTGCTCTTCTCGGTTGGTTCCTAGCATTGCTCCTCCATTGGAAACTATATGTAGGATTGTGGTAGGCTGTCTACACTTTGGCAAGTATCACACGCTGGGTGGATGTGTGTGTATTACTGTGCCTTGTTGATTTTAGTGGTTGTGATGTAGCTGGGTGGGCAGAGGGAAGGGTCAATTCTAAATGCACATTTATTTAGCTGCTGTTACACAATTTCTTTAAGAACATCTTAGAACAAAATAGACTTTGAATTGAAATTCATCGTGAATTGAAACCCAAAATTAATGAAGCTGAATCTTGCTATCCAAAATTAACATAGCTGAAACTGCACCAAACGTAAAGGCAGTGCATGTTTCTAACCATTTCATGGTTCACACCTTTTCCTTTAAGCACAATTGCACAAGTGCTTCATTTTTTAGGCAACAGAGAGGTTTTTAAAAAGCGCCATGTTGATAAAGTGGTGCAGGCAGATAAGTGATGCGGGCCAAACTCTGTGTGTTCATCTGCCCAGAAAATCACTGCCAGTGTCAAAGCCACACACCTCGGAACAGGTGAAAGAGCACTGCCGCGGGGACCCAAACTTGTGGCGATGGCCTGGCAGGCCATATCCTTTTAAACTCAGCCCCTCTGCATTCTTGCAGGAATTCAAGACACTTTTTAAACATTTGGCCTTTTAAATAATGGTCACTTTTTTAAAAGGTTTTAACATTTTACTATTTTGGCTTGTTGGCATATTATGCTTGTTTTCTGAATTAACTTACACCACATTGTCTGGTTAAGAAAAGGAGTATAAGAATGGCAATTAATACTTTCAGATGATTCTTTTTTTAGATTAATATCACAATAGTCTGGAATACTATTTATTTAAAACATTTTTATCCCGTCCTTTCTGATAACGTCTCAGAATGGCTTACAATGATGAAATTATACTATAATAATACAATAATATAGTAATTAAAACAATAAATAATTTGTTAGTCACGAAGTCATGTCCAACCTATCGCGACCCCATGGACAACATTCCTCCAGGCCTTCCTGTCTTCCACTCAAGCTCACACCAACTGCTTCAGTGGCTCCATCCAGCCACCTCATCCTCTGCCGTCCCCTTCTTCTTTTGCCATCTATTGTTCCCAGCATTAGGCTCCTCTCCAGGGAGTCCTTCCTTTTCATTAGGTGGCCAAAATATTTGAGTTTCATCTTCAGTATCTGGCCTTCTAAAGAGCAGTCAGGGTTGATCTCCTCTAGGACTGACCGGTTTGATTGCCTTGCTGTCCAAGGGACTCGCAGGAGTCTCCTCCAGCACCAGAGTTCAAAGGCCTCAATTCTTCGGCGCTCAGCCTTCCTTATGGTCCAGCTTTCACAGCCGTACATTGCAGCTGGGGAAACCATCGCCTTGACTATATGCACTTTTGTTGGCAGGGTGAGGTCTCTGCTTTTTAGTATGCTGTCTAGGTTTGCCATAGCTTTCCTCCCCAGGAGCAAGCATCTTTTAATTTCTTGGCTGCAGTCCCCGTGTGCGGTGATCTTGGAGCCCAGGAAAATAAAATCTGTCACTCCCTCCATTTCTTCCCCATCTATTTGCCTGGAAGTGAGAGGACCAGATGCCATGATCTTAGTTTCAAGCCAACTTTTGCGCTCTCCTCCTTCACCTACATCAAGAGGCTCTTTAGTTCCTCTTCACTTTCTGCCATAAGAGTGGTATCATCTGCATATCTGAGGTTGTTGATATTTCTCCCAGCAATCTTAATTCCAACTGGTGATTCATCTAGCCCCACTTTTCTCATGATGTGCTCTGCATATAAGTTAAATAGGCAGGCCGACAGTATACAGCCTTGCAGAACTCCTTTCTCGATTTTGAACCGATCAGTGGTTCCGTGTCCAGTTCTCATTGTTGCTTCTTAACCTGCATATAGGTTTCTCAAGAGACAAATAAGATGGTCTGGTACTCCCATCTCTTTAAGAATTTGCCACAATTTGTTGTGATCCACATAATCAAAGGCTTTAGCATAGTCAATGAAGCAGATGTTTTTCTGGAACTCCCTAGCTTTCTCCATGATCCAGCGTATGTTGGCAATTTGATCTCTAGTTCCTCTCCCTCTTCGAAATCCTGCCTGTACTTCTGGTAGTTCTCGGTCCACATACTGCTGGAGCCTAGCTTGTAGGATTTTGAGCATAACTTTGCTAGCATGTGAACTGAGTGCAGTGGTGCGGTAGTTTGAACATTCTTTGGCATTGCTCTTCTTTGGGATCAGAATGTAAACTGACCTTTTCCAATCCTGTGGCCACTGCTGAGTTTTCCAAATTTGCTGGCATATCGAGTGTAGCAATTTTACTGCATCGTCTTTTAAGATTTTGAATAGCTCAGCTGGAATGCTGTCACCTCCACTAGCTTTGTTGTTGCTCAGACTTCCTAAGGCCCATTTGACTTCACATTCCAGGACGTCTGGCTCGAGGTCAGTGACCACCCCATCGTGGTTATCAGGGATGTTAAGCTCTTTCTTGTATAGTTCCTCTGTGTAATCTTGCCACCTCTTCTTAAACACTTCTGCCTCTGTTAGGTCCCTGCCATTTTGGTCCTTTATCATGCCCATCTTTGCATGAAACATTCCCTTCATATCTTCAATTTTCTTGAAGAGATCTCTGGTCCTCCCTATTCTATTGTTTTCTTCTATTTCTTTGCACTGTTCATTTAAGAAGGCATTCTTATCTCTTCTAGCTATTCTCTGGAATTCTGCATTTAGTTGGATGTATCTTTCTCTTCCTTGCTTGCCTTTTGCTTCACTTCTTTCCTCAGCCATTTGTAAAGCTTCCTCAGACAGCCATTTTGCTTTCTTGCATTTCTTTTTCTTTGGGATGGTTTTAGTTGCTACCTCTCGTACAATGCTGTGAACCCCCATCCATAGTTCTTCAGGCACTCTGTCTATCAGATCTAATTCCTTAAATGTATTTGTCACCTCTACTGTATATTCATCAGGGATATGATTTAGGTCATACCTGAGTGGCCTAGTGCTTTTCCCTACTTTCTTCAATTTAAGCCTAAATTTTGCAACAAGAAGCTCATGATCTGAGCCACAGTCAGCTCCTGGTCTAGTTTTTACTGACTGTATAAAGCTTCTCCATCTTTGGCTGCAGAGCACATAGTCAATCTGATTTCTGTGTTGACCGTCTGGTGTTGTCCATGTGTAGAGTCGTCTCTTGGGTTGTTGGAAAAGAGTGTTTGCTATGACCATCGTATTTTCTTGACAAAATTCTACCAGCCTGTTCCCAGCTTCATTTTGTACTCCAAGGCCAAACTTGCCTGTTATTCCAGTTATCTTTTAGCTTCCTACCTTAGCATTCCAATCCCCCATGATGATAAGGACATCATTTTTTGGTGTTAATTCTAGAAGGTGTTGTAGGCCTTCACAGAACCAGTCATCTTCAGCCTCTTCAGCACCAGTGGTTGGGGCATAGACTTGGACTACTTAATAAATAATAGACAAACATAAAACAAACACTTTAATAAAACTAAGTGCAACTGTGAACAGATCTTAAAACATCTAAAATCTTTAATTATAAAAATGATGGCTGAATAAATAGGTCTTTGCCTGGCGCCGAAGAGTAGAAGGTCGGTGCCAGGCGGACCTCTCTGGGGAGCGTGTTCCATAGTCTGGGTGCCACTGCAGAGAAGGCCCTCCTCTGGGTAGATACCCTCTGTACCTCCTTCAAAGAGGGTTCCCGAAGCAAGGCCTTTCCTGCCGATCTTAAGGGGCATGAGGGCATGTAGGGAAGGAGACTTTCCTTCAGGTATCCTGGTCCCAAATCCCATTTAGGGCTGTATAGGTTAATACCAGCGCCTTGAATTGGGCCCAGACTTCAATACTAGTAAAAGAAATGGAAGAAGCCCCGGGTAAATGCAATGTGGATGGCAGTGTGGATGCCCCAGAAAAAGCAAGTCAGCAAAGTGTGGCTCTCCAAGAGGAAATGGCTAACGTGGAAGCATCTAAAGGGAGATCTGGGAGAGTGGTCTGGGAAGGTTGTCGGCTGTGGCCGGATTTAACGTGTGTGTGCCTTCAGTGCCATCTGTTGTGCCATCTAATATTTAACTCAAATTGTGTATATCAGCCTGAGAAATGTGGGTGGGATATCGCCCCCTTGGGGATGAACCTAAGCCTTGCATGCACACGCAAGCACACAGACACAACTGAAAAGGAGAAGGGGGCACTGCCTGCCAGCCAGATCCCACCGAGGACTTCACAGTGCTGAATAGTCACAGTATGTTGAGTGTCAGTTGGAAAAGAAACGGGAAAACTGGAGCAGGAGTCTGGAACATCTTGCTTGCATCCTATAATATCCAGCAGAAGGGTGCAGCTGGCTAGCAGGGACCTTGAACAGAACACTCTGGCTCGGAGGTGAGGATCCCCTGAAGCATTGTGCTGAGGCACATCTGTCCTTGTTACTGTTCCAAGACCTCACGTTTCCTATTCTCTCCCATTCACTTTGAGTTGCTGCTGCTTCTGCTTCTTTTAAGGACCTGGCCTGGGCTCCCAAGAACCACCCTGCTGGCTCTCCCTAGTCAGATTATCTGCCGAGAAACTGCTTCTGTGACAACAGCCAAAACCACCTTGGGGCATGTGGCCGCCGTGGAAGAGAGAGACGTGGCTTACGTGGTAGGGTGAAACAGGAGCAGTTGGGGCTAAACAGTTCCCCAGGGGGAAAGCAGGGGGCTTTACAGGAGGGAGGGAGGGAGGGAGGGAGGGAGGGAGGAGCCAAGCCCACCCAGTGGCTTTTCTTTGTGGACGATCAAGGTGAACCATGGAGGAGGAGCAGCTTTCTCCCTTGCTCGCATTCTCCTGTGGCAGTTCCCAAGCAACCAGAGTGGATTAGACCATCATTGCTGAATTAGGTAGCAGCGATTCTTCGGAAGGTGCTGCTCACACTGGATGGACCAAGGCAAAAGGGGACAGGGGCTCGTGCACCTTTGCCTGTTGAATGCCAGTCGAAGTCCCCTCGTGCACACGGCTGTTGGAAGTGCAGGAACACCTGACTGTAGTTTGAGGACCCATGCACCATACCTCCATTTTACTCCTGATCTTTTGGAGGGATTTTGCTAGATCCAGCCCCTGAGGGTACTCCATTACCTTTTTAAGAGTGGCACACACATGCACCGTTCAGCAGGACCAGCCTTTGCCAACCTGGTGCCCTCCAGGTGTTCTGGAGAGTGCCAAGGAGGAATGAGGATCGTGGGGAAGCCCAACCAACACGTTCACAGTGATGGAAGCAATTGCACCTGCTGGATTTTCCCCCCTTCTAGGGGAAAAGGCAAAGCAAACAGGTACAAGCCAGTCCATGTACTCCTCTGCACTGGCGTTGTATTGGGTGTGCTCGGCTTTAGATTTGGGGAGGTATCTGCAAAAATGGCACAGATGGGCTTCCCAAACAGGCTGGAGCATGCAGCACACCCCAGGCCCCCTGCCCAGGGAACCCTCGCGTGTAAATCAGGGTTTGTGCCAACGTCCTTTTCAAAACTGACTCACGCTCTGATGGTGCAGCAGCGCAAAGGCAGCTTCATCCTTTGCATCCCATCTCTGGCCAAGAACAGTCCCCTAACTTCGCTAGGGGGGCTCTTTCTGGAACACCTTTATGCTCTGCATCAACGGAGGGAAAACGGCTCCAGACGTGAGACCATGGTCCATCCCCGAAGAAGAGCGGGATTCCAAAATTCACCCATAGGTCCAGATTTTTACAAGTCACCCTAATTGCGAGGACAGCCAGGCAGGCTTATCTTTATACTCGTTCTGTTTTTTTGTTCCCTGTGGTTGTGGTGTCTGTGCAGAAATTCAAGCAACTGCTTGAGGCAGAATTTACCAGAATTAAGGAGGAGAAGACCGCCCAACTCATGAAGGCCCAGCACTGGGCGGACTGGTGGAAGAAGTCTGTGCAGATAATCAAGCAGCTGTATGCATGAGTCCAACACTGTGCTGCATTTTGATTCCAAGAAGAACAAATGTAGTGTTTAAGAAATAAAGTTGTAGTATGCTTTCATGTCGTGTGTTAATCCTACACCTACAATTGGTATGTTGCAGCGGTGCTGAGCTTCTTTCAGTCTCACTGAAGAAAAGTCAAGATGGCACCTGCACAAAGCAAGTCCTGGCTCAGGAACCCTTTTGAGAATGGCAAAATGTTGTTCGAGGATGTCAACAAGCGTACGGGTAGGAGTGGTCCAGTGGATGTTGACTTGGACCTTCAGAAATGTTTCGACCATGTCCTTCACCAATGGTTCATGAACAAATTTACCAATCACAGGATAAGAGGGTGAAAGAATAATAGAACTGAACATTTTCTAGTATGATCATCATCAATGTTACTGCTCTTTTTCATTATAAGGCTGTTCCATCTCTTCCACGAGCTTCTAGACCAAGCTCAGCTTCATGGATTCTACTGAGCTGTTGCCTCTTGCCCTAGTCAAAACTAACGCCAGCGTTTATGTCCTTGATGACATGCCCACATCTTCTGTACTGGGATGCAAGGGCAACGCTAGGTACCTAGAAGGTCCAGGGCTCAGGCCTACTGGCCAAAGCTCTCACAGATTTGCCAGTGCTAATTGGCATACGCCTTGAAGTCTGTGTGTGTGTCTTTAGAGGACCCTGCCTCCAAGGACACCCTGGGGAGACGGATGAGGGATGCACGAGTAGGAGGCAGAAGGACATTTGGCTCCGGAAGAACACCTCAGGCAGAAAGGCAGCAGGAGGAGAAGCTCATGTGGGCCCAAAGACGCCTCAACCGCGGGGATCGGGTGCTGCTGAGACCATCAGGGCCCCTGGACCTTTATTTTCGGAAGTGGCTATGAATGTTAGGATGGTGGGATGGATTGCCTACGATAAGTTCATGGTGGCAAAAGCGAGATTTGGGGTGCCAGCCCTGTGGGTGACCCCCTAACATTGCCTCTGCTGTGAAGAAGTTCCATCCTTAAAATCAAATTATTGGCACTTTTAAACGCATCCCCCTCTTTAGTGGTTTGCTCAAGCAAACGAACCGGCTCGAGCTACCTCCCACGACCTTCCTATGAATAAATCACCCACAACCCCTCTAACCAGGGTTTTCCGTACAGCTTTGATGAGTTCACAGGAAGCTCCACATGTTTTACTAGCCACATGGGAAATTCAGCCAACTGGACTCCATCCTTGCTTTCCCATAAGGGGGCCTTCCCAAGCTTGAGCTATTACCCTACAATCCTTCTGAACTGCTCGGTAGCTTTTGGCTGTTCAAGGTTTTCTTGTACTTTGCCTTTAAGAAGGCTGAACGAGCGCATATCTCGGCTCCAATTTGCTGCTCACTGGAGCATAAATCCTGGTGAAACTAAAACACCAGGTCGATGGTACAAATGCCATTCATTTCTCACAGGCAGGCATAACGCAGGAGATGTTGAAAGCTTCATGACTGGACAAGTCACCATAGAAACAGCGCGAGTCAGAAGGGGTCTCCCGGGCCATCTAGTCTGACCTCCGGCTCCAGCCGGCTCCGCTCACGACATGCCCATCATGTGCATGTCCAGCCTATCCTTGAACACCTGCACCGATGGGGCCTCCACCTCCTCCCGGGGAAGCCCATTCCACACCCTCGGGGTCCTGACTGTCAGGAAGTGCTTCCTGGCATCCAAACAAAACCTTGGCTCCCTGAGCTTTGCTCAGTTGGGGCACGTTCTGCCTTCCTCTGCAGGGGAGAACAGGTCTCTTCCCACCTCTGTGTGACACTCCTTCACATACCTGTATGTCGCCAACATAACATACCATAGATTCTGAGAAGTCCCTCCTTTTAGCAGCCAGTCTGGAATTACAGTCTGACCGCAAGGGATTGCTCGCCCTGCCTGCATTCTTGTTCCGAAGCCTTCTCCACTCCAAAATCCAGCAATGGTAAGTCATTTCATTTTTACTACCTCCCCAAAAGATCCCTAGCTTCTTCCTCCCGCCACACTCACATGCTCCAACCCCAAAAGTCTTGGGAAGCCCAGATTTGCTGGCAGGTCCTGCCTCAAGTCTCTTCTGATGGAAATGTTGGCCCTTGGTGAAGAAAAGGTGAACTTCATGTTAGGCACAAGTAAAAAAAGAATTAAAAACAAAGCAGCCAATGTCACAGTGCCGTTCTACAAATACAAGGTGCAGCTATATTTTGTATGTTATGCAAGGTTCTGGTCCTTGCATCTATAAAAGTTGTGTAGTTGGGGAAAGGGCAGAAAGCAGGGGCTGCAATGATCAGGACTGAAGCAGTTCCTGTGTGAGGAAAGCTTGCTACATCTGGGACCGTTGAGCTTAGGAAAAAGGAGTGAGGGGGATGAAATCCTTCCTGGCTCCCAAAAGGGCATAGGGAGACTTTTCTCTCCCGGTGTCCCTAATACTAGGACCCAGTGGGGGTGTTCCATGAAGCTGGACGGTGGGAGGCGCAGGAGAGGTGAAAGGGGAGCCTCGCATGGCACAGAGGTCCATTGCGAAGTTCGCTCTCACAGAATGTTGTGATTACCACCGGCTTGGAGAACTGAGTACACTCCAGAAGGAGAAGGCTATTCAGGCTACTAGCCCTGATGTCTACATGCTCGCTCCTGGGCCAGGACAGTGTGCCTGTGGGCACCAGCTGCTGGGGAACATGGGAGGGAGAGTGATGTTGCACTCATGTCCTGCAGGCAGCTCGTTAGGCATCGTGCAGAGTGCTGGGCCAGAGGGACCTTCCATCTAAAAGAGTAGTGCTTTTCTTATATTTCTGGAGCAGTTCATGGCCGTTCTGCCATTTCAGCCTTTTTCAGTAACAATTTTCAACAGGCTGGGACTTGTTTTTTCCTTTCTGAGTGGCATATTTGCCTTGTCCTCTCTAGAGGGAAAAAGGGAAGGAAAGAACAGCTTCTGTGCTTTCCTTGAATGGCTTGTTCAAACTCACTTCCAACCACACCTCTGGAAAAACACTAACTTGCCAGGCTGGGGGTGCAAAGTGCTTTGGAACACAACCGCTCTCCATGCCCAGCCCAGCCCAGCCCAGCCCACTGCTTGATACTGGAAACAGAAAGCAGCCATTCTGCATGTTACGCTCAGGCATTCCTCTGCTCCGTTGCTAGACTGTCAACAAACCAAGGCGGGCAAAGCCTTGAGTCAACTTTGTTTAAGGCCTTCTTCCCTGGCTCTCCCCCTTGTACGTACTTTTACAATTTCTAGCTGCATTCCCAAGAGTTTACTCTGAAGCCAGTATTGCAGGGATACTCTGGGTCTCTAGCCTACCAAGCATTTCTCTCTGCCTGCCCGTGTCAGCAACCCTGCAGATGTCTCCTCCTCTGGCCAGATGCATCCTCTTGCTCTGTCACTCTGTCAGCTACTCAGCGGGGTCTTTGCAGGAGGTTGCTTGCACAGCTACCTGGTTTGCACTAATGGATCCAGCTTCTGAAGCAATGCCACAGGCCAAAAGCACGGATCAATAACGAACGGATCCTACAGTTTACCTAAGTAAGGGTCTTCTATTGGACAGGCCAAATACCAGGGTGGAGACTAAATCAAAGACAGAATGAACATTTCACATCTTGATACCCACCGTCTAGTCCTTGACAAGCGAGAAGTGAGTCCCCATAGCCAATCCAGAACAGGCTAGACCACTTTCTTACTGACAGGTGGCGTCAAGCAGGTCCATGGGGCGAAGAATGCGCTCAGGCTTCAGCAGGGGAGGGCGGCACTGCCCAAGTACCCGCCACAGCTGACCTGGTCTGGTTTTTGCCAGGAACTTTGCTCTGGCGGCACTGATGATGTGATGGCAAACCCACACGGGCGGCTTTGTTGCTCATGTTCAGACCCCTCCTGATTCAATGGCGGTTGAAAGCAGCTAAATCGCAATGGATTTCCGGGCAAGTACATTGTTTGGTTGCATTTTTCAAGGGTGGTTTTCTGGCCCAGCACCACCTCAAAGCCAGTAAGATTCAGATAATGAGTCAATATTAGTACAATAACATTCCAGAAAGAAAGACGCAGGGTCAATAGAAGTGAGTTTGGGACGGTTACTGCAAAGGAGCTCAGCACGTTTCTTTCCACCAACTGTTTTAAGGACCATTTATTGTTTGAAACAGGAACACTCGGAGGGAGACGTTTTTACTTTCCCAATATTTTAACAGTTAATTGGTTTTATCCTTGTTTTTCTCATCATCATCGAATGCGGTATGTTGTGTGTTGGTTGTTGTATGTGGTTGCTTTGATTTTTTTTTTGTCAGTCATCCACAGACTTTTCGTATTGGGACGGCATATAAGAACTTTAAAAAGAAATAAGTAAGTAAATGTATTGTGGGCCTGAAGGAAAGGGAAAGAATATGTGCCGGCAGCCTCATTTAATGAACGCTGCCTTGCTTACCTTGCTACTGGTGAATCCATGCCACTGTTCCATTTCTGCCTTTTTTTCCCAGGGGAGGGGAATTATTCTCAGGGCGAGTTGGTAGCCTCTTCAGCAGAGATGCAAAACCTCCCTGCAGATGTAATCTGACCCTGTGTTCCCCTGGAGGCCATGCTCCCCCCCCCCCCATGGACCCCCTTCCATGGACCTCCAGTCCCTTTCGCTGGTTTCCTGGCTTATCTGCACCTCCTTCCTGTACTTCAAAGGCTGGTGTGGCTCTGAAGCTCGGAAGCCAAAACAGGCCCATGCTTTTCACCCCACCCCCTTTGCCTTTGCTGACTATTCAATCGTGACCCCCCGGAGCTTGCCTGAAAGTTTGGCCCTTAAGACTGAGAGAGGATCTGCTCCCCTCTTCTTCAGGGTTCAACTTCTTCTCCAGAGAATCTCTAGAGTCTGAGTCTCCCCAATATCAGCCCTGTCATCTTAAATTTCCCGCAGTGTCCTCAAAGAAAGTTGGTGTGGTTGAGATGTTTGACCAGGAATTGGGAGGTCTGGGTTCAAGCCCCCTCCTTGGCCATGGTGGCTATGGACAGGACAGTGACTCTCAGCCTAACCTACCTCTCAGGGTTGTTGTGAGGACAAAAAGGAGAGAGGAGGAGGATTGCGTGAGCTGCTTTGGGCTCCTTGCAGAAAGGAAAAAGGTGGATATAAATATAAATTAATAATGCAGCATTGCTTTGGGCACTGTAAGAAAATCAAAATGGGAGCTTAACCCAGTGATGTCTGAAGCTGCCTGCCCTAAATGGAGCAGGATCCCTTGGGGGATCCTTTCCAACCTGGTGCCATCCCTGAGCAGGCGCGCCTTGTCTGGAATGTGCATCCACGCAAGCGCCCATGCACACCCCCCGAGGCTGTGTGAACCCCGCAGCCCAGCAAACGAAAATGTTTTTCCATCTTACATTGTTGCTGTCATGCTTTATTCCATCTTTTCGAAGCCAATGAACTCTGGCTTCTTCCAGAAAGCGAATTTTGTCATTTTGTTTGTTTTGTTTTCAGCTCCTACAAGTTTGTGTCTTCATGTTCCCAGGCTGAGTTGAGGCTACAAATGTCTTTATTCCCGATACTGATATCCTGCCTTCCAGTCCAACAGCAGGCCTCCAAGCAGTAGACTGTAAGTGACATGTTAATATCTAATAAATAGAAGCCAGTGCAGTGTAGTGGTTAGAGCACTGGACTGGGACTTGGGAGCTCTGGGTTCTAGTCCTCAATTGCCCGTGAAACTCACTGGGTGACTTTGGGCTGGCCCCTGGCTCTCAGCTTGACCTACCTTGCAGGGTTGTTAGGATGATAAAATGGAGAAAAGCAGGATATGTAGGTAAACTGCCTTGGGTTCTCTGCAGGAAAGAAGGAGGGGTAGGAGTATAAAAATAAATAATTCCACAGAGGAAGAGCAGGAGGAGACCAGAGCTAGAGCCAGCCTGGCAAGTTATGGTGGTGAAAGGCTTGGAGTGGGGCTTGGGGATCTGGGTGCTTGACCTTCTTGGGGCCATGAAGCTCTCCGGGTCACTTTGAGGTACTCAGTGACTCTCAGCTCAGCCCCACTCAGCTCACAGGGATGCTGTGAGGATGGGATGGAGAGGAAGAGGGACCCTGTGAGCCACCTTGGCCTCCTCGCAAGAGGGAAAAACTTATAAACAAACAAACAAACAAACAAACTTTTTTGAAAGGCACTGGTGGCTTATAAAAGTACACGCAAATGGTAGGACAAATGATGGAAAAATATCCCATTCCCAAATGTACTAAAGGTTTGGAAACCACTTATCCCAGGAAGTTGTTTCTGAGTTTTCGGGGAAATGGGGTATCCCATCCAACTCTCATTTATTAAAAAGAACCCTGCAGGGGATGGTGACTGGAAAACGTTTTCTAGAGCTTAGTCTAGAGGGCTAATCATTTCTATGTAAAGCCTGTTATAATAAAAACAATTCAGAATCCTGCAGCAGCTTCACTGTTCCCCAAAATGGGGGAATTTACCTATTCCCATAACACATTTCAAAATCAGATCTGTTGTCTTCTGTGAGTTGTGTGGGTGTTAAAGGTGAACTCACACACCACCCCTATGTTGTAGCTGAAATGTTGAACGCGTGTCAAGTTAGTAACTGGCAAATTAGTCCGCTTCGGCTTCTGTTCCTTTCTCATTTTTCCAACCTTCCACTTGGTTCATCCCAAACTTTGAGGGAAAAAGATGGCTTGAAAAGTGTCAGAATCCCGGAATTTCAATTTGAGAAGAGGGAATAAAACTCGGGTTCGTGGGAAAGACTAAGCGTCCAGACCATCTGAGGGTTTACTGTTTTACCCCAAGGTTGCCGCAGTACACTCACAAGAATGCAGGCTGCATTACCAGGCAGGCAGAGGTAAACTCTGCTGCAAAGCTTCAATACCATTACAGGGCATTTATAGGTACACAGGTACAGGGCAATTGATGACAGAATGCAGAGATTACAATAAGATTCTGAGGTCATCACATACAGAACAGATAAAGAAATGTCAGTCAATCACACTGCAACAATGAGATTAAAATATTTCTAATTGCCTGTATTGACACTTTAGTTGAGTAACTTGAACCCATCTCCAGGTCTGCTCAGACATGCAAATTCAAGCTACTAGAAACTATTCATGATAAGCTCAGACCCCTATCTAGACTCTAGACATTCTGCATGATCAGGGCACATGAAGCCCTCTGGGCTATCAAAAGATTATTGTAAACTGAATTCCAACAATGACGATTTACAATGTATATTCGGGCTAAAATGGCCTGTCTGCTGTAGCCTACAGCTAAAGGTGAGAGAAAGGAGCGGGGGATGAAGGCCATTTTAAACGGTGACAGCTTGGTTTTGAGAAGGAAGGCAGGATTTGATCCCACAATGCAAAGGCACACAGGAGTAATGCTTTTCAGACAGGATTTATCCAAATTTTCCCAACAAAAGTCATACAAGTGTTTTTACTTGCCCATCTCCTAATGCATGCATATTCACATAATTTTGACAAAAACTCACGTCTTGTGCAAGCAGTGGCCCTAATGCACTTTTGAACATTGTTTTCACTGATCCATGCATTTGATGTGCAGCAGCGAAGAGACCCCTCCTGCATTCCAGGACCTTCCAGGCTAAGCTTTGGTCTCCACAGGCACTTTTCTTTCTCATTTTTAAAAGTATTTCATTAGCAGGGCAGCTTCCCAGGCCTGCCCATAATTAGAAATGTTCCTTTCATTATTTTTAAATCAAAATTGGTTGTTGTAAACCTTCCAGGGAGCTTGGGCTATTGAGTGATATAGAAATAATGCTAAATAATAATGAAGTATGCCATTGCAAATGGAATGAGGAGATAGAGTGCTTTTCCACCAAGTTTTGGGAACACATCCAGTGCTGAACACCAACACTCCTATCAAGTCATGCCTTCAAGTTGCATTTCAAGAGCTCAATTTGCCTGCAAATCAGTAAGATCTTCCTTCAGCACTTTATCGGCAACCTTCTTCTTTGTTGCACTTCCTGAAATGCCGTCTCGTCGTCTCGTCTCGCAGCTCTTGCATCGGAATGTAAGTGTGGGCACTCCATGTGGGGAGGAACCGCTAACGTAAGTCAATTTGGATTGAGCTTACTGAATTCGTGGGTTCGCTCAGAGGCAGATAAATGCATCATCAAGCAGATAAATGCACCATCAAGCAGATAAATGCACCATCAGAGAGGCTGAGTCATTTTGCTTGTTGCAGCCAGAGGAGCAGCTGAACCAACCTGCTGCAGAACGCTGAGAACAGAAACGTTGCCCTCCTCTCCTTCGCCTGACATCTTTGCCAGTGACCTCCACTCCTGCGTCTCGATCCTCCATCTCTTCCGTCCTGCTCATTCCATGCTCCCTCGCATCAGAATGTAAGTGTCATTTTGCATTGCTCACATGTATATATTTATGGCATTTCTAACCATCTGGCTTACAATAATCTTCTGCCTCCTCTCGGTTTTTTCCCTGACAACAACTCCTCCGTAACTGGGTTCGGCTGAACGACAAATGCGTGTCCAGGACCTCCTGGATTTTCCTTTAACAGCGACTTCTGTGAGCCAGAAATCACATGGTCTTTCCTTCTTTTTGTTTCAGCCCAAGCAACATGAAATGTCACCAACTGATAAGAGCTGTCCTCCTTGGACTGTGCTTCATCGCTGTTCCCTTACTTATCTGGTAAATATTCCCGTCCTTGAATTAGTTGAGGAACACCCTAGTGCAGCACAAGATTCTAGCGGAAACACATTCTTGTAGCACTCTGGAAAAGCTGGCCTCTTTTAAAGCAACACGCAGATGCCAGCACCCTGCTCTTCTGCAGACTATATTTTAACTGATTGATCCTCATCTGAATACTGTCTATTGTATTATATGGTGTTCTTATGTGTTTTCATATGTGATGATGTTTTAATGTGCAATGTTGTAAACTGTTTCAAGAGTCCTTGGACTAGTTAATAGCAGAATATAAGTTGAATCGATCATAAAAATAAAATTATAACCCTAACCTTTGTATATTAATGTACAGATGTAAATGAATTTGCCAGTCCATATCTTGTTTGGTAAATTCTAACAATCTGTAATGTGATCTGCAAAAGTTTATGTCTTCACATAGATACATCCAGTAAAAAGAATGATAACATACAACATATTTTCTTAACCCTAAGCCTGTTTATCCTATATAATTTTCTTTAGGACCCGCCTTTTCCTTAACACAGGGGTGCCAGAACCTCTTTCAGCCCAAGGGCTGAGCTCCACTTTGAAGATGCCCCGAGGGCTGCACTCCAGTGGCGGGGGGGCGGGGGGGGGGGAGCTGAAAGCAAACAGGGCAGTGGGTCCAGGGCAAGCAGCTTACTATGGGCTGGCTCCACACATGGGGCAAGCTCCTTCTAAGTCCTCTCTTTCAGCTCCCCTGAACCCCTTGTAATTGGAGCACTGGCAAAATATCCATAGCTTTCCCATCTTCCCCAGTGCTTAATAATGGTTCCACTGAGACCTGTCTGTTCTGATCCAGACCCAGGTCCAGCACCAAAGGTTGGCATAGTTGGTCACCTGCCAAGGTAGTAGGGGGCCCACCTTATGAGAGCTCCTGTTTAGGTGCTCACCTCTCTCGGATGTGAAGGAGGAGCAGGAGGTTCCTGCACTGCCCACCCATTGCCTCCATGCCTGAATACGAATGAGGAAGGGGAGCAGGTTACCTGTTACCTTGTAACAGGTAGAGGGGCTCCTTGAAGGCTCAAGGGCCCAACAGAATCTAGAGCCAGCAGTGCTGATGAGATCTCGCAACCTTTCCATATCTTTCTGCCTCCATTAACAGCTTCCCCCCTTTATTTGGCAGGTTTTCCTTCTGGAAAGAGTCAGCTCACTACCTTCCCTATTATCTTCCCTGCCCCGATGTCTTGTAAGTATTGCCTTTGCACCCCTCCTATGTTCAGAAGTTTTTAGTTTGGCCATTGGAATGGAACTGTCTGGATCTGATTCTGGCAAATCTACGTGGCGGCAGCCATTCACACGCAGGGCTTGGTGGAGAGAGCAGTGGTCCGTGGGTTTTGTAACATCCAGTCCCTCTATTTCAGGAATGGTCAGCCATCTCCCTTTCTGTTGGAAGGAATCTGATGGAATCCATTTTCTAAAACCACAGTTTCATTCTGCTTTCACCAATGTGTATTAGCACTAATGCATAGTTGTGCATTAATTAATGAACATTAGCATTAATTTGAATTGGTTGATGCACATTTGTGCTCATGCAAATTGGTGCAAATCCCCCCTGCCAATATGAATCAGGGAAAGTTGGTCTGCTGGAAGGTCTTATTCGTAGAAACGCACATGGGTTTGCATTCATTGAAGATTTCTCAGACATATTAGTGATGCAGCTAAGTAATTTTAGACCCTGGACTTAGTTGTCTTAGCAACGCCCACTTTAGACCACAATGTGAATTGTTTCCCTTATGAAATACGAAACTGCCATTTCCACCACCCCTTCACCCACAATTTCTTCCTTCACAAATGCATATCAACATTTCCTGATATGTCAGGGCAGAGGTGTTGAATTCCTTTCGCACAAGGACTGAATATGGGATCACCAGGGCCTTCGAGGCCTTGGGGAAGAAACTCGGGGACCTAAAGGCCCAAATGGCCTTCACATCTGTCTTACCAGTCCGGGGATTTGTGCCAGGCAGGGATAGGAGGGTTGCCGAGGTGAACGCCGAGGCTTAGGGTGTGGTGCCAGAAGGTACGCTTTGGGATCCTCGACCACGGCACCCGGCTTCTTGCCAATGGACTTCTGGCAAGGGATGGGTTGCACCTCACGAGGATGGGGAAAAGGTCCTTTGGAAATGCTCTAGCGAGCTCTGGAAATGCTCTAGAGAGCTAAAGAAGACTTTAAAGTGACCGGGGGAGGGGGGTTCGGGCCCTCCAGAAACGTGTCTGCACTGGACAAGTGTGGGGAGAAGATCAGGGCTCTGGGACCAGGGTTTTAGAGGTACTGCAAGGACTGACAGACTCCTTCAGAGAGGAGCCAGGTATCAGGGAGGATGGGAGGAAGGAGGAGGCTGGGAACTCCAAGGGAAGGAAGCGGTGGGAAGGCGTTGAGGTACATGTACACCAATGCTAGGAGCATGGGTAATAAGCAGGAAGAGCTTGAAGCTCTCCTGGGAATAGGAGGGTATGATCTGGTGGGAATCACAGAAACTTGGTGGGATGAAAGGAATGACTGGAATGTAAACATAGAGGGGTATCACCTTTTTAGAAAGGACAGGAAGGGCAAGAGGGATGGGGGCATGGCTTTATGCCTCAGGGAAGGGATAGGATGTGGTGAGATAGAATGCAGCACAGATGGGGATTTGGCAGAGGCAGTCTGGGTGAAACTTAGGGGTTTTGACAGGGAAAGAGACCTGACAGTGGGGGTATGTTATCGCCCTCCAGGTCAACTTGAGACCCTGGATGATGTACTGACAGGCCAGATTCTAAGGATATCTTGGGGGAAACACACAGTAATTACGGGAGATTTCAATCTCCCAGATGTTACTTGGGAGACTCACTTGGCGGTGACAGACAGGTCACATCGCTTCCTAGAAACTATAGAGGGAGGGTTTTTCACAC